TGCTCCGCTCAGGGCGCACTCCCACTGGGCTGGATCATGGACTGGAGTGCTCATCGCTACAGACCTTCCAGCGCGACCCCTCACTCTGCCCTGGGACGCCGGCGTCTTTGAGACCGGCAGAGTCACCACGGCTAGGCACATCTTCGATGGTGTGCCCATCACTACGACGGCCGTCTACGGCTTCCCACCGGGCCCAACTTACCCGGACGCCCGTGCTCTCACAGATCGCCTGTTAGCCACCATCACACGTGAAATAGTGGTCGGACTCCAAGGAGTCCGGGTGGTGGCTGGAGACTTCAACCACGATGAGTCTACCCTACCACAAATCGCCCTCTGGAAGCAACACGGCTGGGTTGAGGCGCAGCAGCTTGCCTTGGCCCTTTGGCAGCAACAGCCCCAGCCAACGTGCAAGGGTGCCACCCAACGGGACCTGATCTTTCTTTCGCCCGAGGCAGCCGCCTTGACACAACGCGTCCGAATCAAAGACGTTTACATGGAACACTCCTCGGTCATCGTTGATCTGTGGACCAAGGCCCAGCAGCAACAAATTCGAAGGTGGCGACAACCAGCCGCCATCCCATGGGGCTCCATCAATATCCCAGGATGGCCCCCATCCATGAACAGGAGACACCCACTGAGTGGTACCAGCATTTTGCCTACTCCTTTGAGAACTCCCTCAACGGCTACGTAGAGCTGGACCACAACAAAGACCTGCCTCGCCGCTGCAAAGGGCGTGCCAAATGGACAGAACCTGAGCAAGTCCACACCACGGCACATGCCATCAAATCAAGCCGCCCAGGTGAGGAGATCATCATGTCCAGCCTTGCCGGCACAGCTGTGCGGCAATGGTGCAAGCAACTACGACGACTCCAGAGCTATCTCCACTCACTCCGATCCAACGTGACCAGCATCAACTCCTCCCTCTACCGCGCTCAGCTCTGGGGGGCCATCGCTAGGAGCTCTGGCTTTCGCGGCGGCTTTCACAACTGGTGGCCCAATCGGCAGCTGCAACTTCAAGGCAGCCCATGCAGACTGCCACACTCACCGCCACCACTCCCCGTCGCTGTCTTGATCTTTCAAGACTACCGCTCCAACTTCCGTAAATTTGAGGCCTGGCATCTACACCAACGACGCCAAGCTATCAAGCTCAAATACGACGAGCAAAGTGGAGCTCTCTACCACTACATTCGGGAGGACAGACAACCGGCCATCGACACGCTCACGATCGCTCGGGACTACACCATTTTGGCTGTAGACACGGAAAACAATTTTGTGCACCTCGACAAGGACATCTGCACCAGGGGCAATTCGGTCTGGTCCCTCCATGGAGAACCAGCCCAAGTACAGGCCATTGCCTCTGATGTCGCCCAGGTCGACACAGACCGGCTTCTCTGCCCAGGGCACGGCATTGAGCAGGACTCCTTTGTCACTCACATCAATGACATCCACTCAGAGCTCATCGACCTCTGGACTTCACGTTGGAATACCTCAACCCGGCTATCCAACGAAGAACTTACGAGAATTGCCAACTTCGTCCAAGCCTACATCCCCAAGGGCCACTTCCCATGTGAGCCCATCACGGTCTCAATGTGGGACGACACCCTCAAGAAGTACCGCCCACACGCTGCTAAAGGAGCCGACGGATTTGCACTCCAGGACCTCCGCCAGATGCACCCGGGACATAAGCAGCAGCTGGTCAACTGGCTCAACAACCTCGAGGACGGCCAAACCACTTGGCCTAAACAGCTACTTCAGGGCACAGTCAGCTGCATCGCCAAGACCGCCAACCCCAAAGCAGCAGACAGTTACCGCCCAATCGTCATCTACAGCCTGATCTACCGCACTTGGGCGGCAATCCGCTCAAAGACCATCCTCAAGGGCGTCAGCCATCTGATCCACGACACAGCATATGGTTTCATGCCTGAGAAGGAGGCCATGCAATATGTCTTCGCTATGCAAGCACTTGTTGAGCTCAGCGCCCAAGCCGACCACTCGGCCGATGGACTTTGCGGATTCGCAGTCGACCTGCAACGCTGCTTTAACAACCTTCGCAGGGAACCAGTCGCCCTCATCGCGAAGGCCCTCGGCATCTCGGATAAGGTCCTCAATCCCTGGCTTGACTTTTTGCACAACAACCAGCGGCGCTTCGTCGTCCGGGGCAGCCTCTCCTCCCCCATCGGGTCTTCTGTCGGCTTCCCCGAAGGATGCCCTTTGAGTGTTGCTGCCATGACGATGATCAATCTCAGTTACCATCTCTACATGCAGGCATTTGCTCCGTCGACCTTAGCATATAGCTATGTTGACAACCTTGCGGCCACAGCCTACTCCCCTGCTACGTTGGCAAGAGGATGGTGTGCTCTGGAAAGCTTCTGCAACATGTTCGCCCTGCCTATCGACTACAACAAGTCCTTCGTGTGGGCCGCATCGGCTACCGACAGAAAATCGCTGCAACCCTTCCCTTGCCGCACGGTCCGCAACGCACGGGACTTGGGTGGCTGCATGACATATGGCAGCTCCCTACGCAACTGGTCTGGTAGACAGATGCCGCGGTCTCTCCGGCAAATGGCAGGCGCTCCGACGTGCGCCAGGCCCCCTGGAAGTGAAAGCCAGAACTTTGTGGACATGTTTCTGGCCGCGAGCCCTACACGGGATCGTCACTTGCCTCTTGGGTGAACAGCACATCCGGCGGCTTCGATCAGCAGCCGTAGCAGCATTGAGTCTGAAGTGTGCAGGAGGCAATCCCATGCTGAGACTCGCGCTTGCTTTACCTTTTCAAGCCGACCCCGGATTCTACCAAGCCCTCACGGTCTTCAGGGACTTTCGCCGGATTTGCCGCAAACAGCCAGCTCATGTCAACGAGTGGGCGCAATTCATGCGACATTTTGATGGGCGCCTACTGCCAGGACCCTTCTCCAAGCTGCTAGAAATCTGCGACCCGCTCAAATGGACGATCAACAATGTCCCATACATCACCGATCATGACGGCCTTCACTTCAACCTCCTCACATGCTCGTCCAATGAGCTGACCAGCAGGCTTGAAGATGCGTGGGCGCAGCATGTTGCGCAACAAGTACAGCATCGCAACTCCATGAGCGACCTCAACGGCATCGACCACGCCTGCTCTACACGCCGGCGATCCAAATACACACTACTCCAGGCGCGACTGGTATCAGCAGTGCAGGACGGGTCCTTTCGTGCTCCCGCTCATCATGCTCGATACGATCTGACCAAGAGCGCGCAGTGCCCTGCGTCAGCCACCATTTGCTCGTCCCGAGAAACCCGTTTTTTGCCAACATCAAGGAGCAGCTCCATTATACAGCCGACAGCTCTGGCGAGTTTCATCTTGAACCTGATGGCGCACAATTACAGCATGTTTTTACGGACGGACCATGTTTTGGACACCAAGACTCGCAGCTTGCATTAGCAGCCTGGGCGGCCATCGCACCGGATCGCGGATGTATCGCAGCAGGACATTTGTCAGGTACAGTACAGACAATCAGCCGTGCGGAGCTGACAGCAGTTATTAGCGCCATCCGGTGGACTATCAAACACAACTGCCGTACATGCGTTTGGTCGGACTCACAGTCTACCGTGCACGGAATTGACGCGCTGCTTCATGAACCCACCGAAGCCCCGTCAGGTGAAAACGAGGACCTTTGGCACGCCGCGGCAGACTTACTCAGAACCACAACAGCCGGGACTTTTCAGATTCGCTGGATCCCAGCCCATCTTCAGGAAGCCGACTGTGAATCCCCTTTTGAGGAATGGGTCGCGTGCGGAAACAATCAAGCTGACCATGCCGCAGTTGCAGCCAACCGGAACCGATCCGCTGATTTTGTGCACTTGCACAGCCAGGCCAAGCAGTTTTCCAAGCACTGGGCCGGAATCTGTGATGCGCTGGAGCGCATTTACCTCCGCATCGCACAATGTACCCGTGCTCAGGGCGAGAACCTGCAAATCGACGAACAGGAAGAACCTGATCCGGCTGAACAGCCCGATGGGCCTCACGTGCAATGGCATGACCGCCAAGGCATTTGGGACGTGAGGACTGGACCTCATTTGGCGAGACAAAGCTGCCGGACCTCCCCAGTAGCTTTCTGCGGCAGTTCTTCGAGTGGCTTTTGGCCCTAGATGGGCAAAGCGAAGCTTGCGTAGATGTCAGCATGTTAGAATTAGTTTTGTTTTACCAGCACGGAGCTGGCCAGGCTTTTCCCATTGCCACACCTGATGGCAAGTATGAACATGCGACACATGTCGCTCCGTTCGCCAGGCCTACCGTTGCTAGCCATCTGCGGTTGGTCAACCGCGTTTTGATCGCGTTTGCACGCCACTTTTCGTTGGAGGGCTTTCTTTCTTCGGGGATTGATCGCTCTTTTCGGTCGGTGCACCCTCCACAGAAAGGTGTGCGGATCGGCTGTGACCTGCACAGCATTAGCGCCATGAGACAGCTCACGGCGGTTTTCACGGCCACGCGCCCCATACGGGTCAGCGCGGACCTGGCACGGCCTGCCTAAATCCATGACAGACTCCGCTCGCTGCACTGCGCCAGCCGTGCACGAGCGATAGCGCAAGTTGGAGTATACATATATATATATATATGTATATTTACCTTGTCCATGGAGCCAGATTGAGGGGTCCTGGAAGACGATTACCATTTTCCTTGGCTGGGTTCGATAGGGGGATAGGTGTTTGTAAGGATCACTTATGCAGCCGAACTAGGGCAGACTATGGAAACAGATTGACAGGGAATGCAGGAAAATGAAAGACCCTTGAACATGGTGGTTTTTGTACCCCAGCCGCCCACATGTTGGGTAGTTTCCGGAGCTGCGGCCCCGACTTGTCACCCCTGCCAAAAATGTAAGGTCTCCAAAATAGACTGCAGAAAAAAAAGGGCACCCTTTTTTCTAACCTCTCTAGTGGACCTATGTTTCCATGGCTGCCCCAGGAGTTTCCTCGTTCCTCAAGCCAGAAAAACAACCTTCGGGCCCCGTGACGCCAAGGACACCATCTCCTTGCGAAGCAAGGTGTCGGACAAGCACGTGAGCCTGGACAACGCCAGCTCGGAGGTGCTTTCCGCTACCACGGAGAAGGTGGCACGACGTGGGAAAGTGGAAAAGGGGGGGGGGAGCTGGGTTTAAGAACCAGGCAAACCCCCAAAACACCAACCCAAGCTACGTTCTCAACATTACATGTTGTGTAGGGGAATCCTTTTGAACCACCTTTTCGCCGGACATTTTCAAGGGGTCATGTTACATATGTCTGTTACCAGCAATGAGGGGAGACAAAATCAGACCCCTTCCCTTGAAGTGAGGTTTCAGGGGCCTTCTAAGAAGATTCCAAGAAGCTTTCCTGAGAGTTGACTTCCTCCTGGGAAATGGTTGGCCTTTGTGCTTTAGAAACGCAGGTTGTTCTATAACCTGACCTATGGATTTCCTTTGCAGTTTCATGTTGCATTTTTTGTGCAGACTCGCAAAATGGGGTGACCTTGACCCTGCCCCGCTGCTGTGGAAAAGTTGCTTTGAGGTAACAAAGTAGTCATGGGCGTATCACCGCCACTTTCCATCTATCTCCAGAGAAAGATGGAAAAGACATCTGCCCAACAAAGGCGCTCCCAACTATTTTCCGTTTGTCGCCGGTGGGTCAAAACCCCGGGTTTTCCACCTTGGTTCAATCCCCGCGGCCTCCAAACCCAAAGCGATCGGGTTCGGTTGAGGTGGAGATAAGCGAGCGGTTCTTGGTGACCATGAAGCACGGCAAGGACACGGTGATGCTCAACGACCAGAGTTTGTCCAAGCTTTGGGCCTTCGACCACTTCGGGGATCGAGATATCGATGCCCAGCTACAGCGAGAGCGAGAGAGAGAGAGAGAGAGAGAGAGAGAGAGAGAGAGAGTACCCGCTTGGTTTGGTGGCAAAAAAGTCCGGAAGCCACAGGCGTTCTTGTTAGGTTAGGTTGAGTTGAAAGAGATGGGTTTCACTTTTCACTGGTTTAGATGGGTATTCTTGCATTTACCAACGCCTTCTATGTTTGACAAAGGTCACCCGTGCCGGAAACCCTTTCTGGCATGTTTTTTTCGAATCAACGAAACAAACGTGAGCCCTTCTTCCCATGGCCACATCTTTAAGAAGGCGCCGGATTTCCCATGACCACTTCTGCGGGAACATGAGTGTCCCTTTTTCCCAGGGCAACTTTTTGTTTGTTTTGGTTATTTTTTGGTGATTCATCCGTTTTCCACCCTTTCGCCACAATCCACCCCTTGGCCTTGCATTTGTTTCTTCTGAAGGTGCCATGTTCCCTTGCGTGGAAGATTTGGGTACCCTTTTGTTTGTTTGATTGCTTGCTTGCTTGTTTTGCTTGTGTTTGCTCGCTGTTTTCAGACAGGGCGGGCGGTGTTCGCTTCCAATTTTCACCTTGCCCTCTTTGCGGGGACCGGGGTCCCAAACCGCACCCCCGAGACGAAGACGAAATGCTTGGGGTGGTACAAGGCGCAACATACAACCCACACACATACACAAAATATGTTCTTATGATCCTGACTCAATTCAGTTTTGTTTTTTCCGAAGCCGGTTCTAATTGGTTGGACCCTGTACCATTCACCAGGGTCCCTCTTGGCAGTTCCCCATACGATATGAAGCTGACAACAATTAATCCTTGCTCCCCAGCTCAAAGATTAACATGGACCCCCAAAGATGTTTGGTTCTTCAAATTGGTTCCTCAAAATGTCTGGTCTCTCAAAATTGCTCCTCAAAATCTTTGCTTCAATCTTGGTTCCTCAAGACATCTTTCCACAAACAGCCTCTTTCACGGGTCTGTCTGCCTTTGGCTTTGGGGGATTACCGGTTCTTCTCGCCCACCCCCCCCCCCCCCCCAAACCCCCCCCCAAACCCCCCCAACCCCCCCCCAAACCCCAAACCCCCCCCAAACCCCCCAAAACCCCCAAACCCCCCCCCCCCCCAAACCCCCCCCCAAACCCCCCCCCAAACCCCCCAAACCCCCCCCCTCCAAACCCCCCCCCCCCCCCCCCTGGAGCTCTCTCCAAGGATGCCTTGGAGGCTTGGAAGGTGCAGGACCCGGACTCCGAGCCCATCGTGGTGGCGGTCATCGACACCGGGGTGGACTACACCCACCCGGACCTCCAAGACGCCATGTGCCATGGAGGGACAGACGAACACCCATCTACCAGCTATTTTGATGCTCACCAGGGGTGCAGGGTTTTGACCCACAGCCATATCGCCCAAAGGCTTTGCAAGGAATGGAAAACGGATGTAGGGTGTTTAAGGGAAAACTTGGATTTTGTGGTGGAACTAATTGTTTGCATCTTGTTTGTCCTGGCGCAGTTTTGTTGTTTGAGCTTTTCGGCATTCGTTTTTTGCATTGAGGGACATATAGGAAGTAGAGACCCTCTTTTGTTTTCAATACTTGGTCCTGACTTAGCTTTCCGTTTTTGCCTTTTTGGTTGTCCGAATCTAGTTCCCTTTCAACTTGCTGGTGCTCAGTCGGGAACGACCGGGTTTTGGGAATGAACCTTGGGTTTCCCTTAACAGGAAGCCATAGGGGATGGTTCATACGATGTGTTTATAGGGGTCATTCCCTCATTCCATGCTGAGAACCAGCATGTCAACCGCCAAGAAGTTATTTCACTTTTGGACTGGCCCAGGTGGGTGAACCCCAACGAGATCCCGGGGAACGGCATCGACGATGACGCTCAGCGCCCAATGGTCCGCATGCTTCTCCAGACCTCCGGTGTCCGTTTTGTTGTATATGCGTCTAGCTCCCTTCTTTGGAGGTTGCCTTTTTAGCATCGAGCAAAGCAAGCTCCCCGTTCACTCCCCCAGCCTTCTGAGAGAGTGGGGCCGGAATGTACCCAGAGGTCCAATTCTAGTGAATGAAGGGCTTACGTGTTCCCACTTGGGGTGGGTGGGTGGGTGCATTGTGTTTTCTGCTTTGGATTGCGCGAAGGAACTGCAAGAGAGTGGCTGGTTGGTTGTGCAATTTGCTGGTCCCTCCAAACATATTGGCTTCTTTTGGGGACCCTTTGACACATGCCCAATCCTTTGTTTTTTCCGAAACAAAAGGTTAAGACCCAAGAAGTTTAAGCATGTCTGGCCCAAATGAAAACATACTCGATCCTGCATGTTGCTGTACCTTAGGGGAACCATAGGAGAACGTTCGGGGGACCATACGGAATTCGAAAAGCAAGGTTAAATTTTTTTGTGGCTTTCATAATGGTATTCGGGGGAATCTAGCGACCCCTATTCCCAGAACACATCAATCCAGGACGACAACGGCATCGTGGACGACATCTACGGCGCGGATTTCGCCAACAATGACGGGGACCCCATGGACGACCAGATGCATGGCACCCACTGCGCTGGCACCATCGCCGCCAGTGGGAACAACACCGTGGCGTGGCTTCAGTCAAAGAGATCTGGGCCCAGTGGCCTGGTGCCACTGTTTCCATTCTTTTCGGAGGTTTCCTGATAGAATCCACAAAAAAAGGAGAGTGCCTTTGTTGCGTGTGGCCACTGGGCTTTTGAGCCCCCCCCCCTCCCCCCTGCGACACGGACCCCAGACCAGATTTCCCGTCAGAAATGTATGGCACTTAAAGATCATTCTGCGCAAGTTTGCCCCTCTCCTAACCTTATCTTTTATTCACTCCTTTGCTTCTTTGTTTAAAGCAGTACTGTTGGTGAAATCTTAGATTCAGAGCCAGGATCGCCTTCCTTTGAAAGGGGGGGGAGCGGGCAGGAGTTCGTGAGGCCATTGGGCCATTGTAACCACAAAGGGAAGCGAGCCGATCGCTTGGAGAACCTCGATCTCGGTGTGAACCCTCAAGATGGCCCTGTGTCCCCAACCCCCCCCCCCTTCGGCAATGCCATGGTCAGAGCACCTGCGGTTGGTAAGGGTTGTCATGAACCATCAGGAACCTTTTGGCCACAGGCTCCAATTCAGGGGAGCATATAACCATGGCTGGCACATATAGTGGATGACATTTGAGCGAGGTTGTGGCAACCACACCTGGTGCCAAGCGAGCACATCAATGATGAACCTCACCTGCTCAATCCGTTAACTCATGCTTGCAAATTTCGGCCTCTGCCAACGTTTGATGAATACGAAACGAACGATACCCAACGCGGACCAGCATGTTGTTCCACTTTCAAGTGTTTGGCCCCCGTAGTCATTGGCCCCTGAGTTTGCAAAGCATGCCAGATGTTGCAAGGCTCCTCTATTCCCCTTTGGGTTGCCGTAGGCATAATTGACCTTTTCTTGGCGCTCTTTGGTTAGACCTTTGGCTGGCTTCATTGTTTTGGAAGATGATGCTTCTCAACCACCAGCAGCAAATCAGCACACACACTATTGGGAAAATTGCAGTTGCTTCCACAAACACGCAAAGCATGGTTTTCTTTCAGCACCGTTCTTAACCCGTTGAAACAAGTTCATTTGACCACTTCTTTTGGTCGAACTCTCGAAAGAACAGCCGCCACGACTTCCATTTGCTGAACTGAGTATACCCTCTCACCGACGAACATGGACGTGCACAGACCCCTGTAGAAAGACGCCTTTTTTCTTGGAAGGGGGGCCTTGCGCACTTCCATGTTGGTGGGAGGGTATTCTTTGAACAAAACAGCCACCTGGCGGTTTTTTGGGGGGATCGATCAGGGGGCAACCGCCCAAAACCGGACCCGCTTTGTTCACCCAGCTCTCGAGGTAGGCATCGCTGGGGTCGCCTGGAGGGGTGCCCGCATCATGGCGCTCAAGTTCTTGAGCGGCACTGGGGCGGGACGCACCTCCGACGCCGCCCCTCGGATTGGAGTCGAAGGGACTCGAATGGACCGATGCGTCGATTTGTTGTTGTTGTTTGGTTCTGCTTGGCTCTTTTGTTGGCTCTTTGTTGGGGTTCAGTGCATTGTTCTGTTCGGTTCTTTGGTTGGTTTTGTTGGCTTGTCTCGCCCACTGAGAAGCATACAATTTGACACGGTTTATCTTGGTTGCTTTGTCTTGAACCATGTAGCCGTGTGGAAGATGGTGCTTAATATGCCGTCAGCAGGGCCAGGAGGAGGCAGTGCCTTACGGGGAAAGAGCCCGTGTTGTTTGCGCGTGCTCATTGTTATTTTGGCAAAACAGCACAAGACAGCACCATTTTTTGGCCATGGTGGTGTTTCGTTCAACTTCCAACTCTATGTCCAGAAATGCGGTTTCAATTATCGGCTTTTGGCTAGGCACACTTTGGACATAGCCACATGTTTGGCCATGCGCCTGGACTTTTCGTCATGGAACGGTGAGTTGTTGGTCGAACAGGGTGTATGGAAAACAAGAAAAGGCGGCCATCCAAGTTGTCACCTTAATCTTGGGGGCCGCAATCGGCTAAATCCTTTGGCCATGATCGGCAACCAAGACACCGCCGCCAGGATAATGTTTAGATTTAGGTCTCCTTTGTGGCAAGGAGGGGACTTCATGAAGGAATCCCAGCCAACAGTTGCCCCCAATCTTGGTGAGGCAGATAAGTTTGTGTCAGATCTGATCGAGAGAGGTGTTCCACCGGGGGGCGGGAGGTTGCATGATAGGGTGAGAGTTGAGACGTGATTCTGGGCAGTGTTGGGAGCTTTTTGCTTTAGGTCCGGGCGCAGAATGGGGACGGATCATTGGAATGGGGAAGGACACAGGGTCGAGACCACATCAAAATGCAACCATCGCCTTTTGGAAAGGCGGGTGGCTCGTCTTTTTTGGGAATCGGACCCCCTCAAAAAGGGCAACACGGGTTTCCTTTTTGGTTTCCCTCTTCAAGGCCGCAACAAATTTGGGTGGCCAACTCCAACAATCCTACCAAAAAAGACCGGGTAACGAGCCGTTTCCCTACAAACCCAGAAAAAAAGACGGGGAACAAACTGGTAGACGAGCCGCCCATCCAAATTTCCTCCGGCCCTGGAGAGGTGAAGTCGATCAACTACGCCATCGCCATGGGCGCCAAAGTCTTGAGCAACTCCTGGGGCGGCGCAGGGTCTTCCTCCGCCCTCAGGTGCGAGGGCGGGTCCGGCGGGGGGTGGGGGGGTGTGGGGGGGTGGGGGGCTGGGGGGGTGTGGGGGTTGTTGGGACCTTGGGGCCTTTGGGGCCTTTGGACTTGAATTTTGGGGGCGACTTGTCTTAGGCTCATAGGAAGGTTGCCACCAAACAGATTTGTTCTATCCATACGCCCCCCAACCTCACTTGACCACCATGCAGGTATGCATGGCTGCCCCTGTTCCAAAATGTATGCACGAATGTATGACCCCCTGGCGATTTTGGGCACAAAAGCGCTTGGCTTCCCGCACTCAAGCAGTTGTTCATACACTCGTTATTTTCACAGGTCCTGCAAATCATCCAGTTAGGAAGCGGGTAGATATGGCGCACTAAACTTTTTGCAGGTGGGTCAACAGCAACCAAGCCAAAAAACCTCCGGACCCACGCACATGGGATGCCCTGGTCCGAGGGTGGCCATTGAGCGGGCGGAGCACGCCGGCACCTTGTTCGTGGCGGCTGCAGGGAACGAGGGCCTGAACAATGACGAGCTGCCCTCCTACCCGGCCAACTACCCCATGGCAACTCAGACGCATTGAACAAGTGGAACCAGCCATTCAGGGACATCTATATTTTTTCGTTGCAGTTCCCAAATCACTGAGAACAAATCGGCCTTGCAAACTAGCCCATGGAGATTCCATCGAATGATTCCTGTTGCTTTTCTGTGGCTTCCCAAGTTTTACGAGAAAACCCAAAGTTAATTACCAACAATAACGAGAGAAAATTCAATCACTTAGCCAAAGGACCTTTTACACGTTTAAACCGTTTACACCCAGGCTAGCAACCTAGTTCCAGTTATGAAGCAGGGGCCCGCGTTTGCCCCAGCAGTGCCGGAACCCATGCGACCGAAGGTGTTCCTCTTGAGCTTTTTGGTCATGGCCATGTCCGTTTGCCCCATGAAACATTTCCATTTGTTGCTTTCCCGAGCTTGCTTTCCATTGTTGAAATGGGTCGGCAAGTTGAACACTTTTGTTTGGAAACCCCAAGGTTTCGTCATGTCTTCGTTTTCAACTAAAAACTATCTTTTAATTTGGGTGTCTTGGTTTTCTACCCTCGCTGGGTATGGCAACGAATTTGAGTCGTGAGCAGTTCCTCCAACCACGCGGTCGGTAGGGTGCAACCTCCCCAAAGCTTTGGGCACCACGTCTAAGGGGCACTCTGGAAGAACGGTGGTCCGGCAGACGGATTTCCTTTTTGCACAACCGTCTTTAGCCCAGGGCTTTTTGAAATTGGGCTCTTGGGCCTCTTGTTTGGACATGAGGGGGCGCTCAGTCCAGCTCAAGCTTCAACCGTATATCTTGGCTCTTTTGGAAACGACTGCCTTTTCCATTGAACCTGCAAAGGCCCGCAGTACCCCAAAAATGGGGGTACGTACCCTTTCTTGGCTACAGAGTGGCGGTCCACAATGTTTTTGTTGGTGCTGGTGCTGGGGTAGTGGAAGCCATTTCACACTTGGTCCCGCAAGAAAAGCCAAATTTGGCCTTAGGGGCCAAAGGAGAAGCGAAAAGGAAGCCACCATTTTTGGGGTGTCCCTGTACCGAAGGGTTTGCTTTTTTCTTTCGTATTTGCCCTCCAGTTGGGTGAATGTAGATTCGCGCCATTCCCCCACCACAGGGAATTGTACCGCATTACTTTCAGCCTGTATTGGGGGCTTTCCACTGGCTCCACAGGAGAACATCGTGTCTGTCGCCTCCTCCACCCAGAAGGGGGACCGAGACAACTGACCCACCGGTCGACCCGTTGACCGGTCCACTGGGATCTAACCAAGCAAACTCGCCTGCCCTTGAGCATACGCTTGTTGATTTTGTTTCGTTTGTTTGTTTTTTGCTTGTTTGTTTGGTTGGTTTGTTGGTTGGGTTTGGTTCGGTTTGGTGCGTTTCAGTTGGATGCATGGTTGCATGATTGGGGTTGGTTTGTTGGTTGGTTCGTTTGTTTGGTTCGGTGCGGTGCGATTTGGTTGGTTTCAGTTGGATGGATGGTGGGATGGTGGGTTGGTGGGTGGGTGGGTGGGTGGGTGGGTGGGTGGGTGGGTGGGTGGGTGGGTGGGTGGGTGGGTGGGTGGGTGGGTGGGTGGGTGGGTTGGTTGGTTGGTTGGTTGGGTGGTTGACTGGTTAGTTTGTTAGTTGCTTGGTTGGTTGGTTGCTTGGTTGGTAAACTTGTGTTTTGGTTTCTTTTAAAGGGGTGTGTTTTGAGTTGTTCTTGCTGTTTGCTACTTGTTCCTGGCGGGGCATGTGGGTTAAACATCCCGCTTCATTTGGATGCGATTATGCTTGCTTTGGTTGCGTGTGTGTTTCGCTTTGCCATGGACCGGGCAGCTTTATCCTCGCTTGCTTTTTCAACGCCAAATGTCATATTGACCGACTCGCTTTTTGGTTTGCCTGCTCAAGTGGGCTAGCCCCAATGTCAATCAAATTAATCTTGGTCAACGTTATGGTGAGTTCAAAACTCATCGAGCTTCCTTTTTTGAAATAATGATGGCAAAAGAGTATGCCGGAGGCAACAAATGGGACATATGGCTATTAATTTTGATGGGGAACCTTCGCAAAAAAAAACCGCTCCATGTCACTCCCCAGTCCTGAGTGAGTTAAAACTGGCTCTCTGCCCTGAGCCAGTTTTAACTCAGGGCAGATGGCAAAGTTGGGTTGAAACAAGCCAGTTGCTTGAAGAAGCTTCTTTAAATGGAAGCAATTAGATTTCCGCCCACAGACCTCTAGATCAAGCAGCAAAGTAGACAGCTACGCCTCGTTCAGGGCTTCTTTACCCCTTATTAACACCCCGTTTGAGGCGAATTGTCTCATGTAAATGGTGCTCGGTTTTCACCAGCTGCGCTTGTCTTCACTGGATTGTGTTCCAATGGAGCGAGCGGCAAAGCGCTCTTTCCCCCCTCCCCCCCGCCTTCAAGCAAAACCTTGGAAGGGCATGAAACCCGAAGCCCTTGATGCCAAAAAGCACGGGGACAGCAGTGGCGGATCCGACTTTGGCAAGCCAAGAGGCATTTTTCTTGGCTTCGCGTGTTGATTTGTGCGGAAGACATATCAGGTAGGGAGTTTGGCTGGGGCGGCACATCTGTTAAATGATAACGCAGGTGTCCTAAGGTAAGCTCAATGAGAACAAGGAGCCTCAGCCTAGTCAACGAACCAAGGAACAGAAGTGTGGCCGTGCACAACAGATTTTAGGAAACACCCTCATTCAAGCGTATAGCCACAAGAAACTCAGTTTCAATTGGCCAAACATTCTCGCCTTTTCAAGAGACCCTCTTCCACTTTTGCAGGTGGGCGAGTCCCTAATGTAAGGACCCTACTTACGCACAACGACAGCAGACCCACCCTTCTTGTATGATCACATGGTGTGGCTTTAAAGCACCCCACCCCCTTCGAATTCGGCCTGGAAACAGCCGCAGGATTTGAGCTTGTTCTCCTGCTACGGGAAGAAGACGGTGGACGTGGCCGCGCCGGGCACGGACATTTACTCGACCATCCCGGGGGGTGAGTACGCGTCCCTCGGCTGCAGCTGATCTTCCTGCTTGCCTGTTTGGCCGCCAGTTTAGGTTTTCTGTTTGTAGTCACGTTGCATCGCAACAGGTGACCCTGTTCGTCCGGTTGTACTAATTTATGCTAAGTCATCCTCGGGTCTTGTTGAGTCATTCTTTAGCCATTTGCCCTTTTTAATTCTGGTTGGTGGTTTGAGGATTTGAGCCCCCAATTGTTGTTGTTGGAATGACTGATTTGGGCAGGTACCTCTGAACACCTGCAAACCACGAACCAAAACCGCAAATTAGCGTTTGTTTGCAGAAAGGTTTCTCATCGGAAGCTGCAAGGTGATACCGCTATTGAAATTGGGACACCCGGGTTGGTTTAGACTGTGATTCTCCCCCTTCTTAAACAAGAGGTAGACTCGCCCAAGCCTGGTCCGACAGGCTTCCCTACATTTTCTCTCAACAGGCGATGTTGTCAGGTTGCATGTACTTCATGTCGGTTGTGCGGCGTTTTCCTTTATACAAAACGTAATGCGGTGGTGGGGCCTGCTTCTTTACGGAATGCCTGGCTGTTGGGAGATCCAACGCAGAACCTCTGACATACTGCTGTGCGGCACGCACGATCTAGGTCCAGGGTTCCTGAGTCGCACCCTTAAGGCCGTACCTCTACCTCCGAAATGCTGAGCAACCGCCTTTTATTGTTTTTTGCGGGGGGTTGCTTTTTGAACCCCTAGTTTATGGAGGTCCGTGACTAAGAAACCTGGCACCAAGCCTACCCTGACGCAAGCCCCGCCGAGAGGTCCTTAAGCGGCACCTCCATGGCCACGCCCCACGTCACTGGTGTGGCAGCGCTGGTGTGGATGCACCGCCCGGAGCTCGCCGCGGTGCAGGCGACGTCGGCCCCCCGACCCCACCCCACCCCACCCCACCCCACCCCACCCCACCCCACCCCACCCCACCCCACCCCACCCCACCCCACCCCACCCCACCCCACCCCACCCCACCCCACCCCACCCCACCCCACCCCACCCCACCCCACCCCACCCCACCCCACCCCACCCCACCCCACCCCACCCCCACCCCCACCCCCACCCCCACCCCCACCCCCACCCCACGCCATTCCAGGAATATTCTAAGAACTCCTTCTAAGGGTCTGGGAAGCTTTCCTGGTGAGGCGCCTTGGGTTTCTTACCTTGGTCTGCTGGTTCAAGTGAGGCCAGCAGGACTTGTTAGAGGCCGGAAAAATCCAGGGCAAACCTGAGGGAACCCAAAAGGTTAGGGCCTATGAACAAATATGGCGGGACCCCTCTCATTTTGGCAGAAGTTGCTCGAGGAGGGTCTACGGAGGCTTCCACTACGCTACCTCCAAAAGGAACTGGGGAACAAATAGGTCAAATAAACAAAGCAAAAGACACAATAAATGCGTGCATGAATACATGAATAGAACAAATACACAAATAAAGAAATACCTAAAGGAGAACATGACAAATACACGCACACACACATTTATTTTTATAATTATATATACATACATATAGCCGCATGATAACTACATACATATATATATATATATATGTATACGTAATAGAAAGTGAAATTGTCCCTGGTAGTGATTTGGGGGTAGTGGAAATCCTTTGTGAGAGGGCCCAAGGGGCCTTGGCTCGCATGTCCTCCGCGAGGTGAAGGACATCATTCTGCGGTCGACCGTCCCAGAGAAGGTGCTTCGACACTTTGGGCTTTTTGGAACCTGGAATGTGTTTGTCCTTTGTTTGGGTTCTCTCCTTCTCACCTTGCCCCTATTGGGTGGTTCACAGAAATCCCCGTACAAACGCCAAAGAAGATACCTGACAAAATAGCCCCCTCCCCCAAAAAGGTTGTCTTATGTTGTCTTTCCTTTATCTGCTTTAAACACTTAACACCAGAAAGGTACCCTCAAGACGACCACTGGGCCCAAAAACAGGCTTGAAGGTCGAACAAGCACGGTCCCCTTTGAGGTTTGTTCTGGGGTCTCTTGTGACATGATTTTACATTTCGCTGATTATGCCATATTTGGTTGTGGGGCCAAAAAGCTGAGGTTTGGGAGGCCAATGTTCCGCAATACCAAGTGAAGTAGTCACAGTGACGCTCCCATGTGGGGCCCATTTTCCACGAGACGACCAAGGCCTGTTGACCTGTCCAAAACATTAAGACCTTTCACATTTCTAGTCATCGCGGCAGTTGTGAGAGGCTGAGAGGAGGGGTGCGACTTCGTTTGGGAGAGTTCCACCGGTCCGCCCATGCGAAAAGGCATTTTTGCTATTTGGAGAGATAATATTTTCTTCTTCCGAACCATGTGCTTTACCAAAGCAAATCCTTTTGGAGAGAGAGGTTCGCGTGTTGTCCTTCTTTCGGGTTGGTAGGAGGCAAGTTGGCTTTCTTTTGGTTTCACTTTCAATCCATCCCAACCGGGCACAACAATTGGGCAGAGCCTGGAGGACGCCAAAAACACGAGTTCCATCCTTTGCACTGAAGATCCATTAGCGACTCATTGTGCATCCTTTTGGGGGTGTGAAAATCCAACTCAAGTCCATGAAAGCCATGTTTTGCCTGCAAAACATGCATTGAATGTTTCGTTGCCCCAGGAACATCCTGTAGAGGATGTTTCTTGCTGGTCCTTCAGGAAACAACACGGGTGGGAATCAGCGGTTTATGATCCCCTGAGGAACCACAAAGGAGTTTTCATGCGGATCATTTCCTCATTTGCTGCTGAGAATCAGCAAGTTTGGGAACTCATCCTATCTTATTTTATATCTTAGGATTGGCTCAATGTTAACCAGACGCCAACGCATCGTATTCTTGGTGTACCCTGATGGGCCAAGCAACATGGAATTCTCGGAGTGGGCATTAACTTCCAAAATGCGGGTCTTCTTGTTGGATCCCGCCTAAAACAGCAAACAAAGAGTAGCCTCAAAAAAGTCACACCCCGAGAAGTTAAACAAGTGGACTTTATCAGGTAACCCCTATTGGGGATGTGAACCATGGCTCTAGATGGTAAACGGGAAACCACCGGCCTCCAAACCAGCAATCCCAACCACCACTTGGCAAGCTGAAACAAGTTGTATAAGTAAATCCCTGTAACCTATATAGTAGGTAACCAGCCAATTTGCTTTCGGGTTGGTAAAGGCTGGTTTTCTGGGTTACCTACAAAGCCAGGGAGATGAACTCACTTTTGTTGTACCAGTGGAGGTTCTTTGGGCTGTTTTCTGTTTTTTCTTGGTAGGCCCTCGAGAACGCCTGCGTCACCGGGGGCCGCATCAATGCGCGAAGGGCGCTGAACTTGGCCTCCATCTACCCGGCGCCGAGGCCGGGCTTTGGGAGACTTGGGGTCTGCGTCAAAACATGAGACGGGTGGCTCGTCTCTTTCTCTTCTTTGTTTTTGGCATATAATATAATCTCTCTCTCTATATACATAAATGTATATTTATATAAATACATGCATGTACACACACACACGTAGGGTTACCCCCCATAGCGGCGCAACGGGTGTTCCTTTTGGTTTCCCTTTTAAAGCCGCCCAAGATGCGGTACCAAGGTGGGCCATGGGGCCAAGAAATCAAAAGTTGGTTTCCCAACCAGGCGGCCAGGCGGCAAAACCCCGGGCTGGTTGTTGAAGGTTTGCTCTACATTGTACCCCTAACAGGACCGTTTTATCTGCCCCGTGTCCTAAAAGGAGGGCCAAGCTTGTGTTTGAATCTCTTTTTCTTCTGCATGGTAAGTAGGGAATGACATTGAATGGCCCGTTGTTTGCGGTTCCTTGAGCAACAGCAAGTTAAAGCTTCAAACGGGCTCCTCAAAAGATAGAGTTTGGCCATTTGAAGCAGTCAGCCACTTCTCAGATATTTTGCTAGATAGCCCTTAGTTGGTGCCTTGGATCGATGCCTTGCGGGTTTCTTCTCTGGTTCGTGTAGAGGGTACATGGGAAACCACCCGTAACCACCCAACCACAAATCCAAACCAACAATGACCAGAGGGAAGCCGCAACTTTGTCGGGTAACGCCCAGCCGGGCAATATATTCTATGGCGAGCTCAGCTGGGGGGAAAGCGAGCTCACCATGCGTTGTCTTACTTGGGAATCCGGTTCTTATTTCAGGTTTTGCCGCTATCGTGAAAATCAATTGCAGGTTGTGAAGCAAACATCAAAGCATCCTTTTGGTCCCTCCCCCTGACCATTGTAAGAAAACATGCAAGTTGCTTCAACAACCTGCTTAAACGGTCCCCCTATACCAAATGTGTTCTTCAAGTTGCCAATATTGAGTGCCCAGGCCGCCCATTCACGCGCCCTCCAAGGCGGGAGGGATGGTTGTGGTTGAGGTATGGCGGGAAGTCCATCAAACCTGTGGCTCAGAGATATCTTTTATCCCAAGGTCTGATGAGACAGGATCTGAGCATGTTATTGTTGTATGCTAGGGTTGGGCCGCCAAGATAGATTGGGCGGAAGATCGAAAGCGAATTTCCATTTCAGCCAGACCTAAAGGGCGGAAGCCGAACCTCAAAGTCGTGCGCATGCAGAACTTGTTTAAAACTCTTGGACATGCGCATCTTTCCCCTCGAGCAAAGAAGAAGGACAGACCTGTGCTGCGATACCAACGGAATGTTGTTCGAGGAGCCCTGGCAGTGTCACCACTGAGCCCAATGTCCTTTGATGACAGGACCTAGGAAATCAGTCCACGCCTATCACTTTGGAGGCTGGCCTAGCCAAAAAACTGACCCTCCCCGTACCTTCCTTGAAGCTCCATATCACCTTGGCCCTGCGCGTCTGGGTAGTTGCGCCATGCTGCAAAAGGCGCGTCTCTTCCTTGGGGCCTGGACCTAAGGTCGAACAAGCCGGAAAACCCAGGCACCGGCGCCCCTGGGTCTTGCGGACCCCGGAGCCCCGTGAGGTGGCCATGGGTCAAACTCCAAATCGTACCCCCAGTGAACATCCGATTCAATCCCCACTGAAAAATAAAATGGGTGGCGGATTCGCCTACCATGGGATCCCACGGTTGTGACGGCCAGGTGAGCTTCCAGGACACCAACCCCCTGGTGGGCCGCATCGGCGGGGAGGCTGTGATCACCACCCCGGAGGATCAGAGCGACGTGGACTTCTACTCCCTGCACTTCTTGTCCTCCGCGGGCGCCGGGGGCTGTCGTGGGGCGTGGGTTTTGGCCAGGTGGCCGGGTGTAGGGGGGGGGGGGGAGGTTCGCAGGAAGGGCGCGGGTGGGCTTGGCCGGGCGTGTGGGTGGGGGGCGGCCGTTGGCGTTTCTTCCGGTATCTTCCGGTTTGAGGGAAGGGGCTTGCAAAAGGACGTGGGGGGTTCGGGAGCTCGCATCTGGGTGGTTTCGTGGGCTTTGGTTTGGCTTTGTTTGAAAACGGAAAAACCACAGGAGCCGCAGGAGTCACAGTGAAGGCAAAGGAGCCACTCACTCAAACAATGTGTATGTGTGTGTGTGATGTTGTTTCGACGCGTTTGCTTTGGGTTTGGGGCTGGAATTATAAGAAGGGTTGGCGCTGATAACCACGCGTGGGAACAACCAAAAGTGTTTCTATGCTTCAGGCCACTTATTGCAACTGCAACCGGGGAAGCGGAGTCAGCCGGTTCAACAGCAAGGCAACAACACTTTGCCAATAGACTCGATAATTTTCCCCTTTACCAATTTGGAGGGTTGACTTTGATGCCAACATCATGGTGCATTTTTCATTTTTTTTTGAATGTTTGTTTCCCTATCTCTCTCTGCCAAGAAAGGGGCATCAAATTGAATCTGCATGAAATCAAGCACCAAAAGATCTACTACCATCAACCTGCTAGAACTAGAACTACAAGAAGTACAAGAACTGCAACAAGGTGAACTGGCACAAACATGGGGAGTACATTCCTCGCATTGAACGGGAATCCATTGCCATCAACCCCCGGTGCTTGGAATGGAAATCCATCCAGCGGGAAGCTGCCAGCAGCCCTCTGTGCGTCAGGGGTGCTCATGGAGAGCATCGCCAAGGCCAACGTCTCGGGGCAGAGCTCCATCCGCCTCATGCTGAGGAGAACTCAAACATCGAATGTTTCATGAACCCACCAATTATGTGAGTTTCGATCTGTTCAGTATCTGTGCAGTTTATAACAGTTTATAAGTTTCTCTGTTGGCGATGTTTCCAGCAATCATAGAAGTGGACAGGATGGTGTTGGAAGACTACCATCCTCTTGTCCACTTCCGGACAGAGGGCATCTAGACATGTAGCGAAGCCTCATCTAGTGCCCGTGTTCAGCCCTGGGACAAACACAAAGAAACAAGGAAACAGCTCGGCTTTTCACTGAATGTGCCAGGTGAAATGGGGTTTCGGTTTGAACAGCAGCCAAAGCAACTTAAAATGGCCCAGTTGTTTATGAACGGGTTGCGCGTGGCAAGTGCGTGCGCACACGTGCGTACGTACCTGCAGACATACATGCCCGCATATATATTTGGAGACAAGCGGACAGACAGAAACTCGGACCAAACTCGGACCCAGAAAGTCGGACACACCTGGGTTGACGACGTGGGGGAGCCTTATAGGTTCAGCTAAGATTATATAGGGCCATATCAGCTGGGTCCGAGTTTCTGGGTCCAAGGCTGGCCCAGGTTGAAGAAAGCATGCAGATAGACGGACAGAGACAGATACAGAGAAAGAGACAGAGACAGACAGGGACCTTCTTGGTTTATAATTCCGGCAATTCCGATCAAGCTTAGGGGCTTTATGGCTATTTGCTGGCAAGCCTATATTTCCTCACCAACCAGGAGAACCAGGAATTCCTCACCACCCCTATGGTCCCCCTCCCCCGTAACCCCAACTTTGGGTTGTTTGGGTTACTTTCTATTGGGTTCAGGTGAGTTTTGCAGAGAGGACAACAGCAACAACCAAGGTCAACAGCAACCTTGGGCTACAAAGCCAGCCACCCCGAGAAACCTCACCATGAGCCAGGAATTCCTCGCCACCTTTTTCGGTTTCTTTGCTTCCAGGAACCTCACCATCCCCCTCTTCGCGAAGGGCATGGCGGTGGTGGCGGTGAACAGCAGCGGGCGCATGCCCGTGGCCACCGCCGCAGCGCCGTGGTGGATCCATCCGTGAGACCTCCGGGGTTCGATCGGCTTCTTGTGGTGGGGCCGCTGAAACGTCGCGTTTTGACGGGCGTCGGATTCAAGTGAGTGTAGTTTAAACGTCAGCTTTGTGGGGTCGGTTTCCAGTGAGTGTGGTTTAAACATCAGCTGTTTGGGGTCAGTTTTGGGTGAGCTTTGTATACCAAGTCTCTTTTTGGGTCAGTTTCAGGCGAGTTTCCTGTCACGGAAGTCCGGGGCGGGGAGCTCCTTCCTTCGAGGCTTTCGAGCTCACCCATTCAAGGGTAGAACGATGGTTCTTTGCTTGAGGAGTTCTTACTTCATGCCTTGGAGTTGGTGTCAACTAGCAGATTCCACGATGGCACCATTGAGGGAGGAAGAACAGTCCTCCAAAAGGTATGTTTCCGAGTGTGACTTGGGATGTTCCCCGCCCCATCCTCCTCTTCAGATTGCCACACAACATTTAGAGAAATCCTGCGATCTCCTTTGACAAAACTTTATCTTGCCAGGTTCACTAAAAACGAGTCCTATATATGATTTGTGGGTTGGGGGCACAAGCCGAGGTGGGCACCCGCTACTCTCAAACCGCTGCCAGGGGAACATGTGGTATACCACCGCTACATATCGAACCCGTTCTCTAAATGGACTCCGAAGGTTGGCAACAGATACTCAAGCAAACCCTATTCATCCATGCCGCATTTTATCATCTGATGTGGGAGTGGATTCCCTTCTGTCCACTTTGCGTTGCTATCCACACCCGGATGCGGCGGATTCGCGTTTCGCGGATGGCGTTTATCGGCGTTGAACAGGCGATCCAGAGGAGTTTGGGCAAACGGGCCATGATTGCGCGGCTCCAGGGGGGGCCGGGGGCGCCTTATCTTCGTGTTGGTTTTCTGCTGAGGTTTTGCAAATCGAGGACTACGGGGTGCCGGAGGCAGGCCTCTTGTCGGAGCAGCTTGGGTGACACCTGGGTGTTGGCTTGCGAGTCATATTCAACAGGTTGCGCCAGCCAGCGTTGTCCCACCGAACGTGGATGGATGGATGTTTTGGGCTTCCCTCAAAAGGCGCAGGATCCGTTCCTCACCAAGAAGGAGTCCGCAAAAAGAACACCCTGGTGGCAGCAACTTCCGCCTAAGTCTCGTCTTCGTTCTCCGACGGGGAAGCCTCCATTCCGACGCTTCGGAAAGCCGTTTGCCGTTTCGCCCCGCTTTGCCCGGGGCCGCAGGCGGGTCCTCAAGATATTTCCTTCGGCGGAGATTCAGATGGACGCCGTGGCAATATGGCTGGCACACTCCGCATTCGCCGTGCTTGCAATGAAAGGACAGCTGCTCGTCCTAGGATGCGAGCGAGTGGAGCGACGGGGGTGTCTATGGGGTTCTAGCGAGTCCCCTTTTCCCTCATGAACGCTTGAAAGTCTACATGGTCATCCATGAAGCGGCCCTTAGTGAGAACAGTGTGATGTATATCAAGGTGGGGCCCCATTCTGCCCATTAACGGGTCGGGATGTGCTAGATAATGCATCACTTTTGACCTCCCCAAAAGGAAGCCATAAGCGGATGGATTCAGACCCCTGTCTGACACCCAGTGACCATGGGTTTGCTACCCAGCGCTCTGGATTCGGCGAGGGTGGCTTACCTTGCGGTGGATTGATCCAGTTTAGGAGAACCCTCCTGATTGTCACGCCCATCCCAATATGAACGTGGAAACACAGAATCAGCACTTTTGGAGGAATCTCCTTGCGGGGACCCTTCTTGGGGTACCATGGTACTGTGAGCATGTCCTTTATTAAGGGTACCCTGTTTGGACGGTGTTGAACAGAAGCCCAAAGGCAGCCCGTTTCAACCTACTATGAGAGATAAGCCCAACTGATGAGGGTCTGCCTGCCAACCCTAGGTGAGCCACTACAACATCTACTGGCGACACAATTGGCAGAGCAAGTTGATCGGCACCGTGCCGGCCATTAAATATTTGTCGCCCACGTGCACTGGAGATTGCGAGCTGATGGACGTCTCGTACAAGGACGGAGAAGATTGGAAGCGTTTAACTCGAGAAACACGGCCCCAAGCTGCCTACCGCCTATCTGCAAGCCGTTGGACAAAGGCCCCTCCCATGTCGCCTCGCTGTCCTTGGATAGCTGTGCCGGGGCAAACGTGCAAACTGCTGTGGTGCTTGAGGCCAACCACCAAGAAGGGACAACAAATAATAGCTCAGCGTTCAAGAAGCTTCGGGCAGCCCATCCTCGAAGTCCCAGGGGCCTCAGGGCAAACCAGGCTCCAAAGGCTGAATGTATACATGCATGGCCTAAGCGACTGACGTACTATAAACCTGAAAGCCGTGAGTGCAGGAGCAACATGTCAATGACTAGCGAGTCCCTCAGACTATGCGATATGAAGGGACAAGTTCAATACCAGCTCACCTGGGGTTTGCACGAGCTCAACCATGATGAAGGTCCTGTAATGGCAAGTTTCCGTATGTCCCGTTTTTAGTTGTTTTATTGTGATTTGCACATGCGTACAGGTATGATAACCCCGAGTATGAACCCCTGATTGCTGGGAATTGAACCATTACTTATTGCATAAGTTTGTTTGAAAGGCCCCAACAATTTTCTATAGGTTCACGTGTATACTCTACACACATACAATTATATATATATAGATAGATAGATAGATAGATAGATAGATAGATAGATAGATAGATAGATAGATAGATAGATAGATAGATAGATAGATAGATATATAAATATATGTGATGTGTGTCAGATGTGCGCATATTTTGCGAGTAATTTTAGACACGGGTTCCTAAAGTGGCACAGCCATCCGCCTGCAGGCAAGCCAAGGGGACAGTTTTGGGGACACCTCATCCTTCTGGGGCCCTTGCAGTGGAAACGCAGTTTGTTGGAGTTGCATTCCCATCTTTACCGATGCCAAGCAAGTTTGCGAGAAGCACCTTTTGAGCAGCAAGCCCTCTCAGCAGAATTTTTGTCAGAATTGTTTGCAGGGAATGCAGGGACTTCCAGGGTATGTAATAGGCAACCCGCAACATGTCCAAGGTCGACTGCGCACTTGGGAAAACAAATGACCGGGGATACGGGAGAAGCGGGGATGTCCGGGGATTCCCTGTAAAGGAAACCTGTTGGAGGGTTCGCGCGTTCTCGTTGCCATTGTTGACCCCGGGTTAGTAAGCCTGTCCTGCTTTTTTGTATTGGGCGGGGGGGAGGGGGGGCACCTACAGAAGTGTTCCGAATTCCCAAGGGAAGCCAAGAGAGTCTTTGAGACAAAGCCTGGAAATCCGACCCCAAATCTGTTTTGGACCCAGCAGTCAAATCTACCATGGAGGTCGCAAAACTCGATCTCTCCAATGAAACAAAGAAACAAACAATCAAGTCGGCCGGTTTTCCGTTGGAGCCACGCCTGACATCCGGCTGACAAACCAAAGCGTCCCGTTCCGAAAGGACGGGGTGCGGCGCTACTTTCGCGGCGCCTACGGCAACAACGAGCTGGCGGTCATCACCTTCAGCGGCCCCGCCACGGTGAGGATCACCTCCCTCATGACGGAGCCTCCGGCGGAGTGGGTCTGTCTCCGGGCTTTTGGGTTTTGCATGGTTTTGGTTGGTTGGCGGTTCCCAGGCGTCCGGTTTCTTTGGGCTTTTGCGGTGTGTTTTGTGGGGGGTTGAGGGTTTTGGGATGTTTGGTGGGGCTTTTTATCCGCTTCCCTCCGATTGGTCCATTGGTGGTTTGGAGCCCGATGGTTTGGCGGTTTGAACCGCTGGCTTTCGTAGGTGATCAGTTGCCCATCTATTTTTAGTCCAGGTCCCAAAAGGTTAGCCTTTTGTTTCCAGGTCCTTTGGGCAGGTGCGGTTGGTACCCATTTTGTGGTTGCAATCCAAACCGCCAACTGGGGGGGATATCTGAGTTTATGGTTGTTTTACTGGGGGGGGGGAGGGCACCCGCGTTCCTTTTCTTGAGGGGGGGGGTGGTACTCCTTTTTAGAAACAAACCCACTTGTTGGCGGATTTTTCTGGGGTCCAATGGGGTTCGGTTTGGTTTCATGGGGTTTAGTTTTCACAAGGCATTTTTTGTTAAACAATGTTGTACTATACGAGTATTATATATATATATGCATGTATATATATATACACATATTTATACACGTATACATATAATACAACATGGCTGTACACATATATACGGGGCTGGAACACCAGTTGTTTAAGCAATTGGCTTTCCTTCGGCTATAAAGTTTCTTCGTCCCAAGTTTGAAAAGAAGTCCAACCGCCGGGTGGCGGTTCCTCTTTCCAGACAAGACAACCCCGCGCCCGAGCCGGGCCGTTTTGGTGCAATCTTGGCCCAGGGTCCGGCACTGGGCTTTACCCACCCAGATTCCCATAGTTGGGGAGTGGGGGGGGGAGCATCCTTTTAGTCAAGCCAGAGAACTTAGCAGACCGAGCAACTCCTGCGATTTTGGCCTGGACACGAAGTTTCTGCCAGGCCTTTGTGTTTTTGCCGGTTTCCTTGTTCGTTTTGGTTGATTGGGGGAAGGCTGCATCTGTAAAAGGTATCCTGTTTTGTGTCTCCTTTTTGAGTTCCCTGTCAATTTGAAGGGGTAGGTGTTTCTTGACAGAAGGCCTGAACTCACTGCTAATTTGGAGATTGGAACCTTCTCGAGGGGGGGGGGGGCATTTTGGAGTATGGCAAATGCTTTGTTGCAACAGGATTGCCAGAAGCGAAATTCGGTGGCTGAATTTGAATTTCATACTTTAAAGGCATGTTTTTGCGTGTTCCATAGCATCTCGAAGTCGGCATAGGAAAGCTACTATGACTACTTGGAGATTGCCGGGGTCCAGGTGCCGGCAGAGTGACGGGATCGCTCAGTAAGAGTCGCCCTTTGGGAGTTGAAGCTGCTGGGTTTTCTGTTTGCACCAGTGGCAAAAGAATGAACATCTGTCTGCTCGAGTTTCCAGGGATGCTCATGAACCCTTGAAAGTAGGAATTTTATGAATTTTAGACAGCCTCTATTGTAAGGTTTCCTACTAGTCGAAGGAGCTTTGACCCATGGTAGTCAAAGCTGACCGCGGTTTGGATGGTCTCAAAGAGAAACCCACAGGCTAGCAACAATTTTAGAGGCTATTCTCGCAAGAAACACCCATATGAGCCCTTTTAGCATCACCCCACCAACAGGCAACCAACAGGTAGCGGAACCACGCCAGAAATCTGGGAATCCTGTTTTGTTGGACGCATCTGCTCCGCTCCGAGTTTGGGTGCCCCAAAGTTGAAGTGCTGCCCGGAGGGGAAGCCGCGAAATCGGACTTACACATGTACCCCATGGGCTAAAACTAGCCACGCGGGCCCCCTAGCAACATCCAATTCTGCAAGGGTGCCTATGTCAAATAGCCCTCAGAATGATAGAAGCCAAAAGCGCTTCTCTTTACTCCTTGATCTTGTGTTGGGCCCCTCATTCTGAGGTCGCCATTTGGGCCTTGACCATTCGGTTGAGGAGTGTCAACATAATAATCCCGCGAATCAAAGAGCAACACAAGGACAAGGTGCGTGGAGCCTCGAAACGATGGTAAATGGGTCTGTCTGTTCTGGTACCACTTTGTGCTTTAACCAAGAAACCACAAAGTTCTTTTTTTTTGAAGGGGGGGGGGGCGGGGGGATCCCCTGCAGAAGATAAAGAAGACACACCTGTTTGTTTTACCTTCTGTGGCCAGCAAGTTTACAGTTTCTACTCTACCATCGTCCTTGGGGCAACGCTGAGTTGGTGTGGGAATCTCTCACATGCTGAAGCTGAAAGCGCGCCGAGTCCCTTAGAAACTTAAGCACTCACCAAACCACCGCGCAGCCAATCAGGAGACTGAGCCATGGTTGGATGGATTTACGTCCGCCAGTCATTTTGAGGGTGTGCCGACCATTCCAAATCTCGATGTCAAGCATGGAAGCCGTGCTTTCTTCCGAAAGGGGGAGTCTTTCGGACGCCCTTAGGAACTGAAGGACCGACTAAGCGGGGTGCCTGAACACCAGCCCCGTAAACCATTCCCCCCCCAATAACAAGGGGAAACAAGGGTCAATGACCTCCTACGACTGAACGGGGACAACTCCTGGTGACTGATGGCTTCGGAATTTGGAGCCCGGTTGGGACGCATAAGGGCCCTACCCAAACCAAAGGGCGCCAAAGGGGATGTCCTTTTATGGGGTGAGCCCCCTGTTGGCTGGTTTTAGGGGAAACCAAAAGGGAAACCAATCATTTTAGGGGTCCCCTACTTTCTGTGGATGGACGGACTCCTGCAGCACCTAAAACAACCATGGTTGCAACCATTGTTTGTTTCTATTTACATGGGAAGCATCATTCCCAGGGTTTTCTTAGGTGGTGCGAAATGGATTTCATTCATCCACAATATGGACCAGAACCAATTACCCCTCCCACCAATTTACATGGAACCTGACAGGGGGGTCCTAGAAGATCATTTTCTTTGAACGGACCCATGTTCATTGGTTGGAGGGTACCCTCTCTCCAACTAACATAGCACCTCACAGAGGGTCGCTTCAAGAGGAAATTGATCTTAGGTGCCCTCACGCAGGTGCTATATTAGTGGGAGGTATGTTCTTTTCCATGAGGTAAGACTCCTTTCAGCAGCTTCGTCCGGAGGTGAGCGGGTCGGACCTCGAGCTGCCGAAAGTCTTCCGACTGCCGCAGGGGGACCAAAGCATCACCTGGCTCAGCGACCATAGCGACAGCTCGGGGGGGTGGATCTTTGAGCTGGAGCAGGAGAGGTTTTGATTGAACGTTTTCGGGTGGTGCCAACCAGAAATCTGAGCAAGTGAGGTTAAACAGCTAGACCTGTGGGAGCAGGACACCTTGACCTGTTCGCACCCTGGAATCCTCGAGTTTTTGGGACTCTCATCAAACGACAGTTGTCAGAAGTGGTGAGTTTTGTCCACATTTGTAGGGGGGAAATGCGTGGTTTTGTCGCTGGGCGGGGGATTTTTGCTTTTCCGAAATTGGGTTTCTCCGGGGGTTGGAAAGCTCTTTCCGTACGCTTCTGTGGTCATTTCCCAAAGTTTTCTTGGGAATACTTGGTTTTCTTGCTGGTGCTCAGCAGGGAATGTGGGAATGAACCTGGGATTCCCTGAAAGGAAATCAGTCGGATGGTTGTTTCATAGGGGCATTCCAGTGCTCATTCCCTGCATCTCTGGCACCGGCAAGATAAGGGTCTGCCTTTTTCATTTTCCTACGTTCCCTTTGAAACACCAAGAAAAAAAGCAGGTCATTCCCCCCCAGTTTTCCTGGGGCTGGGTTAGTTTTGGGCTCCGACACCCCGAGTTTCGCCACGTTTCGGCTCCGCCGCGGTCGGAGGACGGGGAGGAGGTGGCCTTCCCGCTGCCGCCCACCTCCTCCTGGGGCGCCTCCGCGCAGGTGGCGGCGGCCTATGGGCGCACGGAGCTGGCAGAGGACGTGCTCAGCTGCCAGGCGCGCAGGTTTTCGGCCCAAAATGGTGCTGGGTGGCTCAACCGGCCATCCGATTCCTTAGCTTTTTGAAAAGCCTTTTAGTGTTTAGTGGTTTCCATTTCACCCACTAAAGGTTAAACTTTTAGCGGGGGATCTGAGGGCAGCCCAGTGAGTGTTGTTGGGGCCTCTCCATCCTTGGAGTGGTCTCGGCTGGTGCGAACTCTGTTGGTGCTTTTTGGGGGACTAGGGGTCCTCAAGGGAACACTCTGTTGGGACCTTATGTTGGCTATAAACGAAGGGCCCGCGACTAAAACATCAGTAGAACCAGCAAACGCTAAACAAACGGTGAAGTCTGAAATGCGCCGGGGACTTTCGGAAAGTTAGGGATTCTTCCTATTCCAATGCTTGGAACATGCAGAATTGTGCCTTTTGGTTTTGGGTAGGGCTCCCTAAGTTCCACAATGGATTCCACTGTCGACCCTCGATTTCAGCAAACCTGGTGGATTGTTGACACAACTTGTTTTGTTCAGAATCCCTGATTTTGCAGGTCAAGCCATTTGTCCAAAGCTTGTCGGAGCCACATGGTGAAGAGCCTTTGGACATGCGGGCATTTTGAGGGCGAAGCACGTCAACCGCACCAAACTAAGAAGCCAATGCCCGCGTGAAATGTCCACCCTTGATTAGCAAGAAAGCCCCCTTACCAAAAAGTTCGACTGTTTCCCCCAGTTTAGTATTCGACCTGAATAAGTTGAGCAATGCTACTTTTGAAGTCTTTCACACTACGGTCAGATTCAGGAAGTCTGGCACTACTATCTTTGATAGGTTTCGTACTGCAGTCAAATTCCAGAAAGTGTCGCAATACTACTTTGAAAGGATGCATTCATTTTGTTTGACCTGCCTTTAAAGGATCCATTTCCAGGAAGTAGCTTCATTTAGGGTATGCTGAATTTTGTGCAAATGACTTTGTGGGGCGTACCCTTGGCTGATTGTTTCAGATGTGTTTTTGAGAGAAGGTTTTAAGTATTGCATAGAAATCGTGATGAACATGGACACCCAAACATAATTTTGTGTATTTGTTAGCTTCGTTGAGGGAAGCTGGCAATGTCGTCAAATATTAGAATGCCCCTAGGGGTGGGGTTTGTGGGCTGGACTTGACGTTGAAAAAGGTAGCGTTGGGGATCGTCAACAAATTATTTGGGGGCAGAAACGTTTAGCTGTCTTGACGGGTGTCATCGTTTATTTTGGGGTTGTGCTTAGCTCTTTTTTAGTAAGGGCGAACTGATTGATCATAGGTGGACATCATGTGCATTTTGGATTGGTGGGGTGGTGGGCCCACCTTTATGCCCACCGGCAAGCAGGGAAGCCCAGGGCCATGTGCAGTGAAACCCACGGGCCCATCCGCGAATCCTATCGACGAGGCCGAATAGCTGCTGAAGTAGCTTAGCACACAACTGCTCCTGCGCCAACAATCAATTATCAGCAAGTTGCAAGGCTTTCTAAGCGGAGTCGGCAAGCTGAGTCCGTGAAAGTTGGCTTCTTCCCAATTTAAGTGTCTGCTTGACATGGTTGATTTGCCCCGTCAAAAAAAAAGGTGTTCCGCGCAATCTTGGCGGGCCATGCCAAGAGTGAACTACAGTTGTCATTGCGTCAGATTAACCTGTAGACGGACAAGGCAAGCAGCAAGCGTGCTCTTCTAAATCCACGCAATGAACATGGACGTCAATATCTCCCCTCCCTTGAACCCCCCGCCTCACGTCCCCACCGAAAAAAAAAAAAAAAAAAAAAAAAAAAAAAAAAAAAAAAAAAAACCACCCCAATGGCAGCTGATTCCGAGGATCCTTGTTTCAACACCGATTCTCCCGATCGAAGTTCCCAGAGGTGCACTTGCTCGCTTGCTCTTGGGGTGTTGTACCCTAACTCAGGCCGTGGAGACCTTAGGTCTCCAACCCCAAGCCTGTTTGTCAACTCGCCCTTTGTGCATCCGATGCGCTGTGGGGACAAGTGTGCCCCAAACCTGTTTGTTAATTCTACCTTTCGGCTCATGGGCCAATAAAGAAACACACACGATAAAAAGCACTGGGGGGGGGGTCGAAAAGAGCTGCCTCCAGCTGCAAAGGCGCGCCGGGTTGGACAGGTCCCGGACTTCGACGCCGAGTCCATGGCGCCTTCCAAGGCCGGCTACGGGCTCACCAAGACCTGGGGCGATAGGTGGGGAGAATGAGAAATGCAACGAGCCGTTTTGGGGGAGTCCTAAATAAGGGAAACCATAGGAACTGGATGGTTTGCAGGGTTCATTTTTCGAGTTCGCAGCTGAGCATCAAGTTGAGGGGATCCGATTCTTGTTTCAGGCTGGACGTGGGACATGGCAGATAGCTCACTGCAAACAAACAATTCTGCACACCTGGGGCCTGAGATCATGGACCAAGCGCGCCGCGATTTTTCTTTTTTTTGGCCGGGGGGGGGGGGTTCTTCAAACAGAGCAACACCGCATGTTCCATATCTTAGGAGAGACTTTTTCGGAGGACCTTCCTGGGGGCTTTGTTTTGGGCGGCGGCCTTGGGGCCGGCCTGGCGCCCCTGCAAAGGTTGGGGGCCCCACGCCTTGCTAATGCACAGCATGGTTTCATTGAGCATATGCAGGGACATCTGTATACCTGCAACGGCACATATATATATGTATATATATATATGTATGCATATATATATATATATATATATATATATCCATATGTGTATGTGAATGCGCAGGTTTTGTTGGCACATGTATCTGCTGTTGTCTACTCGTTTCCGCTTGATGCGAGGCGTTCCTGCCCTTGGCCGTGGAGTTCGAGGCAGGGTTCATGTGCCCATCGGTGCGAAATCGGGTTCTAGCTTTGGGGCTTTTGGACTTTTGAGCTTTGCATCTTTGGACTTTTGAGGAGCAGTGGATTTTGCATTGGGCCTGCAACAAGCTACACTTTTTTAGCATAGGTGGGCCCTTTGCGCTTTTGTTGCTTAGAAATAGATGGGTTTCACCGGTGTAGATTGGTGTTATGCCCCATTTGCCAGGGAAACCCATCTATTTGGCAAAAGGAAGCCTCTGGTTCTAGGTGATCTGTACGATTCTGTGCTAACCTGCTAAACAGCAAATAGTGGTCAATGTCCGGTACAAAAAGCTAAAAGGGATACTTGGATGGTGAGGCAGCAGGCTCGCCCTAGAGTTATGACTTTCGATTTCCTCAAAAGGGGTGGTAGACACATGTGTTTATATTGTACCTCGGGTGAGTATGGTGAGTTCCCTTATAGCAACGATTGCACCCTAGGTTGAGCATCAAAGAGCGGGCTTGCTACCCTCTTTCCACAAACTCATGGAGGCTAACAGGTGGGGCTACAGTCCGTCTTGAAATGTTCGGTCCACTTCCATTGTTGGAAAGAGAGAGGGGGGGTCGGGGGGTCACCTGAAGGTTTGTTGGAGCAGCCCATGTTGTTCTCACTTACCGGGGGTTGCGACCGATTTCAGCCGTTGATGAGGCACACCTTTTGATGAGGCACGGACTCCCTTTTGACATTTCCCTTGGACTTACTTTGAGTGAAGACTATCGCCATCCAGGTTCACTAAGTTTGTTGCATTTGATGCATGAGGGGACCATGTCCGTTCAATCTTTACAGCGTTTCTTTTTTTTTCCCGCCTTCTTGGGGCTGGCATCACAAAGTCAGCCAACCTGCAAATCTGTTCTTGGAACCCCTGCGTTTTGACCCCTCGAGTTTCCGTTTAGGACGAGCACACGGACGAGGGCTTCATCCGTGGCGTCTTGAAGGTGCGCCTGCCCAAGCTCACCGAAGCGCAGACCGCGCAGGCGCCATCCGCGGTGCTGATATTTCGACTGCCTCTGCCCACAGCGAATCGACCTGTTAATCTTTTGGTTTCCCTGGTTTGGTCCATTTTTAGTCAAGGTTCCTGAATGATATGGGCATGGAACGGTTTTGCTTTGGAATGGGGACACGCATGTAGAGCAGCCATACCCAAGCATCCAATGCATTTTCCATTGGACACCAAGGCTTGCCTTCATGTACTTGAACGTCACCCAAAGGAATCTTACTTTTGGCCGAAATGATGTTCAAAACACGTGGAAATATGGCTGCGTTCAAAAATAGACGAGGACATGTGCATCTGGCCCTTTGAGGATTATCTGCGACGGACAGGGAGTCAGGGCAGAGAGCAGACAGATTTCTTGAAGCGTGTTGAGCTGTGTGGGATATCGCCACTACGATCAGAGGAAGGAAGCACCACTCGAAGAGATGATCACACTATAGAGATCATGTTCCTAAACTGAAGGGAGTCGAGGTTTCCATCCACGACATAAGTTTTGCTGGTTGATCTTCACTGACCAGGGGCCTTCATCAATTCCCCGAATCATGGTAGGGGGGGAGGGGCGGTGCTCTGCGATTGCCGGCCTGGCCTTTTCCTTCCGTGAACTGCTTCCAGTCAAGGCATCCCTCTGCTTTTGCGAAGGTTCCTTGGGTCGGTGGGCTCCCAAGTGTTTGGGGCCAGGTGGCCATGGGTCAAAATCCGGTACCCCCAGTGAACATACAAATCCTTTCTAAAATAGACTAAAATGGGTGGTGCACCTATCTCAAAAATTGGTTTTGAACCATGGCCAGGTGTCTTCCTATCGCGTCTTCCCGGCTGACGCGGATCACCGACAGCTCGGGGAGCCTTGGACGCTGGAAAGGCGGGGCGGCAAAATGGGGCTTCAGCGCGACCCAGGGTGAATTGATGCATCTCGTCTCTTGGGCGGGGCCCCCTCATGGCTATTTGGTGGGTTCTTCGGACCTTAACACCTGTTTGTTGAAACAAGTGGGATTTCCCATTGGACCCACAAGTATAGTGAAGCACTTCTTGCCCAGGGGTAGTTACAGCAACCAAGCTTCGGCTCAAACCAGCCGCGCCGGCCATCGCAACTCGCGCCTCGCGCCTCGCGCCTCGCGCCTCGTTTCGCTCCGTCCGGCTCCGCGCGCTTCAGGCGGAGCGGCGCGGGTCTGCTCCAGCTGCGCATCGCCACTCGGGTCCCTTTGGAGGCCACGCTGCTGGTGGCGCAGGCGGTGAATGCGGTGGGCGCCAGCCAGGAGGTGCCCGCCAGACCCTGGCCCTGGGATTTGTTTTGGGGGCGCCCCCCTCCCCAAGGTGAAAGGAGGTTGAAACAAGGGTGGTTTAGACCGTGCACCAAGCAAAACAGGGGAGAACGATTTGGGTGTGTGTCCTACCCCTTTCGAGTGTGTCCCCTGGCAAGTCTCCAGGTGATGGCCGTGCCGCTTCTGGACGTGGTGCGTAGCGCGCCGGTCGACGCCAACTTCTCGGGGGACGAAGATCCGGTGGAGGGACAGGTGAAGGGCACCTAGCCTTAGATCGGACCAGACCCCCAGACCCCATGTGGGTATGGGTCAAAATTAAACCACCAAACCACCGCAGGCTTGAGTCCATGTTTCCATTTACCAGGGTTCCATTTCGGGGTTACCCAATTTTTGACCCACTGCCATGTGGCTGGAAAACCGCTGTTCGCCCCCTTTTTGTTTGGACGAGTGTCGAGTGCTTGTTTGTTGCCATGGCCACGGTCTGCATGTTGGAGGCAAGTCTATTTTGCAACCGCTTTCTTTTATGGCTTGGGCCCATCAAATGAAGCCTAAGCATAAGTATCCAGGGCGCGAAAATACCACCCTTCTTGTTGGGGGGGGGGGGGGTGTCTTTTGGAAAACGGGCAAGTTTGTTCCACCCGACCCTCGATTTTTGTTTGTGGTTGTTAATTACAAGGAGTGGGTTTCAGTCCTTTTCTTTGCACGTGTTATTGGGCAGATGCTTGGTTGGTTGCTTGCTTGCTTGCTTGCTTGCTTGGTTGGTTGGTTGGTTGTTTTCGAAAAACGTCTGGTGCTTTGATTTGTTGGTTGGTTTGAACCAACCCGAAACACAGAGGGCGCCTTTCTCGCACGAAGCCGCCTGCCTCACGGTAAGGCAAGGTGACCATCAAGCCCGCGGCGAACCCCAGGAACATCATCGCCTATAGCACCTGGTCATGCTCCGTTTTTGGATGCCGTTGGAAGGGAAACCACCAGTCTTTAACTGTTCACCTACTTTTCAAAACAAATGTTTATCCAAGAAGGTGTGTTGAAGCATTTGCACCTTTCCTGCAGATGATGTGACTTTTCCCTGGGTTTCGCCCCCTCGTTTGTTTCCCTTTGCATTTTGTTTTCTGCCGAAGCTGAGGCATTTACTTGGCCAACGGCACTCGCAAGCAGTCACTGCTGGGCCGGGTGGCTCCGTCTCTGGGCGGGGCGGTGATAATTTTCGCGCTGCACGCGGCCTACCAAGCCGGGCAGAACCTCCTCATAGTGAGCCGCTGGGCGAGCAGGGTTGTTTTCATCCCCCAGTGATGAATCCCCAAAAGGGAGCGGGCACGCCCCTATTAATCAACCAGGGGTTTATTACTCCGGGGTTAGCATAACCAACAGGGGTCCAAGTGTAGAACCCCCGCTGGCTTAGGACCAGGGTTGTGGGATCACACGGGTTTTACCCCCTGTGATGCAAGGGAATCTGCCCAGTGATGATCGGGGGGGTTAGTCTTTGGGAAGCCTTTATCTTGGTTGTATCACAGAAAGGGGCATTTCCCACATCCCAAACTTGCTGGTTCCATAGGCAGGGGATGAGGCATGGAATGACCCCCCAAAAGAATCCATCCCCTACGGTTTCCTTTAAGGGAATCCCCAAAACCCTCGGTTACTTCAAATCTGGGAAGTCCCTGAAAGCTAGGATCTTTTTAAAGCCTCATATAGGCATATTTAGGTTCACTAAACTTGGAAAATAATCAAACGTGTTGTTTTTTGTTGCCAACCACCCATCCAAATCGCCAGTTGAGTCTAACATCCTGTGACAAGAAATGCATAATTACCCGCAAGGCCCATGGTCCTTTTCGCGAGTCAAGTTCGATCTGAGGTTCTTACCTGGACAAAGACATGGACCAAGGGATCACTCTGCCGGTGTCAGATTTCGTGGAGGTTGCCAGCAGCAGTTATACTTGGTACGACTGGGGCGGCTATGGTGGCTCTAGCTCTGACTACGGGCGGCACTTGGAGGCCGGTCTCTGTTCGTCTTTTTGCACCATTCTTCAGAGAATAGGATGGGTTGTGAACATACAGTTAAGCTTTTAGCAGGCTCCAGTTTACTAGCTTCATTGCAAAAAGGGCGTGTTATACAAATCGGCCAAGAGAATGAGAAGTCGGTTGCAACCAGAAGGACAAGGTCAAGGCACACTTGTTCTTTCCCAGCAAGCGAACAAGACCTTCCGCACTTGTTCAGGTAGAAAAAAATGGGGGAAAGGGAGGGGTAAGGCCCATTTCCCCATCAAAAACAGACAAAAGGAGAGGGCAATCTTCCAACAAATCAGCGAAGTAGACATGGGGAATGTCATTTCTCCTTTAAAATCAATAAACCAGCGAGTGTTTCCCTTTAGAAAAACAAACAACATTATTTTCCGAAATTCAGCCAAGCACAGCAGGTTGTTTCTCAAAGATCAACCAACAAGCAATTGTCCCCTTCTCAGCCAGCCAACAAGGAGCAAAGGGGTTTTGGTCAATCAAAACTACAGGGATAGAGCCTTTCCTGCACCACCCACTTGAGTCACATTCAAAACCTGGGTAATTGGAGGGTAGTAAGGGCCCGACATGGGTGCAGCCGCCTTTGAATTCTTTACATGGTTCTGGGCAGACCTACTGTGGATGGTTGCGAAATCCATTTCGCAGCACCTAAGAAACCCTTGGTTCTGATTCGATTCTCCGGTTAAAATGCCCAAAAACAACCAATGGTTTCAACCATGCCTTCAAAGTGTTGCAAAATGGATTTCGCAACCATCCACTGTATGGGTGTTTCTTAAACTAGGGGGCCCCATAAAAGGGTTGGTTTCCCTTGTGGTTTCCCCTTAAAACCCAACCAAAAGGGGCTCGGATGTCGCAACCCTCCACCAGGTCTCTCCCTTCACCGCTCGGCTCGGGGGAAGTGCCAGGAGTCGAAGCCTCAGCCCTGGCTGAGCTCCAAGCGCCGCTTCGGGGACTTCCAGCCGTTGTGGTCCGCCGCGGGCACGGTGCCGGTGGTCCATGGCAGACCCCCGAAGACCAACAAGCAGGCGCCGTTCACGGCCGTTCGCGGCCGTTCGCGGCCGTTCGCGGCCGTTCGCAGCCGCGGGTCCGCAGGTCCGCACGTCCGCGGGCGCCGTTTCCAGGGAACTCACGTGTTTCTTTGTTGGTGGTTCCTTGAACCCGGGGTTCCTGGGATGCCACTGACACGCAAAAAGATTAACATGGCTGTTGCTCATTTTCCTGGCTTCGTGGTCCTTTTTTTCGGACACGCTGCTTAATCGAAGCGCCGAGGCGGTCTTCAGCGTGCTGAAGATCCGGAACTTCCTGCGGAAACTGGGGGAGCCGCTCGGACCATGTCTGGGGGGGGGGACACCGCCCTGAGCTCATGGCTTTTGGGCCTCATTAGCGCAAAAGTTCCCGGATTTTAGAAAGGTTTACGGTTTGGACCAGTTTAGTTAGAAATAACAAGTTTGGACTCGTTTTGGGCAACCACCAAAGGCGAAGCAAGCCTCAAAAAAGACAAGTAGTGCTTTGGGGTTCAAGGGTTTGAGGGCCTATTTGAGGGTACATGTACATGGGCTTTACCCTTTTCGGTTGGCTTTCATGGGGACCAAAAGGAAACCACGCATTTCTTGAGTTATTTTTTTTGAAAACAGACACCCCCCACTTCATCCCCTCCCCTAATCCACCTTATCTACCCAGACGGGTCGGCGCCCAGGCAAGCTGCTTTTGTACCGCCCAGCGTGGAGGAGAGACAAAGCGTGGCCGAGACGCTGGCGGAGGTGTTGAAGGCGGGCGCCGAGGACGGCCGAGGTGTTCCGAGGCTTTTCTAGAAATTCTAGGGGTTCCTTCCATTTCCATTTTTTTTCCAGGGATCCGAATCTTTTCAGGAAACCATCCAAAAAAAACCAGGGGAAACAGATCCGGTGCTTGAAAAGAACGATGGTTGAAAAGAATGGGGAATCAACCCCTAGAGGTTTAGTGTGTGTCTTGCTTTGACAAAGGGAAGTCAAAGGGAAGCCAGCCATTTTTCAGCGTCCTCTACTTCAAGACACCCCCATATAAGGGGCTGAAGAGTTACACACGTTGGTCTCTTATGATCATGACTTAATTTGGTTAAGGCCCCCCAAAAAACTCCATGCCAATAGTCTTAGGCCCTTGGAGGTTATGTTTTTCAGCCAGTCCGGGGTCTGAAGGACCCTTCGCTCTTGGGGGTGTTGCGTGAAAAAAAGGGGCCGGATAGCTAGAAAGACCACCTTTCGGTCGCCATTTTTAGGAGGTTTTAGGGTGATGTTTAAGGAGGTGATACTATTCGGGAGACTTGTGGCTGCTTCCAGAAATTGGCGACCCCTATCCTTTTGCTTTCCTTTTCACCCCCTTAAAACCCCTTGAGCGCAATGTCCATTTTGAGCATGCCCAAAACGGGTTCCTCTCCAAATGCTTCCCCTCAGCCCTTGGAGAACCAACCCTGGAACGGGGGAGTCGAGCCGCTCAGGTGGAGATGGGGCAGGTGAAGCTGACCTTAGGGCGGGCATTGAAAGACCCGGTCACACGCACCGCGGGAGATGCCAACGATGCCAGCCTCATCATTGACTTTGAGGTGCTACCCGCCAGAGAGGCGCCAGAAAGGGGAATCCAGCAACCCGGCTCTATGGTGCTCTGTTGCTATATTCCTCCCGTGGTTTCTTGTTTTGGGGAGTGGTATTGGGTGGCGAGTTTCCTATTTGTTCTGTCTCGAGGCCCAGTATATACGTATGTTTATGTATATATGTGTGTGTTTTTTGAGGGGGAGGGTGGGGTTTCCTCCACTTTTGGTTGTTTCTGGATTTCTTGTTTGAATGATCCTTTTCGTTGTATCTTTTGTTGATTGAGCTTTCCCGGGGGCTTCCTTTGCCTTGGTTGTTTTGTTTTCAATTTTCCAGGAGACCTCGCCCTTTTTGCATTTGGTTGGTTGCCTTGTTATCATGCAAGTGATTCCCGCCCCCCCCCACAAAGAAGAAACCACAAGCATTTTAATGAGGACTTTTGACTGAAATGAACCAGAACTTGCCGCCCTGTCTTTGTGAGCCGTGCCTTGGTAAGGTACTTTTTTGACCAGGTGGAGGCGGGGGCGCTGGCTGAACCTCGATCCCAAGTCAAATCCGCCGGAATCCGCCGATACCGTTTTGGTTCTTTGGAAAAGGCGTTTGCCTTTGGGCGATGTTTCAAGAGGACACGTGGGGAAACCTATGCTGAACTGATCAACGGACCCCTCTAGTTGGCTGTTCAAGGCTCAAGCTGGAGGCCAGGCACTGTGCCTGGTGCCGCCAGAAGCTTTGTTTGAACTTTGGGTACCAACCTCTCGGGCCCTGGCCCAAAAGGGCCCCCTGCGTGGTGGATACATACTGAAGGCTTCGGGAAAAGCGCCCTCCTCAGTTTTCATCGGTCTATTTCAGTGCTGGCCCAAGATTCACCAGCCAAGTCCTTAGCTGGAGGCTCTAACTTGGCCGTTTGGATCTCTTACTTTCCTTGCCAGAAGCACGCGGTCTTTAAACCACTCTCCAGCCAAAAGCTGAACCCCCCCTATCGATGCTCGCAAAGATGCGAGCCGAAGCGCCTTCCGGAACCAAAATTCGGACCCAAATTCGGACATGTGCTTTAGAGAAGCGCCGGTTGGCTAGTGGCTAGTGGCGAGGTTGGCTTTGCAGGTATGACACGGGGATCTCGTTTGAGCATCTCTGGATTGTCAAGGTTCACGACATACGCACCAGAATCAAACACAGCAACCACACATTACTTATGGTTGGGTAGCTGAGTAAGCACTCATTCTGGGTCGCCTCTTCCTCCAGAGGCTTTTCCGGTTTCGCAAGGGCCTCGGCTTTTCTTGCGCTCCAAGCGCGCAATGCCCTGAGAAAAGCCGAAAACGCCGCGCTGTCGGATGCGGGTGGGCAGGCGAAGCTGATTCTTCTCAGCCACGGCGGCGCCGCGACGCGGCGTGTGGAATCCGCTTTGTCCGCCCGCCTGAAAGGCCTTGGGCGCCCGGACGCTCGGCGCGGGGGGAGAACCGTTCAGCTGAGCTTCGTCCCACGGTTTTGTCATGAATTTTCAGCTTGGTGGTTGTCATCCTCTATGCCTAGACAGCCTGCGGGAGTGGTGCCATCCACTGTCCACTGTCAGGGTGTTAAGGTACATGTTTCGCAATGAGCTGGACCCTTTTTGGTTGCTCAAAGGGAAGCCAAGGCAACCCAACCAGTCTGGGGACACCTGTGTTGAGAAATATCCAAATGGGGAAGCCCATGGTCCACTCAAGTGACATTGTCCAAATCATCATGTAATGACGGCCTAAAGGGAACCCAAAGGAACAAACCCGTTCCCCCCACCCTGTCCGAAACTCTCCAGTTTGAGGACAGCGAGGCGCGCGAGTTGCAGGTGGAGGTGGGCGAGCCACAGCAGGCCGCGACGAATGCGGTTTGCGGCCGCCGGTGTTGATCTGCCCCCCACTTGGGCGGGTCCCAGCGCCGTGTTTCAGATGTTTCGGGTTGAGTGGTTTGGTTTCCGTTTCAACTTTAAGAGTTGCACTTGTAGAAGATCTAAGGACAGCCCAGCCACCGACAAGCATGTTTGGAAAGCGCAGGGTGCTTGCTTCACCCACAAGCGAAGGGGTCGGCGAAAAGAATCTGGACCCCCTGCTTGGAACGGGTCTTGTGGTGGGGGGGGAAGGGCTCACCGACGAAAGGCGTAAGGTTGCCTCATGTGTAGCTACGAAATTGTAGAAACAGTGTTCCATTATGTGTGAAATTGGGGGCACCCCAAAATGGTGGTTCTGCCATTGCTTTCCCTTTACCTCAACCCTCAAAAGGTACCTCCCCAGAGAAACAAAAGACTGTTGGATCAGATGAAGCCCCTTAGGAAATTGATTCCTTTTTGATAATGTACTCTCTAAAAAATGGGGTGCCATAGCCCCTGCCTTGCTTCCAAGCCTGAGTTCCAAGAGGGCTTTACGTGAATTTGCCCGAATTTTGGTGGATCTGGTTCTACTCTTGCCCACCAAACCGGGTACTTCCTAAAAGACAGCCGCAAAACAGTTCTGACAAGGCTACAGTACTTCTGGTTATCCGTTTCGGAAAGAAACCAAGAAACCAACGACCTTACTTGCCTGAACCAGCCAAAATTACATGCATTTGGGAGGTTCGACCTTGAACCACAAGGAAATCAGCTTTGTTGGAACATGCAGGTTTCTTCAAAGGAGATGGAGTTGTCAGTTGTTGTTGCACCTAGCGGTGACTGAAAGCGGCAAAGTTCAAGCCATCAAAACCGCGGGCTGTGAACCAGTGAGAAAACGTAGATGTCTCGATTCTTCGTGCCGTAGAGGGTAGGCCACCATGCAACCTCATACAGGAACAACCCCCGAAGAAACTCATAGTGCAAGAAGCTCGCTCCACACATCAATCAATGCAGTTCATGGGTTTTTAAGACCCCCCCCCATGTCCACCCCCTCCCCCTCCCAAGGTGGCCCCAAGGGCCCACGGCTCTCACCGACGGCTGGAAGAGACCACGGCCTCAGTGGCTCCGTCCCCGTCTGTGCATTGGCGCCTTGGTGAGTAAAGGCTCTGTTCAGAGCTCGGGCGCGAACGGCCAAAACGTGGCCACCCGCAAAACCACCCCCCGGGTTTTGTGTGAGCCCACCAAACAAAGGGACCGAAACCCACAAACACATGCTTCTAAGTTGCATTCGGGGCGCTGGGCAACGGCATGAGCAAATGTGGACCAGAATTTAAATCTAGGGGCCAACTCTCAGGTCGAAGAATTGCAAGTAGGGACCCTTACCATTGCCTAGGCTGCGGTTGGTTTCCTTGCAGGATAGGCTGCAATAGTGTGGCTGACAATCACCATCCACCCATTCCAAAGCAAGCATTTGCCTGCTATTTTATGGTGAGCTCACTTGGGGGTAAGAGAGCCTTTAAGCTAGAGAGTTGTCTTCCAGGGCTTCCCTCTTAGGTTCCATGCTGGTTTTTTTGGGGGGGTAAACGCTCACCGAGATTTTCCAGTGATACCTCTTGAACCTGCCTCCGGAGTTGGAACTTCAATCAACGTCAAGGCAAACAAAAGGCTTTCTGGGTAGTCAGCCTGGAACCCACGCATTTGGGGGCTACCACGCAATTCGGGGTTTCCGTTGAGACACACCCGCTTTGTTTTTCCGATTCCTGGCAATTTTTAGGCCACCTGCACCCAGATTCCTGGTGTGGTCGTGCATGCTAACCACTGGTAGTCAGGTGTGTCCTACACGAGGGTCTTGCCCCCAGCTGGTTTTCTTTGTTTTCGCCCGAAAAAAACACTGCCGGCGAAATGGGAAAGCAAGCTGTACCGAGTTTACCATGCGTCCTGATTTGCAAAAAAGGCGGTGCTGGATCTTTCTTGTGAGATGTGTTTGTTCCCGCGGTAGTTTAGGAGCCGCTTTACGTGCTTTCAGAACCATGGTTGCTGCTGCTGGTATATTGGGAGTCGTATTTCCAAAGTGCTTTTTTCCCTCCATGGTTTCAGCCCATCCTGAGTTTGCGGTGTTTGGATTGGTGGCTTGGACCAATCCGAGCGCGAGCCTTCGAGGTTCTATGGCCTGGGCATCATTTGGTTGCTCTTCAAGCTCTGACATGTTCCAGTCTTATGCCAGCCGAAAAACCGGCGGCTGAGTTCTGGAGCCAAAATCCTTGGTACCTTTCGGCAGTTTCTCTTTCAAATCTTCCTTGCAGTGTGCTGATCTCACCAGAAGGTCGCATGATAATCATGACATTCCACATCTCGCAGTATAAGCCTGTGAGCACATGATGAATTTGTGCATGCGAGAATTTGTGCAGCAATTCACAGCGCCTGAATTCGCAGGTCCGAGTTGTTCCATGGCACCGCTGTTCATCTTCTCTCCGCTAAAATCTCACTAGACATGGTTGGCCCCCGGGGCTTTCATTTTCTAGCAGTGCCACAGGGTAACTGGGCACTGGGCACATTCTCACCATAGCAAGTGGGACTGGCCAGGCTTACCTCTGAATGGACATCAGCCTGTCCAGGCGACCAACTTTCGAGACTCTCACTTGCCCAAGGCGAGCCGACCATTTAGTTTGTTGACTTTTCACCTGTCTTCTCATTTTGTCAGCCAGTGTCAGTGTGTGAAGAATGTCAAAGCCAATCTCCGACAAGTCTTGCTCCCGCTGTTCAGGACTTTTGGCTTTTTGTTGTTGTAGGGGCTGCCCCAAAAGACTTGATTTCCAGCTCCTTTGGTCGCAAGTGAGTTATATAGAGCCCGCTGTGGCAACTGAGCATTAGCTCTGCACTGCACACCCTTCGCTTCGCTTCAGTCTGGCCCCGTTCGTTCGGTTCTTCTCATGACGTCCCAAAAGACTTTTCCCCCGGCCGTTTTCTTTTTTTTCTTTCTTTTCTTTCGCCCCGTGGCTTTCCTTTGATTTTTCCCTTTAGAGATCAGCCAAAAAAACGAGGGTTCCCCAACAAAAGGCACACCCTTTCCACCCACAGCCGGTCAGCTGGAGGGTCCCAGGCTTCCGAAGGCTCAAACAACTCCCAAAAAAGGCATGGGACGGGGCTCCGGTCCTTGAAATGACTTCGAGAAGCAGAGCGTCGTGTTGGCGATCTTGTTCATGTTTGTTTGTGTGTGTTTCCCCCCCCCCCCCCCCGCGTTTGTTTTTTTTCTTTTCTTGTTTTCTTCTTTTTGTTTTCTCTTTTTTTTTGTTCTCTTTCTTTCTTTTAGGTGTGTCTTCACCATTTTTGTCACCCAAGTTTCTCTCTTCTGGTCTCAGACATCGCTCGGATCATGGAACCCCAGAAACTCTCATCTGAGGACTCCGCCTCCTTTTGCGAACACAAGCGGGCTGCGCAATACCCTAGAAACGGATTTCGGTTGCCAACGTAAACAGGTTACCAACTCCAAAACACCGGGCCCCACGTGGTGGCTGAAAATTCGGGACCCCGGGCCTCAAATTGTTGACTTCCTTGCGTTCCAACCGAAACAGGCTTGCCCCCCAAAAATCCGCACCCCGACACATGGGTCGTTTTTGAGGGTGCCCAATGGGGGGAACCCAAACCCATCTTGTTGGAATTCTATAGTATATACCCCTCAAAAAGGAACCAAATCCTTGACCTCCCCTGTAAGAACCAACCCAGAACATCCCAAAACGGCTCGTTCCCCAAAAAAGAATCACATACAGATATTGAGCTTCTTTCTTCCAAACGTCTCCGAACAGGGCTGGGGAATTCCGGAAGCCACCGCTGGCACCGCTGGCCCGGCCTTTGCGCTGGCCTGATCGGGCCGGTGTCGAAAGCGCTCGTATGGTTCGTGGGAAATGGAGAAAAAGGCGCGGGGCGTTGGGCTTTTTTTGTTTTTTTTGGGGAAGGACGCCCCTTGAAACCAGTCACCCACAAAGAGAGGGCCGATCTACACTATGTTTTGGTGCAACTTCCGAGCTGCGGAAGGGGCCATCTTCTGACGCCCCAAGCTAGACTTAACCCCTGGGTGGTTGATGTCCCGAAAATGGTCAAAGAATGGATGCGCCAAGGGGCTGAAAAGCGGCCGACTTGGGGCGGCAGTCTGGTGCGAGGACTGCCACCGGGGGGGGGGGGGGGGGGACTTGGGAGTTCGCCACGTGGCAAGTGGCTGACAGCAAGTGGCTGATACATGGGAATGTATATATATATATATTTATGCATATATAAGTCTATATAGATGAATGGCATATCCAGTTGCATTAGTGCTCACTGATACAGATGGCGATGCTCATGCATTTTCTCAGTAAATTACAGCAAGCCAAGATTGTTATAGCCCTTGGCTTGGACTGCCAATTGGGGCCTTGGAACACCTTGGCTGGGTGCCCTTGCTCTCATGTGAAGAGGAACACCTTTGGGTGGCTCCTTGCAGATCCTATGCCACTGGAGCTCTCTGCAGTTGGGTGAAAGTAGATGGTACTTGTTCCTTTTGGTTTGGTCATCCCCCTTATCCACATCTACCTGTCAGAAAGTTTCTGAGCCAGCCGCGCCAGCAGTTGTCCAGAGGCTCGTGGGCGCCGCAAGCCGGGGGCTTACATCGGTTGCGCTCAGACTCAGACTCTGGAGAACTTTTGCGGGATGCTGGGAGGGCTTTTGTTTGGTTGATCCTGAAACTCGGGGGCTTTCATGCGCTTTTTTGTCGCTGGCCTTCAAATTTGAAATATGGTCCAGATTTGTTGTTCGCTTTCTACGGCTATGTCGGCCTTAAGGCTTGCCAAGGCCTTTTTGCTCGGGTGCCCTTTCCAGGGGAACCCTGTCTCATGAGTTGCGCGGAGGGATCGCCTTTCACCAGAGGCTATCAACTACCTCAAAGCTGTACGCGATATGCCTATGCAGCCATTTTAGCTCAAGGGTCAGAGTTTCCTCACAGCACCCCAGTTTGTTCCAACTCTTTCCCGAACGGGGCAACCACCAAGCACGCAGCCAGTCAAAGTCATAAAGCTGCAGGACTTTAGGCATTTGGCCCCGTGTTTCACCGGGACCCGGCGACGCCAAGATGGCGACGGCCGGGGAGGTCAAGGCCGGTGAGGTCGACGAGCTCGAGACCACCACCGCGGGCGAGCCCAGCTCAGCTGTTGAAACGCCCACGGAGAAGGTCGAGGCAGAGGCCCGGCTGGTGGCATCGCTTGCTGTCCACCTGCCCTTGTTGGACTTAGCTGAACATGTTTATCACTTTTCGCCTTTTTGGTTTTGGCCTCATGCCTCCTTTGAAATGCAACAAAATGACTCTTGTGATGAATGTGTGGGTCTGGCCCACTTCTTGATGGATCGTTTTCATAGTCCCTTGGAAACGTTTGAAACATCTCTGCCGAAAGCGAATCAATAGGATGGGACCTTTCCGTTTGCCAGTTTTGATCCATTCGTCAGGATCGCGAAAGGTGACCATTTCTTTTTCCAGGCCCTTTGGCCCTTTGGTGTGTGATTTCTTCCTAGTCGAACAAGTTGAAAGCGTTTTGGAAAGCCAACTGGGCAGGCGAGTTGTTTTCCTTGCCTCTCTCTTGACCCCGCGGGTTTCAAGGAACCGGCCGTGACGGAGGTGGTGGTCACTGCGGGCCCCGCCGAAAACGCGGCGGGCGGCGCGCAGGTCGCCGATGGGGGGAACTCCACCGCGCTGCCGCCCATTCGGCCCGCGAATCATTCGCCCACGGGGCGGCAAAGCTTAGTGCCGCCCAAGCAAGCGCGGGCCGATGCCAGGAGGGGGCGAAAATCGGTTGGCTTGCTCTGGTTTGGAAGTAAGGGGCTTAAGAGAACGGCAGCCTTCCAAAGCCAGCTTGTCATCTTGTCATCCTATCCACTTCACTTCAATGATTGTTGGATAGAGGGTAGAGCCTTCGAAGGAGGTACCCGCTTCCCAGACCGATTTACACAGTTTGTTCAATTCTGAAGTCAGGGCAAGGGAATGAATGTGTCCGAATGTGTCCCACCGACATGCTTTTGGCGATTTGAGGTTGCGTGTTTTGGGCATCTTTCGCTCCAGGCTAGCGGGTTCTTTGGGCCTTAAACTGGGAGGAGCCCTGAAAACAGCGGAAAACAGGGCAAGCGCTCGCGCCAGTTTGGGCATCCACCAGTTTGTCCTCAATTTAGCCTACAATTTGGTTTCGTGTTGGTTTCCCTCCCGCTGTTGGCATCCGAATTTCAGAAAGCCTCCCCTCGGAACCCCACCAAAAATAAACTTGTCTTCTCCCTTTGAAGTGCTAACCACAAGCACAACAAGACTAATCACCCACCCCCCAAACCCCAAACCCACCCCAGTCACCTCGTTCCCAAAGGGCGGGAAAACAAAACAAGCAACACAAAGAACCAACCACCAACTCAGCAAAAGCAACGACAAAAGAACGCAACAAGCAAGCAAGCCTTCATTGACAATCCATGAAGACACAACAGCGACAAAAGCAAAGCATAATCCAACTAACAATTCAGAATAACCAACCAAAGATGTGAAAAGAAAGGGATTGTTGGCCGGAGGGCGGAGCCTATTTTTTTGGGCACCCTCGGAAGCTAGCGCCCAGCTTGGAAATGCAATTGTTCTTCCCCCTCGAAGCTCGAAACTACCAGCTACGAAAATACAGCATCAGAGTCGCTTTGTTAAGCGTCCCCCTTTCAAAGAGGGAGTTGACTTGGGAATCCGGGTCCGTAATCTCTTCCATCTGGGGCCGGCAACTGGTGTGGCATGCGATGCGCCGGCAGAAACTCCCAGATTGCCAGAGCTCATTGAAGCCCGGAGCCCCGAAAGCAAATTCTCGGAGGGTAGCAGCTGGTTTTCTCCAAGCACGACGACCGTATGGAGGGCATTTCCACGTGACCAACTCGGCCCAATGGCACCAGAAACAACAACCAAATAACCAACAACAACTCTCACAAAAAAACATACACCCAGCAAAAGTGGCGTTCTGCCTGCTAGTGCTCAGTCGGGGATGATCTTCCGGGTTTTGGGAATGAACCTCAAGTTCCCCTGAAAGGAAACTACAAGGGATGATTCCCCCCCCCCCCCCGTAAGAGGGTAGAGCATGTATAATGTGTCGCGGGACCCTTTCCTGCATATATAGCGCAATTTCAGGCCCAATGCTGCTCAAATAAATCTTTTAAATATTTTAAATATTTTAAATCCCCGGGTCCTGATTTCTGGAGCTGGGGCCGATTTTAAATTTTAAATATTTTAAATATTTTAAATCCCCGGGTCCCTGATTAAAAATATTTAAAATAGTGAAGCTTATTTGAGGCCTACATATTTTAAATATTGTAAATCCCCGGGTCCTGATTCTGGAGCTGGGGCCGATTTAAAATTTTAAATAATTTAAATATTTTAAATATTTTGAATATTTTAAATCCCCGGGCCCCCGATTTAAAATAATTGAAATATGTAAGCTGATTTGGGGCCTAAATATTCTAAATATTTTAAATAATTTAAATCACCGGGCCCCCGATTTAAAATATTTACAATATTTAAGCTGATTTGGGGCCTAAATATGTTAAATATTTTAAATATTTTAAATCCCCGGGTCCTGATTTCTGGAGCTGGGGCCGATTTAAAATTTTAAATAATTTAAATATTTTAAACATTTTAAATCCCCGGGCCCCCGATTTAAAATATTTAAACTATTTAAGCTGATTTGGGGCCTAACTATTTTAAATATTTTAAATATTTTAAATCCCCTGGCCCCGATTGAAGATATTTAAAATATTTAAAATATTTAAAATATTTAAAATATTTAAACTATTTATAATTTTAAATCGGGCTCAGATCCTGGGTTCCCGGGAATTGAAATATTTTAAATATTTAAGCTGATTTGGGGCCTAAATATTCTAAATATTTTAAATATTTTAAATCCCCGGGCCCCGATTTAAAATATTTAAAATATTTAAGCTGATTTGGGGCCTAAATATTTTAAATATTTTAAATATTTTAAATCCCCGGGTCCTGATTTCTGGAGCTGGGGCCGAGTTAAAATTTTAAATAATTTAAATATTGTAAATATTTTAAATATGTTAAATCCCCGGGCCCGCGATTTAAAATATTTAAAATATTTAAGCTGATTTGGGGCCTAAATATTTTAAATATTTTAAATCCCCGGGCCCCGATTTAAAATATTTACAATATTTAAGCTGATTTGGGGCCTGAATATTTTAAATATTTTAAATATTTTAAATCCCCGGGCCCCGATTTAAAATATTTAAAATATTTAAGCTGATTTGGGGCCTAACTATTTTAAATATTGTACATATTTTAAATCCCCTGGCCCCGATTTAAAATATTTAAAATATTTAAAACAATTAAAATATTTATAATTTTAAATCGGGCTCAGATCCTGGGTTCCCGGGAATTGAAATATTTAAAATATTTAAGCTGATTTGGGGCCTAAATATTCTAAATACTTTAAATATTTTACATCCCCGGGCCCCGATTTAAAATATTTAAAATATTTAAGCTGATTTGGGGCCTAAATATTTTAAATAGTTTAAATATTTTAAATCCCCGGGTCCTGATTTCTGGAGCTGGGGCCGATTTAAATAATTTAAATATTTTAAATATTTTAAATATTTTAAATATTTTAAATCCCCGGGCCCCCGATTTTAAAATATTTAAAATATTTAAACTGATTTGGGGCCTAAATATTTTAAATATTTTAAATATTTTAAATCCCCGGGCCCCGATTTAAAATATTTAAAATATTTAAGCTGATTTGGGGCCTAAATAATTTAAATATTTTAAATCCCCTGGCCCCGACTTAAAATATTTAAAATATTTAAAATATTTCAATTATTTAAAATTTTAAATCGGGCTCAGATCCTGGGTTCCCGGGATTTGAAATATTTAAAATATTTAAGCTGATTTGGGGCCTAAATATTCTAAATATTTTAAATATTTTAAATCCCCGGGCCCCGATTGAAAATATTTAAATATTTAAGCTGATTTGGGGCCTAAATATTTTAAATATTTTAATTATGTTAAATCCCCGGGTCCTGATTTCTGGAGCTGGGGCCGATTTAAAATTTTCAATAATTTAAATATTTTAAATATTTTAAATATGTTAAATCCCCGGGCCCCCGATTTAAAATATTTAAAATATTTAAACTGATTTGGGGCCTAAATATTTTAAATATTTTAAATCCCCGGGCCCCGATTTAAAATATCTAAAATATTTAAGCTGATTTGGGGCCTAAATATTTCAAATATTTTAAATATTTTAAATCCCCAGGCCCCGATTTAAAATATTTAAAATATTTAAGCTGATTTGGGGCCTAACTATTTTACATATTTTAAATATTTTAAATCCCCGGGCCCCCGATTTAAAATATTTGAATTATTTAAGATATTTAAAATATTTAAAATTTTAAATCGGGCTCAGATCCTGGGTTCCCGGGAATTGAAATATTTAAGATATTTAAGCTGTTTTGGGGCCTAAATATTCTATATATTTTAAATATTTTAAATCCCCGGGCCCCGATTTAAAATATTTAAATATTTAAAATATTAAATCGGGCTCAGATCCTGGGTTCCCGGGATTTAAAAGATTTAAAATATTTAAACTGATTTGGGGCCCACATATTTCAAATATTTTAAATATGTTAAATCCCCGGGTCCCCGAATTAAACTATTTAAAATATTTAAGCTGATTTGGGGCCTAAATATTTTAAATATTTTACATATTTTAAATCACCGGGCCCCGATTTAAAATATTTAAGATATTTAAACTGATTTGGGGCCTAACTATTTTAAATATTTTAAATAATTTAAATCCCCGGGACCCGATTTAAAATATTTGAATTATTTAAGATATTTAAAATATTTAAAATTTTAAATCGGGCTCAGATCCTGGATTCCCGGGATTTAAAATATTGAAAATATTTAAGCTGATTTGAGGCCTAAATATGTTAAATATTTTAAATATTTTAAATCCCCGGGTCCCCGATTTAAAATATTTAAAATATTTAACCTGATTTGAAAGACAATTAGAAAACTCGAGGGCCTTGTTTTTTTTTTTGAAAAATATGAAAAATAGGAAAATAGAAGAACTAGAAAAACAATTGGGGCCCAGGATTGCGGGAAGTGGGCCGGAACTACAGGAAATAGAAAAAACAAATTAAAACACAAAAAAAGTCCCTCGAATTTATATTTTGTCTATTTGCTAATTTTACTAATTAATTAGAAAACATAGAAAATAGAAAACAAAGAAAGGCCCTCGAATTCTCTAATTGTTCTAAGTTTCAAAATTAGTTAGAAAAAATAGAACAAATAGAAAAACAAAAAGGGTCCAGGATTTCGGGAAGTGGGCCCGGGACTACAGGAATCAGAAAAATTAGAACAAATGCCCTGGAATTTTCTTTTTTTTTTAGAAAAATCATAAAAAGAAATGGACAACAAGGCCCTCTTTTTTTTCCCTAATTAATTAGAAACAATTAGAAAAATAGAAACAAGGCCCTCGAATTTTCCAGTTTTTCTAATTTTCCTATTTAATTAGAACAATAAGACACAATTACAGAAAATCTAGAAAAACAATAGGGGCCCAGGATTCCGGGAAGTGGGCCCGGGACTACAGGAATTAGAAAAAAAGCCCTCGAATTCTCTTATTCTCTTATTTTCCTAGTTAATTAAAAAATAGAAAAGTTAGAAAAACAAAGGGGGCCCAGGATTCCGAAAAGTGGGCCCGGGATTACATATATTTGTTATTTTCCTAAAAAATGGAAAAACAATGGCCTCGATTTTTCCCAATTAATTAGAAGAAATAAAAATAGAAGAACAAGGCCCTCGAATTTTCTAATTTTCCTAATTAATTAAAAAATGAGACAAATGAGAAATATTAGAACAACAATAGGGGCACAGGATTCCGGGAAGTGGGCCCGGGACTACAGGAAATAGAAAACTTAACCTACAGCAACAAAAAATGGAACCCCTGCCCCTCAGGGATGAACTAGAATAGTTAGAACAGTTCTGATAAGTCGAATTTTAGCAAAATTAACATTGAACTTCCCAAAAGGCACCCATCCCTTGTGAGTACGTAGCGGAATTAGAACAATGAGAAGAAGTGGAGCAATTAGGACAAAGAGGAATCTGAAATTCCTCAACAGGCACCCGCTCTTTCGGAATAAGTAGAGAAAGTCGAATAGTAGAGAAAGTCGAATAGGAATGATCCGTTGGGGAAATTATTATAACAAATTAAATTAGAACAAAGATGAATCTGGAATTCTCCGAAAAGCACCCGAATCATTGCAATTTGAAGAACTGGAAGAATTGTGATAAGTTAGAATTATTTGCAAGATGAATTTTGAACTCCTGAAAAGGCACCCGCCCCTTTGGGAATAATGAGAATATTTAGAGAGTTAGAATAATTGGCACACACATGAATCAGGGGTTCGCCCCAAAGGCACCCGTCCCTCTGGGAATGGATAGAACAATGAAATTATTCAGGATAGTTGGAGCAAACCTTAATCTGGAATTCCCAAAGGCACCTGTCCCGCGGGGAACAAATTTACTATTTAGAACAGTTAGCAAAACATAGCCCTGTTTGTTCTTTTATTATCATAGTTATTCGATTCAATGGTCAAAAGTAGCTAATTTTGAATCTATGATTCGGGAATTCCCCACAGGCACCTGACCCTTTCGGAATACATGAGTAGAATAATTTGAAACATGGATCTGGAGTTCCCCAAAGGGCATCCTTCCCGTGAGGAATAACTAGAACAGCTTGAACAATTACAGGAACTTGCGCAACACATGATGTGGATTTCCTGAGAAGGCACGCGTCGCTGTGGGAACAATTGGAAAAATCCGAATGGCTGGAAAAAAAGGCGTTATTTGGTCTATTTTGTTAATGTGTCTAATTTGTCAGAATGAGTTTAATGGCTTGAATAGTTAGACGCAATGTTTGCGTACTTCCCCCAAAGGCACCTGCCCCCGTGGCACAAACAAGAAACAACAAATAGGGCTACGTGTCTTCGTCTTATTCTATTTATTCTAACTAATTAGAACCACTCCAATACTCACAATGATTTAAACACATCTGCCATTTCCCAAAGGGCCCCTTCCCCATTCGGGAAAAATAGACTAACACGAATGATTTTACACTTGCCTATGGCAAACATGAATCTTGAATTCCCTAAAAAGGCACCCCGCCCCTTTGGGACTAATTAGTGCAATTGGACAAATTAAAGAAGTAGAATGATTAGAACAGACACTGAATCTGGCTTCCCCAAAGGGCGCCCGTCCCTTTGGAATACTTAGCATGATAATATAAAGAATCATTGGACGAGTTAAAACAGATGCATCTGGAATTCCCCAAAAGGCACCTACCTGTCTCTTGCAGAAAGACGAGTAATAGGGAACAATGCTCTAATTATACTACTTATCCAAATTCTTAGACTAAGTAGATCAACTAGCAACAATGAATTTGGATTTTCCCAAAAGGCACGCGTCCCTTTATGAGGAACACTCATTTAATAAATCGAAGATAAAACACGCATTGTAATTAGACAGTAAGTCAGGATTTCCCCAGAAGGCACCCGCCCCTTTAAACATAAACAAATGTTAGGATAATCATGAGAAGTAGAATAATTAGCACAAACTGAGTCTGGACTTCCCCACAAGGCTCCCGGCCCATTGAAAATAAGTAGAACAGTTAGACTTGTGAATGCTTAGACTAGTTAGAACAAACATTAATATTGAATTCCCCAAAGGTACCCCTGCATTTGGAAAGCAAATAAGATAATGACAATAGTTTAAATCGAAGAATTACGCTGGATTAAATTGAAGAATTATTGTAATTAGACAGTGAGCCTGGATGTTCAGAAGGCACCCGCCCCGTTGGAAATAAATGTTGGAAGAATCATGAGAAGTAGACTAATTAGCACAAACTGAATCTGGACTGTCGCAGAAGGCTCCCGGCCGATTGAAAATAAGTAGAACGGTTGGAGTTGTGAACGCTTAGACTAGTTAGAACAAGCAAGAATATTGAATTCTCCAAAAGGTACCTCTTCATTTGGGACGCACATAAGATAATGATAGTACTTATAAGAAGTAGAAGAATTAGAACAAGCATAGATCTGGAATTGGCCAAACGGCTCCTGTTTGCTGGTGAAATTGAACCTGAAAATTCCCAAGCACACCGGGAATAATGGGAATAATGGGAGGAATTAGAGACTTAGAAGACATGGATTTGGAATTCCCAACTGTCACCCTCTCTACTCACCAAAAGAAGGCTGCTCAGCTGGAAATTTTTGAAATGATTGGAACAGTGTGGGAAAACTATGGAATTCACCAAAAGGCCCCATCTCTTTTGATAAAAGTATGATACCTAGAGCAAACACGAGTCTGAAACTCTGTAAAAGGCACCCCCACCCCCTAGAGATTACAATTAGAAGAACTAGAAGAATTGTGTTAAATAAAGTAATTTGCAAGATGATCTTGAATTCCTCAAAAGGCACCGGAATAATCAGAATAATGAGAGTTAGAATAATTGGCACAAACACTAATCTGGAATTCGCCCAAAAGGCACCCGTCCCTTGGGCAATGGATAGAATATGAAACTACTCGGGATAGCTGGAGCAAACATGAGTCTGGAATTCCCAAACAGGCACCTGTCCAGTCGGGAACAAGTAGAATATTTAGAACAGTTAGCAAAACATATATTCTCTTATCGTCCTGGATATTCGGATCAATGGGAACAGTAGTTAAGTAGAAGTCAATGAATCGGGAATTCCGCCCAACAGGGCACCTGTCCCTTTCGGAATACATGAGTAGAACAATTTGAAACATGGATCTGAGGTTTCCCAAAGGGCATCCTTCCCGTGAGGAATAACTAGGACAGCTTGAACAATTACAGGAACTTGCAAATAAAGTGATGTTGATTTCCTGAGAAGGCACGCGCCCCTGTTTGAACAGTTAGAATAAGCCGAGTGGCTAGAAAAACAAAGGGCGTTATCTGGTCTGTGTTGTTTAATCTTCTAATTCGGTAGACTCATTTTAATAACTAGAACAGACACACACGATTTACGCGTACAAATACGGCTACGCGTCTTCGTCTTATTCTATTTATTTCACCGAGTTGGAACCACTCCAAGACTTGAAATGATCTAAACACATCTGCTATTTCCCCAAGGGCCCCTCGGGAAAAAATAGAGTAACGAGAATGGTTCTGACACTTGCGTATTGCAAACATGAATCTTGAATTCCACAATAATTGGTGTAATTGGACAAACCAACCGTAGAATGATTAGAACAGACACTGAATCTGGATTTCCCCAAAGGGTGCCCGTCCCTTTGGAATACTTAGAATGATACTATCAAGAATCATTAGACGAATTAAATCAATTGCATCTGGAATTCCCCAAAAGGCACCTGTCCCTTTCAGAAACATGAGTAATAGGGAACTGTGTTCTAATTATACTACTTATCCAAGTTCCTAGCATAAGTAGATCAACTAGCAACAATGAATTGGTTAGTTTCTCAAAAGGCACGCGTCCCTTTGGGAATAACTAGCATAACCCGACTAATCAGAAGAGTATAGCCAGGAAATCCACGAAAGCACCCAACCCATTTTGAGTAAATCGAAGAATTAGGCTACTTAGACCATCATTGTAATTAGACAGTGAGTCTGGATTTCCCCAGAAAGCACCCGTCCCTTTGGGAACACATGTTAGGATAAATAATGATTAGCTCAAAGTGAATCTGGACATTCCCAACAAGGCGCCCGGCCACTGAAAAACAGAATGTTAGAATTGTGAGAATGCTTAGAATGATTAGAACAAGCATGATTGTTGCATTTCCCGAAAGGAAGCCCTCGCTTTGGAAATAAAATAAGATAAGATAGTAGGTTTAGAAGCAGAATAGTTAGAGCAAGCATGGATCTGAAATTCGCCAAAAGGGCTCCAGTCCCTTGCGGGAACAAAACAATTAGAATAGCTGCACAAAAATGGAAATTGCGTTGAAGATCCAAAGCACGCCCGTCCATTCGGGAATATTTGGAAGAATTAGACACTTAGAAGAATTGGATTTGGCATTCCTCAACAGTCACCTGCCCCTGTAAAAGTATATGGAGTGATTCGAATAATGAAAACAACAAGGGGCGTGCGGGTCATGTGAGCCACGCGCGCGCGCCACATTATACATGGTCTACCCTTCCACCCCCCCCCCCCCCCGAGGTCATTCCCTCATTGCGGTCATTCCATGCCTCATTCCCTGCCTATCGCACCGGCAAGTCTCAGAAACAGCCACCCCCACCAACCAACCAACAACTCTCCCACCCACACACACACAAACCCAACACAAGTGTTGTTCTTTGACGTTTCTTGGGGCTGAACCTAGGGATCTTTTAAAAGGAACCCACCACTGGAAGAAAGCTCCCAAAATCCCGGAGAAAAAAAAGAGCCCAAGATGGACCTTGAAAAGGAACCCACCCAAAAATTCCCCAAACAAATCCCAAAAGTGGATGGCCCGCTTTTCAGACTCACCCGGCGCCACCCGAAAAAAAATCGGAGGAGGCGGATCCTGGCGGCGCGCCTGGACCTGGAGCGCCGGGTGGCGGAGGCCACCGGGGCGCGCCTGGAGCGCCAGAAGGCCACCGCCCGCGGCGAATTTTTTTGGGGGAGCTGAAGGAGCCTTTTTGCGTGCGACCTGGGGTGACCTTTGGCTTCTTCTTGGCTGTTGACTTGTTTTGTGCTGTTTTTTTTTTTTTTTTGGGGGGGGGTTGGCTGTTTTGTTGTTTGAAGTTTTTCTTGCTTTCTCGAACAGATGGCGATTCCTGGTTGGCCCGTGGGCCACCCTTTTCCTTATCTGTTCAGGTTTCCCCTGAAAACCAACCAGCCAACCAGCTGGAAGGTTGGCTTTTTCCATGCCTGGAGGTTTGGGTAAACTCTCCTGAGCTGTTGTTTTTTTTGGTCTACCGTGAAAAGGGACAAGGTGTAAATAAGATAGTCAAAGAGTAAATTATGGGTAAAGGAGGGGCAGCCTTGGCCTATGTCCCCGATGGGTACCTTCAAAAAGAGGCTCACCCATGTTTCTTTGTGGATGGTTTGGGACTGCAGGAGCCCAGCCACGTACTCCTGAGCCTTAGTCTTTTCCTCGGTGGAAATGGCTTTGTACCCTTCATCTTGTTTGGCTGGGTTGATCGAAATTAGTGAGGCTTATGCCAGACGGTGGTTCTTTTCCTTGTAGTGGCGTTCCACCACGGATTGTGGATCGGGATGAAAAAGAGCAGCAGACTTGGATCTCCAACCCACCTCACTCTGTTGTTTCTTTTGCTGATTTCGCAGACAGGCCGATATCGATGATTGAGTGTCCCTATGGTGATGAGTTCGCATATGAAACCCCAAGTGAGACCCAGCCATTTTTTGAGAAATCTCCAAATGCTCATTGCACCCGTTGGTTGCCCGTTTAAAGGAAGCCAAGATCAGACCTTTTCAGACAGTAGTGGTTTAAACATGTTGGCTGCTGGGAAGCTGTGGTTTTGAGGCAACAAATCCTTGGCACCATGGGAATGTGTGATAAACAGGCCGCAACAAATGGACAGCAGGAAGCCAAAGGTTGCCGTGCCCCAACTCAGCTTCCCTCGAAGTTTGGAGCGCGGTGGTTTCGGATGGTTCTCGAATTGCCCAGAACTTTCAGTGGTTTAAACCCGAACCCAAACTAAAGGGTTACAACCTCCATAGGTGTGCTGTTCAGTTTAGTTCCACTGGTTTGGATGGGTTTTATGCCATCCTTTCGCCAGGGGAAGCCCATCTATTTTTCCCCAGCACCTACGATCTGCCAGGGACACCCATCTATTTTTGCATCAAACGTCTATGCGATACAACCAGCTCCAAAAAAGGGCAACCTACGGGGTACCACCCCCCCCAACCCAACCCCCCCCCCAACCCCACCCCCCCACCCCAACCACCCCCCACGGTTGCCGCGACCACTGGGTGCCGCGTCCGACCCCCGGGCGCGCCGGACTCGCGAGCGGCGCGGCTCGCCAGGCGCAGGAGGCGGAGGCGCGGCAGCGCGCGGAGGCGGCCCAGCGCCGGGCCAGGAAGCGCCTGGCCGAGCGCAAGCGCCGCGGATCCATCCATGGACGTCTTGGTTTGTTTTGTTTGGCTTTGTTTGGGTTTGTTTGGGTTTGTTTGGGTTTGTTTGGGTTTGTTTGGGTTTGTTTGGGTTTGTTTGGGTTTGTTTGGGTTTGTTGGTGGCGTTGGTGTTTGATTGTGTGTTGCTTTATGTATCTTTCTGTTGCTTTGTTGCTTGCTTGCGTGACTGTTTGCTTCTTGCCTGTTTGTTGGTTGGTTTGCTTGTGTCGTATTGTGATAAAAGTTTCCAGATTCAAGGCTTAGTACTTTTCGGGAAGAAGCTGAACAGGCAGTTTGTACTTTGGATGCTTAGCGGGCCCGGCCCCGCCGGTAGTACAACCTGTGGTCACTCTCTAAGGAAATTACCAGACCATAGTGAAAGGTATTGCCACAAGACAATCGGCTCATTTCGAGTGGGTGTAAATTAGTAAAGTCCAGCATGTGATGCGCACATCCTGGGAACCATTTGCAAAAAAAGGGAACTATCGTAGGCCTGCACATCGAGATTGTTTGGTCAGGGTTTGTTTGTAGCCCTAAACTGGGTCGTTTGGCAGAAGTCTTGCAGAAGGGCTAGGCGGCTGACCGGCCCACCAACCAACCAACCAACCAACCAACCAACCAACCAACCAACCAACTAACCAACCAACCAACCAACCAACCAAACAACCAGCCAGCCAGCCAGCCAGCCAGCCAGCCAGCCAACCAACCAACCCACCAAAAAAACAACAACAACCAACTCACCAACCAACCAACCAACCAAGGGCTAAGCGGCCGCGGATATGGTGCAAGTTTGAGGGTGCGACCTTACGACGCTCCAAGGAAGTCCCGGTCGCCGGAGAAGGCGCTTGAGGAGGCACGCCTGGACCTCTTGGACGCTCGGATTCAGAGAGTTGGCAAATAGAGGTCCAGAAGTTGGTGAGCAAGTTTAAGGTTTGGCCGTTTGAGGGAATTTGTAAGTACACTTTTTCTTGGTGCACTGTGTCTCCAAAGTTGCTTGCATTGCACCTTGCAAAGGTAGGTGTTAGGGATTTGGCCGTTCCCCCCAACTTTTTCCTTTCAGAGAGGATAAGTCAGCTTTGGCCAAAGAGCCGACCTTTTGGGGGTTGTTCCCCCCCCTCTCCCCCCCGTCCCCCGCCAGAGGGTCGTGCTTGGCCTCAGGACAAGAGCCGCAGCCCCTCGCGGGACCTGCCGGGCCTGCGCCCTGCGAAGGCGAGGGTCAAGCAGAAGATCCAGCGCCAGCGTGAGGACGCGGCGAAATCGGAGGGGCTTTCCGTTCCATTTTCGGCGCCCGGATGCTGGGCGCCAGGGTAAGGGCCAAAATGAAACCAGGATATGGACCGCAGCAGCTTTTGCCGTCCCTACTTTAAACCCACGCGCAGGTGATTTCGTGTCTTGTTTTTGGGGTGGGGGGGGGGGGAAGGGTTGGGAGCCATTCTAGGGGTTGTCGGTTGTTAGGGACCTGCGCTGGTTGTTTAGCAAAGAAAGCTAGGGGCATGCCGACAAAACAAGACATGACGTGACGTTGTTCTTCACAACTCTTGGCATATGTACTTTTGTTTTCTTGTTTGGTTCTGCTCATTTTGAGCGGCAGGCTGCCACGAAGAAGGCGCGTTGTTCAACATCATTGCCAAAGGTTGGGAATGACAGGCAGACAGTCAGTCAGTCAGTCAGGCAGGCAGGCAGGCAGGCAGGCAGGCAGCTAATCAGGCAGCTAATCAGGCAGGCAGGCAGACAGACAGGCAGGCAGGCAATCAGGCAGGCAGGCAGGCAGGCAGGCAGGCAGGCAGGCAAGAAGGCAAGAAGGCAAGAAGGCAGACAAGAAGGCAGACAATCAGGCAGGCAGGCAATCAGGCAAGCAAGTGAGCAAAGCAACAAAGCAAAGCAAAGCAAAGCAAAGCAAAGCAAAGCAAAGCAAAGCAAAGCAAAGCAAGCAAAGAGGCCAGCCAGCGAGCGAGCCAGCAATGAAGCAAGCAAGCAAGCGAGCAAGCAAGCCATTCCCCAATACCCTTCCGCCGACCAACATGGAACTCACCAAAGAGGCCATATCAAAGGCCCTTTTCATCTTGGGGCTGTTCCAAAACCCATGTTTTGGTTTCAGTATCATTCCAAGCTATTGTACAACCCAGTGACTTTCTTTTGGTCGTCATATGTCCTCATTTAAACCGGGACCCCGCAACAACAAAAGGTGCCTGCCTGCTTGTTTTGTTGTCCGTTTGGTAAAATCCCCCCTCAGCATAACTTGCTGGGCACTCAACGTTTCTTTGGTGCAACCAGGGGCACCAAAAAACCAAAGGCGACTTGCTGGTCGAAGCCGAGGAATTATTCAATGTCCAGGGGGTCCCTTCTGCTTTGAGCACCAAAAGCCGGCTTACCCCGCGGGGAGTGGGTGGATCCCTACAAAGGAAACATGGAACTACATAGAACTCCAAAGCTCAGCACCCCCGTCTCCATCTTCAAATGGACATGGTGCCAAACACGGGCGGCGAGGGAAAGTGTAAAAGACTAAAACACTACGCCCAATTTTGTGTGAGCCAAAAAGGACAAATAGGCTGCCGACTCTTGGTTTCCTGTTGCTTTCCCTTCTTTACCCACCAAAAGGGTTTCCCATGAAAGACAATGTTCACGTTGTCCAACCGAGAATGGAACATGGAGATCACCAACAATTTCGGAGGAGCCGGAGGTGCCTGCCTGCCTGCCTGCCTGCCTGCCTGCCTGCCTGCCTGCCTGCCTGCCTGCCTGCCTGCCTTGCCTTGCCTGCCTTGCCTGCCTGCCTGCCTGCCTGCCTGATTGCCTGCCTGCCTGATTAGCTGCCTGCCTGCCTGCCTGCCTGCCTGCCTGCCTGCCTGCCTGCCTGCCTGCCTGCCTGATTGCCTGTGTCTGTCTGCCTGCCTGCCTGATTAGCTGCCTGATTAGCTGCCTGATTAGCTGCCTGCCTGCCTGTCTGCCTGCCTGCCTGCCTGTTGGCTGGCTGGCTGGCTGGCTGGCTGGCTGGCTGGTTTTTTGGTTTTTTGGTTTGTTGGTTTGTTGGTTTGTTGGTTTGTTTGATTTGATTTGTTTGATTTGTTGGTTTGTTTGTTTGTTTGTTTGTTTGTTTGTTTGTTTGTTTGTTTGTTTGTTTGTTTGTTGGCTTGTTGGCTTGTTGGTTGGTCGGTCGGTCGGTCGGTCGGTCGGTTGGTTGGTTGGTTGGTTGGTTGGTTGTCTCTGCCGGTGTTTGTTTATTTGTCTGCTTGGTTCGAACTCAATGGCACAGGTTTCTGTTCGGAAGCCATTTGCCGGTGCCATCCGACCTCAGCTTTTGTCCAATTTGTGGCCGGGATTGGTTTGGAGGGGTGGCTTCCCGTCCCACAAGACGGCCTTCAAATCCCCACGCCAAACCACCAAGTAGGGTTTATTTGGATGGTTGGCCTCTTGGCTTCGAGGAGCAACAGGCGCGTCTCCAAGAGATTGAGGAGGACCGGCAGAGGGCGGAGCAGCGGAAGCGGGAGGCGGCTCAGGCGGGAGCCGGAGACTCTGCACGCTGAGGGGCGCATTCCGTTTTAGGTGCCCTTTCCCCACGTGGGTATGGGTCAAAATTAAAGCACCAGGGACCGCAGGTTTTAGTCCTTGGTTCCATTTACTAGGGTTCCAAAATAGATACCCATTTTTGACCCACAGCCACGTACCACGTCACACATTCACCCATTCATGCGGTTGCATGTCAGCCAATAGAGGTTGTCCCACCTATGCATGGTTTGACTGAGTGGGTTTCACATCCAAGTGCGTTCCTCTAAGTGGGTAAATGGGCCATTGGTTCCCGTTGAATGCGTGCCCTCCTTTTTGTTCACGAAAGAATGAGGAAAAGGGCTCAAATGAGGGGTAACTGAGTGATGGGGAGGGGAAAATAAGAGTTCCCTTGCGCGGTGCAGACATCTCCCCAGCTAATTGAAATGGAATTCCTTTTCCAGTTCTGCACGGAAAACAGGACCAAAATTGACTAGCACACAATCTGCCTTAATTCTAGTGTCGGGGAAGCTTTTTGGGGACGAGTTTAAGAGGGAGGGAACCAGCAGGGCAGCGTCCGCCTGCTAGGGGTTGATCTTTAGGTTAGTTCGACGTGTACAAACTGCAGGAGGAACAACTATTTCGGGTCAATAACGAGCTCAGCGTGTGGTTGAAGGTTAAATGCAGTCGCAAGAATGCCTCACTTTAGAATGAACCTTGATTTGAGGGAATCCCAAAAGTCACAATCACCCCTCCGCGGGTTTGCCCCATAGGATCCCACAGGCTTGCCCCGACGACCAAACCAGCATGAACAATTGCTGGCTCCTTCCCAGGAGCCTTTTGTGTCAATTCCAGGGTGAATTGGGTGTTTGGCCTTTCCAGGGTTTGGCCAACCCCTCCGTTATCCCTCCACCCGAACAGCCGGAAGCTCCCAGCACTTCGACACACTTGGTTCCATTTACAGAGGCCTAGGAGCCTCGTTCTGCTAGTCTGAGGAAATGTTCCCTTTTGGGCCAATTTTTCCGCATGCAGTCGCTTTTTTGGCATCCAGCTGATCCATTTACCTGTCTCGATAACCAAGGGAACCCCTTACACGCCAAAAATATGGAATATTGCGAAGGGTTACCTACTGGTTACCCAATTGCTGGTTACCTACTACATACATACAACAGGTATATATATATATTTATATGTATAAATGAAAAAATAGGGACCCACTTGTACAACTGCTTTCGGCCTGCCAAGTGGCCGCTGGATGCACCGGGCGAAAAAGAGCGAGCTGCACCCGTCAAGCGCAGGCGCTGGAGCTGCACCGGCAGCAGGCGGCCAAGCGGGCGGCGGAGCGGCTGAGGGCGGAGAAGGAGTCCGAGGCCAGGGCCAAGGCGGAACGCGAGCAGGAGACCCGGGCCTGGAGAGGAGGGGGGGACATGGGTTTGGCTCATGCGCGTGCATCTATGCTTGAAGGCAATCAGCCCTGGCTTTCTACATGTGGTTGTGCAGGGAGAGAACGGGAGGGAGAGATGGGAGCGAGGGACCCTCAAGACCGGAGAGGGAAATGGAAATGGTTTTGGAATGATTCCGCCCCCGGAAAAGTGGTGGCTGGTTGGAGGGGGAAAAATGCATGAACGAGACGAGTGGTGCCCTGGATTTTTCGAGAACATGGCGGCTCTGAAAAGTCTGTGTGCGCGAAAGTAGCTCGTGTTCAATTACTCGAGCACGTATGCGTGTGCAAAACGTGATGGCTGCTGGCTGGGTGGAGGGAAAATGGAGCAACGTCGGAAAGGAACGCGGGATCCAAAGCACAGCCCCCTCTCCCTCCGTCTTTCCCAAGTTCTGGCCGTGGTAGCTGGGGTAAGTGGGGTCTCTCTTATGACCATGGTGGCAACCTTCTTTCCAAGTGGGTTGACCATCCTGCAATCGCCTGTTTTTTTTCCCCCCCCCGTTTTTTTTTTTTTTTATTATTATTTATAACTCCTGTGGTCCATGAACCGCATATTTTGATGGTAGCTCATACACCATTCCAGTGCCTCTTGATATCAGGGGCAACCCAGTGCCCCAGGCCCAGGTGGTTGGGCCCGCAGACTTGCTTCCTTCGCACGGGTCAGAGGACTTGTGTAAGCAACGGTTCCCGTCAAAACATGGCTATCCTCTTTTTTACTCTCTCGGCATCTTAAGCCCAAACCTGTCCCAAAAGGAATGCAAAAGGACCTAGGATGGTATAAATTGTTCTGTTGTCTTAGTTCAGGCTTTGGTGCTGTCTAAGTAAACCAAGGTGGGTTGCCAACAATACCTGCACAACCACATGTAGAAAGCCAGGGCTGATTGCATTCAAGCATAGATGCACGCCCAGTTGTTAGAAAGATTCTTCCAAGGGGGGGATTGAGTGGGGGGGCTGAGGTTGGCCATTGGAAGATGGGGCAAGTGAAGTGAAATATGGTTGCGATCAAGTTGTCCTGGTTGAGCAGGCCGGGCAACGCAGGGCGATGATAGGGGGTGTCAATCAGACAGCAAACGAACGGTTCCAGAAGCGACGTCTGGTTTCTTTTGTTCGGACGGCTTTGGCTTGTGTGAGTTTGCGTGCTTTGTTGTTGAGGACGCCTTGATTTTGCACGCTCTCAGAGTTCAGGGGAATATCAGGCATGGATTGTGGAGTTATGCAGGTGCAACACCACTCTAGCTTGTCCAGGAGTCCGAGCAAGAACTCCCATGTCGTGTTGCAACTTGCCCCAGCTCACAGCCCAAAGTGCCCCGAACCACTAAGTTTGTCGGGTTCGCTCGTCGCTCGATTTGGAGGCCCAGACCACAAAAGCAAAAAACCCTCCCAAGGGTCGGAGGAGCCACAAGGCTTTTGGGAGGCCCTGGATGGGAGGGTTTCCTTTTGAGGGAGGCCTAGTTGTCACATTTGGAACCCCCAAAATGGGTGTCTTGTTGGTTTCCTTTTCAAGCAACCCCAAAAAAGGGGTACCCTCAAACAAAGACACACCCATTTGTTGTTGTTTTGTTTGCTTTATTTAACTCAGGGCGGCATCAGCAACATATTGCCGGGCCGTCCAGGAGTTGCAAGAGGCTCGGGAGAGGCAGAAGCAGTACAAAAGCCCAAAGTCCATCGCCAAGCTCATCTCCAATGACGCACCACGGCGGGCGCTGGGGATAAAACGGGCGAACGCCGATTCAAATCTGCAGAATGACTTGCTGGTGCGATAGGTAGGGAATGCGGCAATGATTTCAGGGGCTCCCCTAAAGGAAACCACAAGGGATGGTTTATAAGGGATATTCCCTCATTCCCTGCTGAGCACCAGCAAGATGATGACTTCGTCCTTCATTTCCCACTTTTGAAGTAGGGATCAGGTGCAGGACGGGGGCGCAATGCGAACTCGTAGGCGAGCGGCGTAGCACATCATTGTTCAATATGTGTGCGTGCCTGTGCACATAGCTTTACACTGTTCGGTTTCGAGTGCCGTTCGGTTTCTCAAAGCAGTCATAGTAGGTACCCTTCGCCGAGCTCTCCTTGCCCCATAGAAAGAGCACCTATGGTTGGGGCACGGGGTCCATTGCTCTAGGTGTCAAATGGGGGGATGGCTACCCCCTTGGAGACCTTCATTGTGTCCATCTTGTGGGAAAGGCTGGGGAAGTGGGAACTGATCAGAGTTTCTGCCAACCTGAGTCAGCATTGGCAACCATCCTGGCTTCGCATGGAGCGACCCTCGAGCTCAGGATCACGAACTGGGGGTACATCTTTGAGACACGACCCCAAAACAGCAAACAACCGACACATGGAATGCCGCCGATTTCCCGCGAAGGGTCAGCACAGGGTACAGTAGCGGTCAGCCACTTCCAATTGTCCAAGATTCCAGCAGTAGTCCGCCTGTAGTTACTATAGTTTATGTTGCTTTGAAAGGCGGGGTTCCCGTTTGGAATTAACCATTAAGAGAAAAGTAGCCTTGCCCCCTCGCCCCCCCAAAGCAAGCACCAGGATTCCCTTAAGCTGGATTGATTCAAGTGAGAAGTTAGTTTGCCTTTTCTGGGTAAGTGAATTCTCGCCACCATTGAGAAGGCTAACGTTGAAAGGACACACTTGAATTGACTCACTTTTGGGCTGGAAGCGTCACTTTTTGGATTCCTTGGGACATGGTGCTTGAGGGAGGATATTGGCGGGAACGCTAACTCCGGGGCTGAAGCTAGGGATTTATTGAAGGGTGTTGAAGGGGAAGCCGGAAGACAACCTACCCATTTTGAGGGGTCTTCATGTTGACCATTCCCAACGCCCTGTTTGAGGGGTCCGGGCTTCGATAGTGACTGGTGACACCAGCATCCCCCAGAGGCACGTCGAGATTTCCTTAATCTTAGTGCCGTTTTGTGAAAGAGCACTTTTTGGAATTTGATAATGGCCCCTGAAAGTGTAGAATTTCGCTTGGGGACCCCACATTTCTCCCAAGGGTGGAATTTCTCCCAAGGGTGGACAAAAAGGCCAACCACCCTGTTGTTTCTCATGTATTTAGTGGTGGCTGCAAAGTTCATAGCTTTTTGCTAGCATACCACGGGACGGTAGTGAAACATAGGGTTGTAGGGTCACTTTCAGCGATACCAAGGGAACCCTCTTCAAAGTGATAAAGTATTCATGGGAATGGCCCCATGTTGCTATCGCAGAAGTGTGATTTTCGCACGCACCAAGGCTTGCAAAGTATAGTGAGGTTCAGACCGCTCATCAAGCAATAGAAAATCACAGACGGATATCTCTTGACCACAATCTTACTTATGGAGTACCCCTCCTCCCACTAACATGGCATATGTGGTAGGGTACCTGGAAAAGGAATTTTCTCTTAAACAGACCCTCTGTAAATTGCCATGGCACCGTGGGAGGGAGGGTATCATCTGAATGGGTCCTTGCCATTCTTATGAGACACAATCAGCGGTGATGTTCCTTGTTTCTTTCCATGGTTCTGGGCTTGGACTGTTTAAAAACTGTGGATGGACGAAATCCATTTCGCACCACCAAAGAAGCCATGGTTGAAACCACTGTTTGTTGGTATTTACGTAGGGAATCAGACCATTCCAGGGCTTCTTGGGTGCAAAATGGATTTCGTGCCAGTCCGTTTCGGTGATCAGCTCCAGAGCCACGGGGCGCAGGCGCCGCAAGCGCCGCCGTCGGAGGTTTTTCGGCTGAGGCGGCGCCCGGCGCCCACCTGGAGGAGCGAAAGCGGGCGGCGCAGCGGGAGGAGTCGCACCTGCGCCGGGAAAGGGAGCGGGCGAGGCGGGGCCGAGGGGAGGATGGTGGGGGGCTGGCGGTGGGGGGTGGGCAGTGGTGGGGGTAAGGGGGAACATCAGTAAGGGACAGTCCCAACCATCCCCGGTTGTGGACATGGTTTTGGGTATTTTTGAGTGCGCCTCCTGTTTTGGCCCTGCAAAAGTGGCAGTTTCATCGCAACCCACCAGTAGGTGGCTACTGGGGACATGCAGTGACGGTCCCTTCCCACACATTTGCTTGGAAAACGGCAACACGAAGATCGCCTGTTGAAAAGGCCGAGTTATTGAGCTTCCCACCCCCTTCCTCTGGTGACACATATAAGGAGCCCGGGTAGAGATAGGAAGCATGAAGTGCCGGGCCTGTTGGTTTCCAGAACCATCCAGAAAAGATTGGCCGAGGCTTGGTCCGCATGTTGAGGTGGAAGAGAGTCACCTCCCTTTGATGATCGACATGTGATGCCTGGTTTCTCCCGGATTGGATGTTCTTGATCTGAATCACCGGCTCCTTGCATATGGGAACCAAAGGACGAGTTGCCATGACGGCCCCTTGAACAGCGAATAGGTAGCACCTGGGCACCACTCACAGTTGGCCAGTTGCGGATGTTCTACCTCAGGTTAGTCCTGCCGGTGCTGAGACTCAGGGCCCTCACTCAGCTGCTCAAGGTCTAAACCTACCCTCTTGTCCTTCACCATGGAAGCTACCCCGAAACGCCGGCTTCGGTTCGACTCCAGGGGTTCCAACATGTTCCAACGGAAAACGGACATGGAGCCATGGCAACCTGAGCCAAGGATGGAGGGTCATCACCTTTGAAATCCTTCAGGTTTGAGCAGGTTGGAGAGGTATCATTGCTTTGACAAAGCGTAAAGTTGGTGTTTGAAAGTCATGATGGTTCCAAGAAAGCCGACTTGCCCAAAGCCGTCCTCATAAGGACGACCTCGCTTTGGGTGAAGGTCACCCACGCCCTTTCATAAGTGTAGGGCTGCTCGTCCAAGACTGTAGGAAGCTAAGGAAACTTGGGACGGACGCAGTTCTGCCTTTGCCTTGATTTCCCCCACCCGTTTGTTGTGAGCATCCCATGTTTGTGACAGGTGAACCGAGTACAACTAAAGGTCCCCAACCCCTTGGACTGATGCATTTGGTGGCGGAGTTTCATTTTGTACGACCCAGATCACATGTGGTTTGAATATGGAACTGGCAACAGCAAGCTTGCAAAAAGAAGGGTGGTTTCGAACACCTCGTTTAACAATGCCAATGGTTGATTTGAGAGCGCCGGTTTGCCGGGGTCATCGACCCCATGAATCCAAAGCGGATTCACGTCTTGCCAAAGCTTAGCCCAATTGAAACCTTTCAACTGGGCAGTGCGTTTCACAGGTATCCCTTGAACAACTTTTCAACTTGGCAGTTTGTTTCAAAGGTATCCCTTTGCGGCGTGGTCTCGTCGCCTCGCCCCAAGCCGTTGAAGCCCACCGAGCTTTTCCCCGCAGGCGGCACCTGGACGACGGCGCGGCGCTGGAGCGGCCCTTTGGGACCCCGAGGCTCCCGTCCAAGACGAGGGAGGACGCTCGGACGCCGACTTGGACATCGGTACAACGAGGCTACAGGCAATTGTAGGCGTTTTTCTCCAGGGATCCAGTTAGTTTTTTTTTTTTTTTTTTTTTTTTTTTTCAGGTCTTCGAAGAGCTACTGAATTTGCAGAACTGGTGGTGCCAAAGCACCGACTGGGCGCGAGGCCCTTCCGTGCGAGGCCCTTCCGTGCGAGGCCCTTCCGTTCTTCTTCTTCTTCTTTTTTTTTTTTTTTGTGTGTGTGTGTGTGTGTGTTTTTGGACTTGTTGGTTCTTTGTTTCTTTGTTTGTCTCTTTGTTTCTTTGTCATGTTGGGCTTTGCTAGCTTTGGTTTGTTATGGCCTGGATTGCTTGGTTTGGTTGCTTTGCTTCGTCGCTTGTGTGGTCACAACTCGGGTCGGTGCCAAGTCCCTTGAAATACGTTGTTTGGGATGGACTCTTCCGAATCGCCAGGTTGTGATTACATTTTTTCGAGCTGCAAGGTTTATGGCTTGCTTGCTTGCGCTTGGTTGGTTGGTTGGTTGGTTGGTTGGTTGGTTGGTTGGTTGGTTGGTTGGTTGGTTAGTTGCTTGGTTGCTTGGTTGCTTGGTTGCTTGGTTGCTTGGTTGCTTGGTTGCTTGGTTGTTTGGTTATGTTGTTTGTTTGTTCCTTCGTTCTCGGTTGCTGGTTCGTTGGTTTCTGGAGGCCTTTCCGGCATCTGAGGAGCCTTTTGAGGAGGATGAGTTCATGGCCAAGACGGTGCATGCCTTGACAGATGAAGATTGGAAGGTGAACATCAAGTTCTCTTGAGCCACACTCAGCCTAGAGACCAAAGTTTGGGCACCAACTACCAGGAAACCAAACATGTTACACCACCTGAGCCACAGTCAAAACGGTAGATGAAGGGTAGTAAGGGACAGGCCCAGCTAGGAATAGGTGCCGATATTCGCCCTTTCGATTGTTTACCTTGGTTTGAGTAGACCGCTGTGGTACCAAGTTTTTTTGCTTATGACTCTTCTGAGCCCCCACTCCCACCGCCACTTTTCGCGGCCAAGCCGCGCGCACTCACCAAGATTCGGATCTTGAAAAGGGCGACGGCCGCGAGGCGCAGGTCATAGCATGGCTGTGTCAGGCACTTGTATGCCATTGTGCCAAACAGCTATGCGGCTCGTGTCTGGCACTGGTCCGCAGCTTCTGCAAATGAGCGAGCGTGGCCTGTGAATCTTTGGGCATTTCAAATCCAATGGCAGCGCAGCATGAAAGAGCAGGCAGCAACTTGGTCACGCCTGAGAGACTCCGAACCCATTTGCCAGTCTCTTAGTCAAAGGCACCGGGGCAAGGGGTAGACCGGCGACTTGCTTTGATGAGCCCATAGCCATGGAGATAGCACCGCGCCGCTTGGAACAAGACGTCGAGTGCTGGCAAGCTGAATTCTGATTACCCTCCATGGCCGGACATCTCCAAATGGTGTCCAAGGGTCTAACCGCTAAGGAAGTCAAAGTCAGCCATGACCTTGGAGGGATAGTATGGATGTGTGTTGTTTTTTGAGTGTACCCCTTTCTGGACGCTTGTCAAGGGACATCCAACAAAGACCAATATTCCTGGGGGAAAAAGAGTAATCTTTTTTTAAGGGTCCTTTCTGCACCCTTTTCAAAGGGAAACCCAAAGGCAGACCGCCCTTTTTGGGGGTCCCCACCAAAAAGGAGGCACCCATGTATGGCTGTATCACCCTACATATGCCAGGCAGTGCCGTGCGGCCAAAGGCCGCGACGTCGAACGCCGCTCCGCGGCTTCGAGCGGTCCGGGCTGCGGCGCCCGCTTTCAGCTCCAACTGGCGACAGGCTGCAGGCGGCGCTGGGGAGCTATAGGGCTTAGAGACTCCCCAGGAATTGTTCTCACCATACCTTTCGAGAACTAAGGCTCTCTTGGAAGCTTTGGGCGGTAATTCCTTTCGGGGGGGGGGCTTTGCGTTCTGAAACCCCCTCCGTGCCCTGTTTTGGAGTGCTGCTCTGTGGCCGCAGTGTGGTAGTTCGATTCGTACTCTGAACTACTTTGGCCATATTCTGTCTAGAATCTCATCACCACAGTCAGCAGCCCGGGGCAGAATCTGGATGTGGCGACGGATGTTCCTCTTTGCCCTGCAGGTTGACATAAACTCATTTCAACACCCATTTGCCCCACTCGATTCACGCAGCGTAACTTCTCTGCGGGTTCTTGCTCTCGCAGTATTTTTGGTGTTTGTCTTCTCTTGTTAGCGTCGTGGGCCGGTTTTCACGCAAGAGGAGACTCCTGTAGATGTGAAGGTTTCTCGGTTCCATGTTGTATACTGTGTCGCCTAGCAGATGGAATATGTTTTGTTTTTGTTGGAACTTGCATGTGTAGTATGGATGTTTAAGCGGGCCGGGAAAGGTATTCTAAACTGCAATAAAACGTTGAGTATCTTGTAAATTCAAAAGCAATAACATGTGAGATCCATATTCTAACTGCAACGACATGTGAAATCCGTATGATCTGGGGGGGGGGCAGAAATCCAAAAGACATTTTGCCCGTGGCAAACCCAACATTTGGTCGAGGTCGGGTATTTTCATCAAAATCCGAACGCTTGAGCTTCTGCTTTCCGCAGGAATACTGGATGCATTCGGGTTTTCCCTGAGGCATCAAGCGCCGACCCATGAATCTGGGTGAATTATAACGACCTGGTTCATGTGGGGAATAGCCCCCGAACCACCTTATTTCAGGTTGGCGGAAATTTATAATTCACCCAGATGAATGGACCTCTGAAAGGTGTTCTGCGGGATTCCACACCCTATAGGAGCACTCGCTGCAGCTCTGGCGGGCCGGTGGCGCTTCAAAGGCGGGCTTCGTATCCGGAGGTGTCTGCAACGGGGGACATGCCGAATTCGGGGTCGTTCGTTTTCGGTTTTCCTTTCGAAACGAGCCCAAAATTAAAAAAAAGTCAGGAAGTGGTCCGAACACCACGAGTCGGCATGGTCATTACATCGCACCTGTATGGGAAAATGATTCCCCCCCCCTTGTCAACGTGTAGCTTGAAAGCTTCTGGCCCAACTATTCGTCCTGGAAATTGGGAACGAGCGGAGCGGGCGGAGATAGTTTAAAGGTATAAGACTTAGCCTCTCAAAGGCGGGTCAACCATTCACCTCCTAAAATTTGACAACAGTATGATTTTCAATACAGAAGATAAGACAATGAGAGACTCATTTGTCTCACATGGTCTTCTCATTATCTGTCTTCATCTCTATTATTTATTCATATGTTGGTCTCGTTGACTTCAGGGCTTCCACAGCCAAGTCTCAGATAATATGAGCATACTTTGTTTTTATGTTCCTTCCGTATGATTCATGTTTAGTTTTTACATTATTTTAACTTTATGTCACTTCTTTCTTCTTTATGTGTTTTTTTTGACTTCTGTTTGTCTGTATGTCTATGTGTTTTTCGACTAAGGCTTCAGAAGCTTGACCACAAATACGGAAGGAAAAGGAAGCTTCATCTTTTGGTCATTTGTCTTTTTACGCGTATCTTCTTATCTCTCTCTCATCTTATTTGTATTGCTTCTTCCTTATTGATTTTTTGCATATTGTCGTTCTTCTGTTTCTACGTCTGTTTGTGGCATGTCTGGTTAATATTCCTTGAGGACACACATGCTGACAGGAAAGCAATTAACAGGTGGAGCAACATACATATTAGTTGATTGCTTGTTTAGTTTACTGATTACCTCTCATCCGTCTCACATGAATAATGTCTCTTATCAATAAGAGAGTCTCAGATAAATAACCCTTAATTCCAGAGACTCTGCAATGTTGGTGATGAGAGCTGGTGCCAAGGGATTAACCCGCTGTAGTTACAATATGCACGTCGATCCTTCGGTGCGTGTATGGTTCACTTGCGGCTCGTCGACAAAGAATGAGCCGAACAAAGGAGAACCAAGGACCGTTTCACAGTTGAATTTCAACGACGGAATCCAACTTTTGGACTCAGTGCACTGGGGGAGTAGAAGCGCAGCTCATCTCGAACAGCCCTGGCTACCCACGACTTTTACGGGCTTTTGGGCCAGTGGGCATGTCTAAACATGTTCGTCCTGGTAGCGCCGGAACGCCGCCCATGTCAATCCGCGCGAAACCGGATGGCCGTGTCAGGCGCCCTGCGTCGGGGGCACGCGCTGCGCGCTTCAAAGGAGGCTCAGGAATGCAGCTGAGCTGAACTGGACGTGGTTGGATGCATATGAGTGTGTCTGGTTGTAGGGGGCCACAAACAACTTGTGGTTCTCCTTTTGGTGCGCCTGAGACCACACGGAAAGGGATACCCTCACAAAGACACCCATACTCTTTCAGCCTTGAAAAGCTGACCATACCTCAAGGGCAGAAAGTTTAGTCAGATCCATGAAGCTTCCAGCCTGCCCATGTGAGCCGATTCTGTGGGAAGCTGAGGTGAAGTGCTGGAACTGGTCAACACGGACCTGTGCGACGGTGCCCCGGAAGCGCCGAATTTGGCGCCCCTTGGCAGGAGAGCTATGCGTTGGTTGGATTAGTTGGATTTCAAAACCTTTGTCTGGAGGCAAAGCCCAACTTGTGGCAGGTGGTTGGAAGGTTTTTACCCTCGCTTCTTTCATCCAAGCGAAGACTGATGCGGCGGGCCTATTTCTTGTCAGGAACCAGTGCCAGCTGTAGTGGGTCTCCCTTCAAGTTCAAGCAACGGCAAGGTTGCAAGTTATTTTGCTTTCAGGGGAGTGCTACCTTTGGCATCAAGCAGCAACATTCCGAACGATACTGGCTGCAAGTGAGGCAAACCAAACAAGTAAGTAAGCAAGCAAGCAAGCAAACAAGCAAGCGCACAACAAAACAAGCAAACACCCAAACACACAGGGCCGCCTGCCAAGGATTCACGAGTCGGAGTTTCGACCTCCCAACGAGCTGGACCTCTTTATGAGAGCCGTCCGTGGCGTGCTCAGTTGGGTTTAAGTTGACAGCTGAGCAGTGCAGCGCTGCGGGACGCCAAAATTTGAAACATCGAAGTGTTCGTTTTAAATTGTTCCTCCAAAACAACAAAATGGGTCCCCTCAAGAATCGACGCACCCGTTTGCTTTCGGTTGCCAATCTGCGAGTTTCCTTCGAAGTAATGTTTAAAGCTGACCCCGGATTCACCCCGGCGGATTAGTAGGGATGATTAGGGATGTGTTTTCCCAGAAGTGAAGGATTCCCGCTTAAACGCGACCCCCCCCGCAAGCCATGAGTCAAGCTAGGGTGTGTTAATCAAGTGGCCTCCCACCTACTACCAATTTTAGGCGGGCTTTTCTGTTGTCCAAGACAGCCCACATTTTCTGTGGACAACCAACTCTGGCATACAGGTTGTCCAAGCCTGAGGATACTACGCGGAGTGCTCTGGGTGGCTTGGCGGCAAACGGATACCGTATCTCCGACTCCCGACTCCTCGCACTGTGTGACGTCTCTGTTTTGCTTGTAGGGGGTCCGGACTTGCTGGGGGCAAAATCAAGCTAAGTCCAGTTTAACAGTGGTCTATAGGGGGGGCCGGGCAGGACAGTAGGGGCTGACAGGCGTAATTTTCCCAATCCTTACTCCTGACAGCAAGGTGTGGGGGAAGCTCCCTGACTGCCCTAAGTTCTTTGAAAGGAAATCGAAGGGGGATGAATATGTGTGTTTGGTGCGCCCAATTGTTCTGGGGACCCTTTGGCAGGCATTTTGTCCACCAACCACGCTTCAGTGGGCTCCCAACTGATTCAATCAGTTCATGGTGGGCTGTCTGCTCAAAACAGCGTCCAACCACTTTGGATTTGGTTTCCCCATTGTAACAAAAGAGGGGAATCCACCCCCCTGAGTGGAAAAGATCCCACCACTCAGGTTGGTTTCTGTTTAAAACTCAGCCCTTTGGGACCTCTTGCACACTTCAACCCTTGGCTCCAACCGCGAACTGAGGTTGTTGCTGAGCCGGCGCCTCAGATCCCAGCCCATGCACATGGCTTGCTTGTCCTATCTGCTCAAACCAACATGGAACCCCTGAAAACTTGGTGGCTCCCAGCCATCCCCTTAGCCTTTTAGCCTTTTAGTGTTTAGTGGTAGTTTCCATTTAACCCTTCTGAAAAGGGGTGTGCTTCCAACATGGCAACAGACGGCAAAACGTTCGTTACCGTGGGGGCTTTGTTGTTAGTTGGAGTAAAGATGGTGGAAAATTCGGGGAGGAGGGAATCAACACTAGCGCTTGGTTTCATTTGGAACCATTTTCCCTTTTGGCTGGAGAACTAGACACATGGAGTTGGGTGACCTCCACCCCCAGAAAGTTGGGTTGTTCAAAATCAACAATCCTTGAGATGGAAGTTGTGTCCCTTGCAGAGCACTTGTTGATGCGTTCCACTCAGGCTTCCCCGCATTTGAAGCATCCCCAACCCCCATATTTTGCGAACTGGACTGTTTTCCCTCTAGGTGAATTCTCCAGGGGCCCACGGCTTCGCGGTTGAGGCTACGTGCCGGTCTACGTGAAGAGCTCCATGGAGGGCCATGACGCAGGCGCGCGGCGCCCGCCCGAAAGTCGTCTCGGGCGGAAGTGGCGCCCCGAAGGGCCAAGAGGTTCCTGGACGGAGGTGTCCGAGGCGTAGGACAGAGCAGCACTTACCATAGGTGTCCTTTCTGGTTGCTTTGATAGAAAGATAGAGGGCGATTGCTGGTTTACCTGGCGGTTGAATCATCTACCAGGGCCATCTATTTCCCCGAAAAGGACGCCTATGGCACTTACCCGTTGATCTGTGGTTCGTGCCTTTTTTGGTTGGGGGCTGGGGGGATGGCTGAACGCGAGCTTTTGGAATGCGAAGTTTTCCGTGAGCTTCCTCGAGGTTTGGATGTTTTCTTCGTCACCTTGTGGAAAGTCCTAGTTTCTGACCCAGGCGACATGATGTTGTTAAGTTGGAGTTGGAAATATGGGTTTGTCTCAGAATGCGGGGACCGTCGGATGGTCAGTTTTCTTTGTTTGCGTTTTCTTGAAACGCCAACTTCACTTGACTGCTATTAAGGTTGGATCTTTAGACTTTAACTTTTTGGGAAATAAAGATGTTTTCCACTAACCCCCTAAAAAGTTAAACTTTTTGCCGGGGGGTCAACAGCAACCAAGTTCAGGAGGGGTTCCCCGGCTGGGAAGAAGTGCTCCGCCCAGGCGCTTTAGAAGAGGAGTGGCGGGTGAGGTGCGACGGTGCGACCAGCGCGGAAGGTTTGGGTGGTTTGAGGGCTCCGGATGCCTGCCAAAGTGGAGACTTGGGCAATCCCCGTGGAGGTCAGTTCCCTTTTTTTTATGGGGCCCAAAGCTGTAGTCCCCTCACACTTGTGGTCTTGGCATGTTTTGGCCCTTAGGAGTTGTATAAGTCATGCCAACTAGGATGAAACAGTATTTGATGTCCGTTCCTGCCAGGGTCCCTTCTAATTGTTTGCTTTTTTTTTGTTTGAAAGGTGAACGGTCGCAGCTGCATGGCCAAGGGCTTTCCAGCTCAAACCGTGCAACGTTCGGCGCGACATCTGCTGACTTCTGTTTTCTGCAGGCATGAAGCGGGCGCAAAGACCATCGAAGACTTGATCAACGAGCTCAAAGGATTTTATGTGCAACCTGGCCCGGATTGAGTGCAATCGCTTCCCTTGCTCTCAAATCCCGGGACCGACACCCCCCCCGCCCCAGCCCCTCCTCGCCCTTTTTGCTGAACAATTAGTTAGTGATCATTTTGCGGGGGCCCGGGTTTCCACCGCAGCCTTGTCCAAATGGGGATGCCCCTTTGCCGCTTACAAACACCGTCGACATGATAGTTTACCGAGTAAGGAGTTGATGTGGAGTAGCTGAAAGCTCGTGATTGAAATGGTCGACTCAAATGTAAAGGGCAAAATTAAAATTCCAAGAGAGGCTGCAGAGTTGGGCCAAGTAAAAGTACCAAGGGAGTCCTTTTTTGGGATCTTGGCCTTGAACTATTCATTAGTGGGGGGGGCATAGAAAGGCGTAGGGTTTGGCCATGGACCATGAGGGACCTCCCAGCGGCACGATTTAGCTCACCTGCAACAACTTCCAACAACTTGCTGAAAAGAACATGCCTGGGGATTTTCGGAACGCATGGACACCCCGCGGCTGCGGAAAGTCCTATCTGGCCCCTGGTGGCAAAAACCGTCGCCTCCCTCAATCATGTCCCCCCCAAAAAGGGAATATGACATCCTTCGTAAAGAAAAGGCTTCTTGAAGGAAAGGACCCCAAGCTTGAAGGACAACAGAGAGACACCATCTGAGGAAAGTGGGCCAGGTCATCGCAACGCGCAGTGACCTCTTTCCAAAGGAGTACTCCAAACAATGCGCCGCCATGATCGATTCGGCACCTTGGATACGACACACATTTTTGTCTAAAAGCAGCGGCGGCTGAAGCACATCTGCGTGCTTCAAGGTGCTGGGGTAGGGCTGGGCCAACCTTTGTTGCTCAAACCACTCCTGGTTAAAGAACCTGGGCTGTGGCCCGGTTGATGTTTTTTTTTTGGGTGTGGCTAAACCTGCTATGATGAACAAGGTATGAATACGGTCGCAGGGCCCTAGCTCCCGTGGGCACGTGGCAATTTCAAGCATAGACTGGTCGGATCGAGTTCCTTTTCACCACGTACCCTTCCTCCAGCGTTGACGTGTGTGGTATTTTCTGGTTTGGATTCTGCATGGGCCAGAATCAAAACATTGCTGCTTTGGTTACGGGACCAATGCTAGCTGGATGTGGTCGGCCCCTCCCAGTGCCCTTGTTTCTCCTTTTTTTGGGAAAGGGTCCTTTCAAAGGAAGCCCCTGCTTTCATACTAATTGGTGGGAGGGTACTAGGAATATCAACTGAGCACCACACCGTGCCGTTTTTTCGCCCATGCCGACTGGAAGCTTTTGCAAGCTGAAACGGACACATCCATGGACCAATGAATTCTTCCATGGACCCATGCCAATGTCAGGCTTTGATGGCTCTCCAAGTAGACGATGAGCAATAGTTGATGAACCACTGCTGGGATCTTTTTTTAGCTGTTTGCACGTTTAGTCATCTCTTTATTATCTTTCTTGGGTTATGGGGCGGGCTGGGACACATGAAATTGCGGGTTGATACCAGGAATTTCGGTGACAATCACCCTCCTTCAGCTGACGTCCTGAGGTGAACCCTTTGCCCTTCGCGGTGGTGCGGAAGGTGGTGGAGGACGAGTTGCTGGGCGGACTTCCGCTGGAGGAGGCGCCACATCGGAGTGTCCGGGGAAGCGGGGTGGGGAATGGGCCTGCCGATTCTGCGGCCTGTGAAAGCCCAGACCCCCATTTAGCCTGAGAAAACCATCGGTCAGAACCATTCTAAGCCCTGAGTGCTTGGGTGCGGTAAATGTCCATGTTCGGCTTGATTGGGCGCATGTTGCTTTCAAAAGGGCTCTTACCTTTCACTCCTCTGCATGGCTTCCAACATGCAACCACCAAACATGGGGCAACATGTGGGAATCCTTGCAAGCTGTAAAACATGCGTGTTTTCCATCGCCCCCAACAGAGAAACACGAACGTATAACTTCCGTCCTGCTTGAGCTAATATTGACCTTCCAAACATTTGAAAAGCGAGCGAGCCACCAGCAATTAGGAAATCTGCCGGGGACTCCTGAAGTGGTCAACATCTCGCACTCGCACGTAACGCCCACCTTTTCCAAAAGGACACCTAGGATAGTTTGGCTCATTTTCCAGAACGGGCTTCCTCCTTGTAGGGCTTCCAGCTTTCGCACACAATGGGCCGTGGACCGCCCTTAAGGACATATGGATGAACGCTCGTTTTAAGCCATGTCGGGGCTGTATGTCACGGGTATCATTCGCAAGCCCCGGGCCCAGTATGGCTTTTTTGAAGTATGCTTGTTTGATGCTCAGAAATTCCTTCTTAATTTCACCCAACTTGGCAAACACGAGGGAAAATGGCCTGCCACCTGAGTAACATTTGGGTTAACCTAGGCGACCCTGACAAACAATTCCCTTTCAATCGACACATTTTTGAAGTACCCTCGAGAAAAAAACACATCTACATTAATGTTGTTGATTTGTAGGTACATTCCCCGGCCCAAGTGGGGGAGTTAACTTGGGTTGACCGAGTTGGGTACCTCCCCGGCCCATGTTCCGCCCGGATCGCGATCCAACGCATTGCTCATAACATGCATTCAAAAAAGACCCCATTAGTCATGCTAAGTGAGGTGTTAACTTGTGTTATCCCAGTCGGTACTTCACTGACCCAAGAGGGGGTTAATCCTGTGTTTTCTTTGAGTTGGTACCCTTTTGGGGGGGGGGGGGGCGATTCCAAAAAAAAGACACCCAGTCAGGTACCTCCCCGGCGCCCCAAGCGTGGTTAATTGATTTGGAGGTACTAACCCATCTCAAGGTGCCTCCCTGGCCCCAAGGTTTCGGGTCAACCCAGTTGGGTGTTTGCTTCTTCTTTTTTTGAGTTGGTCCTCCCCCCCCGTTTTGAGGTGGTTTTAAAGGGGTACGCCAAAAGGAAAGCCCACAAACATCCCGCCAATTTTTTGGGGTCCAACCCCAAACAAGACAGGTACCCACTAACATGGCACCTGTGGGGAGGTACCTGGAAGATCAGTTTCCTCTGAAGGAACTCCCTGGCAGGAGGGAGTGCGCCCCAAACGCCCCAAAAACGACAAAACCGCCCCAAACACCTGAAAACCGCCCCCCAAAACGCCCCAAACCGAACGCCTGGGAGGTCTTCGAGTTCTTCGAGGAGCAGCCCCTGGGCAGCGCCTCCATCGCCCAGGTGCACCGCGCCAGGCTGCGCACCGGCCGCGAGGCGCACGGGTTTTCACGCGCAGCTGTCTGGAGGTCTGCGGCTTGAAAAAAACCGCGACCTGCCCCTTAAAACCCGTCCCCCCCTTCTAAAACAGGAAGAGATGGAGAGAGAGAGAGAGAAAGAAACAAGAATCACATCCTGGGGAGCAACATTAGTTTTACTACTGCAGTCTTTATTGTTGTTATACATGTATACATACACACACATATATATATATATATATATATATTTGCATATATATATATGTATTAATTGCTATTTTTAGTCTTATCATTGTTAATTCGGGGTCCCTCGTTTCCAGGTTTCCGGGCCCGGAACAAGTTCACAGATGACCGTGCTTTACAAAGTGATTTGAATGGAAGCCGCAGCCTGTTGTTCTTTTTGAGAGACATGCTCTAATCTTAAACATGTGTGTTTTACATATGTCCATGAAGTGCCATCCGCGACTATGACCCTCCCATGGCTCCCCTTGCACTGGCTCTCAGGCTCTGGATCAGTATTGGAAGGGTGTCGGAGGTCTACTGTTTTCTCTTTTCTTAAAAAGAAGAAGAAAGAAACAAAACAACACGTTTTGATAGGCTTTCCCTGTTCCTGAGGATTCGTACGAGCTTCTTGCGATTCGTATTTGTTTGTCCTTCTTTGGCTGTTTGCCTGCTTGCTTTGAGGCGTGTTTCCCTTTCAAACTGTGGCATCCCGCAAGCGTTTCCCTCAAACAATCGGGTTTTCAAACATCCACAGGCAGGTTCCCTCATTCCAAAGGCAGGATCCATTCCACCTAGATAGGGCTAGTATTTTCAGGCGTCCCAGGCAGGTATACCCTTTTTGACAGCCTTCAGCCTTACGAGGACACTAAGAAAACTGGGCACCTGACATGACTGAATTCTCATTGATTTCCCAGGTTTTTCCACACCAGGTGTAACTCGCGCGGCAACATGCCCGACCCGGTTTCCCTTTACAGCAGCCCAAGAATTCCTCCCCCACCCTTCTTCCAAGGGTCACTGAAATTTCTTTGTCAAATGAGGGAAGCCTCAGAGAGCTCCCGTGCTGCAGGAGCAACGACCTCCAGCGGTCCCTTGTTTGTTGGTGGTTTTTGACGTCAGGTAATTATTGTTGTGGCCGTTTTTCTCCTGGGGACCTTTTTCAGCCCCGTCTCATGCCAAGCGGAGGTGGCCGTGAAGGTGCAGCGGCCCAACGTGGAGCGGCGCCTCATGAGCGACATCTCGGCGCCTCGGGCGCAGCGGGGCTCAGGGCCCAGGTCGGGGCCGCCTGGGCCCCGGTGAATCGAGGCGCGCGCTGGTAGCTCCTGCCACCAAGGAACGGCCGGAACCTGACGTTCGGGAAAGGAACGTCAGGTTCCGGCTGGTGGGAAATGGCCCCTTTAAAAAGAGAATGGCCTATACCAGGACGCGAACGTCAGGTGCCGGCTGGGAGTTGGTGGGACGGTATGTATTTGTGTGTGGCTTGCCCCACACGAAAAGCCAGCCGTTCCCTGTTCTGCCGGGGAAGAGGGTTCCCCATCTTTCCCGGTTTGGCAAGCTTTAATCTGTGACTTGGCGGGGTTCGTCGGCATTTTTTAGTCAAGGCCCAAAAAGTGCGTGGTTTTTCGTCGTTTCGTTCTTTCTCCCCGGGAAAGTAAACTCAGCATCTTGTCTATATGCCCATGAACATCGGTAGGGAATTAATTCGAACCCACATTGTTGGTGGACCTGTGTCAAACATCACGGCTGTTTTCTCGCGGTGGCTGGCGGAGTTTGGGGTTCGACCTGTTCTAGCGGTATTTCTTTCCAGGACCCCTTTTTTCTCGGAAGCTTGCCAAATGCCAAGCTGCTCAGGGGAAGTTGGACGGGTGTTCCAAAGAGCCGCGGGTGGGCATAGTGCAGCTTCAACCTTTAGAGATATGTGCGGGCCATGCGGAATATCGTATTTATCCTCGGCTTTCGGGGCCAATTTGAAGCAAGCGCTGCAGTTTCTAGGTTGAAGATCTATTTGTAGGCCCGGTTTGTTGAAAGGTTGTTTGGCGCGATTTGGAGGGCCAAAGGGAGGCCTCCGCGTGGGAACCCACACTAGGTCAAGCCACCCCTCGGACTGTTGAGTCACTTGGACCAAAAAGTCTGCCAGAAGGTGAGTAGTAGAGGTGTCCAAAGCATTCTCAAGGACATGTAGGGGAGATTCCGGAAAATCGAAACGGCCCTCCTTGTGGTTGGTGGTTACCAGCCATTCGGTTCCGGAGGCTTTTAGCTTTTTGGCCGTTGAGTGGCACTTTCCATTTAACCCACTAGAAGTTAGACCCCTGGCAGGGGATCTGAGCAGCTTTGATCTAGAATGAGGGAAACAACTGGGCAAGTCCAATGGGCACACCGATCCGGAATTGAAGCAAGCCCGCCCGTGATTAATTGCTTGGAGACAGCTTCGTTATTTCCAGCTTAAAGGGCATGATAGTTTGCCTACATCTATTCAGCCCACTGGGGCAACCTGAGAAAGGTGATCACAATCTCAGGGAGGTGTTTGTGGGTCCACATTGGGTGGAAATACCGGGCCAATGGAAGAACATGGGGGTTGAATATTGATCCGGTACTTAAAAGATCAAAACCAACGGGATCCCATTTTGGTTGGTAGGTGAATTCACCACCCATTTTAGAACCTACTTTAGTGGGGATACGTACGATTCGGCTTTTGACCCATGGCCATACTGGGTGTGTCCTCTTTTTTTTGTTGGAATCGGACGGCCCCCTTCGAAAAACCATTGTAAAAAAAGGGGGGAAAGCCTGCCAAGCAAAAAAGGCGCCAATAAACAGCCTTTTCCCGACAGCTGAAAGGGGGGGGGGGGCACTTTGAACCCCATCCGAGGTGATCAAAACCTTCTCCATGATCACCCGGGAGATCTTCCCAGTGGACTACTACTTGGTGTGCTGCGAGCTGGAGGAGCAGCTCAAGGACGGAACCTCCTGCCCCAAGTAGCCGCAGGGAAGGGGAGAGGTGGTGGGTGATTTGGTGGCTTGGGTAGTTTCCCATTTACCCTTCACAAGAAGGGGTTCAAATCCCCAAGCCACCAACCCCAAAACAGCAAGTAAGGGTTACCTGAGAAACCAGCTACAGGAAATTCTACCAAACATTGGCCACAAACACAACAAACACAGGGCTACCCTTGAGATTAAGCAACTAAAGGGGTATCCTTTGGTGCAACCCGAGCCCACTGCCCGGGGTGAGGGGCGTTTGGGTTTCCATGAGGCATGGATAGGGTAGTCCATGCCTGCTCTTTAGACTGGAGCACTCTTGGTACGTCGTTTTGATGTGAGTTTGATGCGTGTTTGGCTTGTTTGGTCCATTTTCACTGGCCATCGAACAGCAGGCAAAGGGTTTGCGAACGTGCCAGCTTGCTTGGGCAGGGTCTTTTTGGGGTGGTTTCTTTGTACCTGAAGGGAGGGGCTGATTTGGGAGACCCCTCATCCTATCAGGTTGCCACTCGCATGCCCTGAAGTAACAAGAAAAGGCACCCCGCCGTGAAACCCAGATGTTTGTTGACTGTTGTTTCGGCGCATTTGCTTTGGGGGTCATTTTAGTGGCTGCCTATGATCAGGGATTTGTGGAGTTCCTCGAATCAACACTTCATCAATTCACTGGCAGGTTCCAATGAAATCAGACAACTTTAAGCTGAGGCCTCCCTGAGTTTATATCAGCAGTTTCCATGTCTCATTTGTTCACGGCCATTTCCCATCTCCAGCATCACCCGCATCACCAGCATCACCAGCATCACACAGAAAATGCAAGGGATGCCCGCCAAAACCAACAATAATAACAATAACGATAACAATGATAATACATCAACATGGGTGCAGTTTTTAGCGTGATTGTTGCGCATTTAAGCACGCTCTGCAAGTTTTCCTATTCGCCCCCCGGCCCCCTCCCCCGCACACGAACTCTAGCGACAAAGTCGTACAGCAATTCCGCAGAAGCAAAGGACCTGACACTCGCACCCACGTTGCCTTGCGGACCCGGCCAGATGGGCTTGCCCTCATGCCCTTGTGATCATGACTGCGTTTTGCTCCAGGCCTTCAGAATGCTGGAAAAGTGTTTTCTTCTCCAAATGCCTGACCCTGACAACCCGTCTTAGTTAAGATTTGCACTCAAGCTCCACTTTCCGTTGTTGCAAGTGTTCTTCTCCAAATGCCTCACCCTGGCCAAATTTGCACTCAACTTCCATTTTCCTTTGTTGCCTTCCGAGTTTGCAGAACAATGTCTTGCCAACGTCGCCCCTTGCCCAGGACGAGTTCGATTTCACCGCAGAGGCCACGGGCATGGATCGCATCGCAGACGCTCTGGAGCGGAAAGGCAAGGAGCTGAGCGGGCGGCGGGCGGCGGGCGGCGGGCGGCGGACAGCGGGCGTTGGTCAGGTTCGGTGGACGGGCGCTACACGGGCGCTACACAGCGCGCATTTTACCCAAAACAGAGGCTGACTGTTTAGGTTCATTCGTGAAGCCATTGCAACTTTTGGACCCACTCAGAGGCTGGTTTCCCTTTTTTAACGCCATAGGCGGGGAATGGGCTTTTGAAGGACGAAGAAAACATCAGGCCGGGATCAATCAACAGGAGAATCCACAATTGAAGCCACCGGATTCCCCGCTTGAAACCAGGCGAAATGGGGGACTTTTTTTGAGGGCTCCCAGGAGCCCAACTCCCTGAGACTTTGAGTTTTTCGATGGCCGAAGGGTCATTTGTGCGAGTCCCGCCGGTCAGGTTCCATGGTTCCATGACTCAGCTGCCAAAAGCGAATCACGTCTTCACGAGCTCCCAGTTTGTTTCCACGTCTCTCAGTGAGTCAAAGGAGGCATTGCGGCCTGAATGTCACCTGAATGACTCAGTGGAGCGATGCTTGTTCACTTACAAGGGATGAATACATATATATATATATATATATGGTATATTATGTATGAAACTATATGATCATTCACATATGCATATACATATACACATATATATTTGTATAATACAAAATATATGTATACTTGAATCCAATGGGAGTGGAGCACCTTTGGGAGGCCGCCGCCCGGCGGTGCACGTGCCGCGCTCCGTGCCGGGCCTTACGTCCCGGCGGGTGCTCTGCAGCTCGGTCCGCCCCCTTGTGCCCGTTTTTGTGTTTTGTTTTTTGTGTTGGGTTGTTGTGGTGTGCTGGTTGTTATTGTGTTCTGGAGCGATTGCCGTCGTTTTAGTATTTTGGTAGTCGGTCATTTGTTTCTTGATTTCTTGCTTTCTTTTTTGCTCTCTCTCTCTCTCTCTCTCTCCCTTTCTTTCTTTCTTTCTTTCTTTCTTTCTTTCTTTGTTTCTGTCTTCCTTTTCGTGTTTCTTTATTTATTTCTTTCTTTCCTCCTTGTCTTCTTTCTTCTTCCCCCTGTGTTGTTTAGGTATTTCATTATTTATCTATTCCTGTCTTTCTTCATTTATTCCGTTATTCCTTCCTTTCTTTCTTTCTTTCTTTCTTTTTTTTTATTTCTTTCCTTTCATTGTTTTGTTTTGGTTATTTATGTTATTTGTTTCTTGTTAGCTTCATGTTTGTGGCTCTTGCTATTTGTTGTTTTCCGAGACATTTTCCAATTTGTTTTTGTTTGTCGTCAAATTGTTTGTTTAATTCATGTTGAATATTTTCGTCTGACTGTCATTTGTTCTTGTTTGTTGTTTCTCTATTTGTCTTCTTGTGCAGCCTTATCAGGCTGTATAACTTTAGATGGACTCACGCCCTGAGTTTCTGGAGTTTATGAGACTTGTGGGGAAGACCATTTTGGTGGTCAACAAAAAGTTCGGAGTGTTTTTTGGATGAGGCAGTCCATCAACAAACAGAGAAACGCAGCCCTTGAGGCTATGGGTGACCATGAGGAATTGTCTTTGATATTTGGTGTTGGAACTGTCAGTCCGCACACAACGTGACAAGCAGGACAACACATGAACGCAGGAGGTCCGTCTAAAGCTCTCTTGGAAGGGCCGGTTGGGCCCGTAAGACACGCCCATGTGACCACTGACCGCCATGGTTGTTGGTTTCTTTCCAGGCACAATGAGCACTCCAACAAAAACGCCCAAGTGAACCCAAATGAGTTGCGCGGCCTATTTGTTGGCATTTTCCCACTGACCGACAGGCAGCCAGACCCAACCTCACGGCTTTTCGCTGTATGACTGGATGGTTCCCCTTTCAGCCCAACGAACCCCAACGAGATGTTCTTTGGCAATGCCACCGAAACTGAGACACCTCCGACCTTCGACGAAGGGGGGTTGGGAGGGAGGAGAACCTGCAAGCCCCATAGAATATCATGGACTAAGAGATTGGCTCGAGCCAATGGACAACAACTCTTGAAGTATTAGCCTTTGCCATTCGGACATGCTGTGCCTTTACTCTTTTCAACTTGAGCATGCCCAAGTTGAGCCATACGAGCTCCCTTTCCTGATTGGAGACTAAGCACACATCGATTGGTCCACGAGCTGCTTGCACAGCGGCTGGGCTAACAGTGGATGTACCAACCATTCACCTGGTGCAATGACAAAGCCAGGAGTGGATCTGCCGGCGCTTGAAGACTATCTTAAGTCAGATCGCGGGTAGAGACCCCCTTTACCAGCAGCATGCGGCCTGCAGCCAGCGCGAGGTTGAGTCTCGTTCGAATTGCAACGCCTGTAGCATTTCCTGCGAGGGCCCTGCAGATCTGAGCAAAGAAGGCTTGTGGCACACACAAAGAAGGATATCATGTCTGAACTGCTGGCATGATGACATGCGGAGGGTCATGTTGCCCAGCTTGGAGCACAGCGCAGGGCTGTTGTTAACATCCAGCTTGGCCGTGAGAGCTCCGTGGAAAGTTTGTGCGGCAACGCGCAAGGCCGAAGCTGCGCAGGTGCCGCTCCGGGGGGGGGGGGGGTGTTCGAGGGATTTCATGTGGCGTGGTCACCCGACTGTGCTTAGCAGCCGTGAGTAAGAAATAGGCATGACACGGCTGGTGACAGAGAGGTGTGTGAATGACATGAGCTCCTCTTGTCCCGTCATTCACTGTCTCCCTCTACCTTCTCTCTCTCCTATCTCTCGCTTCTCTCGTGGAACGAGGTAGGACGAAGCGAGGAGAGAGAGCAGGGGAAGGAGTTAGAGAAGCGCTCACATCCTATCGCTTTCCCTCTCCTTCCTATCACATGCCTCTTTCCTGCTCGCCGTTCACAGATCCATTCTTGGCGAGCAACAGATAGGAAAGAGAGTACGGCGCCGCGACCTGCTAGCCCTGCGCCTGCCAGGCTGCGCCCTCAGTGCATCATTCGAATCAGGGGCTGGCGGCGTGTCAGGCCAGTTCCCAAGACATTGACTTGGGGCAAGAGTTTGAATCAATCGAGACTTGCTCAAGTAACAGGGTGCAGACGCTAGGGTGGCAGAGCTCAATGACTGCCAAAATGAATACCGATCCGTGCCGAAGGGCTTTGGCCGACACGTCAAGCCCGAGACTCATCGAAGGCGTGTTTTTTCCATTGCCTGCCCCGAAGGCTGCTTCCACTGCGGCTTGCGGCTTGCGGTTTGCTCTCATTCGAACTGCTGTGGTTGGCAGACGCAATGCTGCCGACGGCATGCGCTCACGCCATTTGAGTCTGACGCTCTCGGATGTTGGCAAACCTTTCGGCTTTGCCATCAAAAGCCGGTGGGCAAGGAACTGTGCCCATAGCTTTGCAAAGTTCCAGCTGCACGTAGTAGGAAGCAATTTCTGCGAAGCCTGCTGGCCAAGCAGCGAACAAGCCTTAGGCCCATCACAGTACACCGCAGCGTCCCAGTGTATTTTAGGGATTTGTGCCTTGACCTGGAGTAGCACTAGATGGCAGTATGAGGCGCATCTTGTTGGGTTGACTTGAGAAAAGCACGGAGTCGTTGGTCCGAGTCAGCCTGGTTGCGCCCAGAGCTGCAGGGCAAGCTTCAGCTTCTTGCGCATGTGTTCGCACCATTCGAGTTGGATGAGTTGCCCGCGCTGTGCTAGCAGGCATTTTTCCAGCAGGTGCTTCGAGCTTGAACTTTGGGAGCTCAAGGAAATCAGGCCTGCTTGCGGTGACGCTCTCGGATAGCAATCCTTTCGACGTTGCCATCCGAAGCTGTTTGCATGTGGTAGGAGCCAATCTCTGCGGAGCCTGCTGGCCAACCAGCTGACAGGGCTTAGGCTTGTCTCAGCCCCTACGCGCCGCAGCGTCCCAGTGTGTTCTAGGGGTGTGCGCCTTGACCTAGGCTGCTTGGAGCGAGGTTTGCGTTGGGCACCAGGAGTAGCACTAGATGGCACTATGAGGCGTCATGTTGGGCTGACTTGAGCAAAGCACGGAGTCGTTGGGCCCGGTCTGCTTTGTTATGCCTTGTGCTTCGGGGCAAGTTAGAGCTTCAGACTGCTGATGTGGTTGACAGACAGGACCATTTGGGTCTGATGCAGTGCCTTGCAGCGCCGGCAGCGCCGCTACTTCTCAGCCCTCAGGCTAAGGCTGGCAGGCGTTTGTCCAGCATGTGCTTCAATTTTTGCCTTCGCCTCAAGACAACTTGGAGCTTGCACTTTGAGAGCTCAAGGAAACCAGGCCTGCTTGCGGTGACGGGCGTGGGCTCTCGGACGGCAATCCTTGAGAGTTCTAGGCGCCTCTTGTGCTTCGTTTGCACTGGACACAAACCAGATGTCAGCACGCGCCGACCTGTCCCACCCCTCATCTTCTCCCAAGCCCAGTTGGCCATAGTCACTTCGACGTTGCCATCCAAAACCGGTGGTGAAGGCAGCCCTATGAACACGGCTTTGCGAAGCCCCAACTGCACGTGGTAGGAGTCACTCTGTGCGGAGCCTGGCGCCCAAGCAACCAACAAGGCTTAGGCCCAATCTCAGCCCTCACGAACTGCAGCGTCCCAGTGTATTCAAGGGTTTTGTGCTTGACTCGGGGAGCAAGAAACGGGACGGCTGACTCTGTTCCCAGCAAGCAGGTCCTGCAAGCTTTTTGGATTCGGCGAGGGGTTTTGCGAAGTGGTTCTGCGAAGCACTTCTGCACGACTCTGCGAATCAGAATAGTCACTTGCGTAGTCAGCTGGAAAGCTCTTCGGAGGGTTCTGCGAACCGCTTCGGCTCAGCGAGGCTGCGGTTCTGGAGCTGCGGTGACACGTTCGAAGTGGAAATGCAAACTTGGTTTGGCAGGGCTACAGCGATGGTGCCCCTTTAGTTTTGAGCTAAGCTGCTTGGAACGAGGTTGCGTTGGGTGCCAGGAGTAGCACTAGATGGCGTTGTGAGGCGCGTCATGTTGGGTTGAGCAAAGCACGCAGCCCTTGGGCTCTGTCAGCTTTGTTCTGCTCGGTGCTTCGGGGCAAGCTTGAGCTTCAGACTGCTGGTGTGGTTGACAGACAGGACCATTTGGGTCTGATGCAGTGCCTTGCAGTGCCGGCAGTTCCGATACTTCCCAGCCGTCACGCTAAGGCTGGCAGGCGTTTGTCCAGCATGTGGTTCGGTTGCTGGCTTCGCCCCAAGACCGCTCAGAGGTTGCACTTTGGGAGCGCAACAAAGTCATCCCTGCTTGAGTTGACGGCGTAAGCTCTCAGATAGCAATCCTTCCGGCTTTGCCATCACAAATTGGTGTTGAAGGCAACCGACCTGTGCCCGTAGCTTTGCAAAGTTCCAGCTGCACGTAATTAGTAGGAAGCAAATTCTGCGGAGCCTGCTGGCCAAGCAGCTAACAAGCCTTAGGTCCATCAAAGTACTTGCACACCGCAGCGTCCCAGTGTATTCTAGGGAGTTGTGCCTTGACCTAGGCTGCTTGGAACGAGGTTTGCGTTGGGCACGAGGCTTGCGTTGGGCACCAGGAGTAGCACTAGATGGCACTATGAGGCGCATCATGTTGGGTTGACTTGAGCAAAGCAAGGAGTCGTTGGGCCCGGTAAGCTTTGTTATGCCCGGTGCTGCACGGCAATCTTCAGCTTCCTGCGCATGTGTTCGCAGCATTTGAGTTGGATGAGTTGCCCACGCTGTGCTGACAGGCATTTGTCCAGCAGGTGGTTCGAGATTGAACATATTGAACTTTGGGAACTCAATGAAACCAGGCCTGTGACGGGCGTGGGCTCTCGGATGGCAATCCTTTTGATGTCTCATTACTATTCAGCCCTCACACTAAGGCTAGCAGGCACTTGTCCAGCATGTACTTCAATTTCTGGCCTCGCCTCAAGACAGCTTGGAGGTTGCACTTTGGTTGCTTATTGAAGCCAGGCCTACTTGCGGTAACGGACGTAGGCTGTCGGATGGCAATCCTTTCAACGTTGCCATCCAAAGCTGGTGGCAATACCAACCTATGCACAGCATAGCTTAAGCCGATACTTTCCAGAGCTCAGGCCTCATGATAGCCGTGAACATACTCTCGCGTTGCGTTTTTCCGGGAGTGGATGTTGCTCGGCCACACAAAAAGCACGCTTCTGATCCCCTCTTCCCAATGGCCATCCCTTCTCCATGACCTGCGTGCCGCTGAAGGCTGTCATTTCAGGTCTCATTCGCGCCAGCCTTTCCTCTTCTTCCTCAGGGTGAACGGCATATTCGCATGAGGGAATTGAGAACTTGCATGGGTTCCCCAGCGCGGCGCGGCCGGAGATGTCACAAGCGGCTGCGGAGGTCCTTGCAATTTTTGCTGTAGCAATCAGTGTCTCTTCCTCCTTTTGCCCCTCTCTTCAAGCATCTTAGGGGATCGCGTGCCATCATCCAGCAAGGGAAGGCAATCACTAAAGTGTCGGCCGAAATCGTCTTGGATTGTTATAAAAAGCAATCAAGGGTTCAAATGACAGCTCCTTTCTTTTTATGTTCTCATTTCAAGTTGGCTTCGAGCTTGATTCAGAGATCTTGAAACCTGCCAGCAACGTTTACTGCTTTGCCCGTGCAACGCAAGCATCCTGTGGATGGTGCGACTTTCTGCCACTGCGACTTTCGATCGTCTCCGCTCATGGCATCTTGGAAGCACATGCGTGAGATGTGCGGCCATGTGATGTTCGGAGATCTGGCCCAAACGTACACTGACATTGGCAAAGATCATTTGCTGAACAATTGAGCGTTTGCGCGCGAGTGCTCTAGGTCGTCCCCAGCAATTGCAGACTCACATCCTGTAGGCGCCGTGAAACTAGCTGAAGCGTGGTTTTGCCCAAATCAGCTTTGGTGAGACTCCTAACCATGCCCCATGCTCGTCGCAGTTGACGCGCCGTGTGCCTCGCAGACGCAAAACAGAGGGAGCGGCTCAGGCGCGGTTTGCCCTCAAATTCTCGAGTGGCCCCTGCGATTCAAACATTTGGCCTCCCCATTCCTTCAGTTTGACCCCCCATTTGACCCCCCGTTCCTTCAGTTTGGCATGGGCGGGCGGTTCCCCCGCAAGAGTTGGCCAACTCGAAAGAGGCGCCCGGCGCCCGGTGAGGCATGGATTTCGTGCCCGGGGCGCCTCTCTCGCAGCTCCGGGAGGCCCCGAACTCTGGGTCCGGGGAGGTTCGGCGGATAGCTAGGAAACCCTTTTGTGGTGATATCTGATGTAGAGTGCTTGAGGTGTGCTGATTTTTGCAAAGGGGGAGTTTCCGCGAGAATTAGATATCTCTGGCTACTTTTTTGAGCTGGCTAGCTCACACTTCCGGGTGCTTTTCTAGCCTTTCATCTTTTTCAGCTTGGCAAAAGAGAGAGTCCTCTTGAACCCCTTGGGGCAACTCCATTCAACTCGTTTGCAGGGTGGTTGGCATGGATCGAGTTGGGAGTTGCGGCCATCGGAGGGCCTATGGTCAACGTCACATCATGCGGATGGAGACCCTTTTGGCGACAAAGGATATGGCACTTTGAATTTTAAGCCGAATTAAAACTCATACCCGTAGAGTGTGAGCTTCTTTTGCAACATGCCCACCAACCCAGCAATGTGCGGGGACCTCATGTCTCCCGCTCCCACCCCGAGGCCCCCTTGATCCCGCGCTCGCGATCCAGGAGCTGCAGCGGCGGGGCATTGTGATCGAGCCCGGGTCCATGGCCGAGCAGGCGATCGAAGGGACCCACCCTCTTTGAGCTGATTTTTGTTCGGGTCGTGTCAGGACATGGCCAATGTGTCACTGGTGTCTAAAAGCTTGTCAAAGGCCAACCTTTAGGATGTGATGAAAGGATTAAATAAATAAATATATATATATATATATATATGGGATTCCTGTTCAATTATGGGATTATTCATTATTAACCAACAACATGTGAATAAAGCTTATCAAACAAACTGCGCTTAGTTGTTGATTGCTTCAACCCCCAAGTGGGTCAACGGAAGAACGGAGGTCTTCGGCCGCAAGCTGCTGACATCCTTGACGGAAGCCTTCGGCGTGATGGTCTTCGAGGAGGGCTTCTTCCATGCGGATCCTCACCCCGGCAACATCTTTATCAGGAGGGGCCCTTGGGGGCGGGGCCTTGCGGTGGGCCTTGGGGGAGAGGGGGGGGGGATGGTCATGTACCTTGGTTTTTTGTATTGAGCCACAAGTCATGACCAACTTCTTAGCGATCCCAGTTATAGTGGGTACCTTTTTCTAGGGGTTGGGTTTGCAACATGTTCAGGCCAAAGGTGGGGCTGCGGGCGGGGGGGATGGTGGACGCGTGGGCCGTCTATGTTGCAAAGTGCCCATGGCACTGGGGGCCCTGCCCATGGCAACATGGACCCTAAGCACATGGCGGTGGCTCAAGAAGATGTACCAAATTTGTATCTTGGCAAATGGAGCCCCAGACTAAAACCTGCCTAGGCCTAGCTCTTTCATTTTGAGCCACACCCAGACCCGTGACGACAGGGTTTCATTTCAAGGGGGTATCCCGGCAACGGGGGGACTCAGAGATTCGAACAGTAAGCCCGTCACACTTTCAATCAGCGGGGTCCCGTTAAGACTCCGTCAGCTTGTTGTTACTCGGGCAGGTTGCCAGGACTCCCTTCGGTGGATTGAAACATCACCTCAGGGCGGTTAGGTGATGTCTAAGGAGCTGGAAAGGCATCGGGTGTATATAACAAAATGCACAGTATTTGCCAACACCTGCCAGGGGTCCACAGTAGTGAGAACACCTATGACGATTTCAATGGGGAGCAACTTGTGGGCTTATCACTTGGGTGGCCCTTTCGACCACTTGGATCCCTCTTTAGATGATTCTTCGGAAGTTGAAGGAAAGTTGCAAGGGAAACGGGCCCAATTTTCCCAGGTTCCTTCCCCGTTGTACTGAACCCAGAAATATCAACCACCAAAAGGAAACTGGCTGTAAGTATGGTCTCTTCGGATCTATGCAGCCGTCAGGCCAGATGGGTCTATCGCACTGATTGACTTCGGCCAGACCAAGCAGAGCCCCGCTTGCACCAAGCGGGTTGCCCGTGGTTTTCTGCCCATGAACCGAGGCCTGAGTAATGACCCCTCAAAGTTTGGCGTACGAAACCTAATGCTGGAAGACGAACCATTTTCTCTTGGAAAGGGCGGGTTCCGCGCATGGGCAAATCGGCGAGTTGCTTCATCGATCTAGCTTGCTGGCCCCCCAGGGAGTAAGACCTTATTTGGCAATTGGGGCGGGCGGGGTCGTGTTCCTAAAAAGGCCTAAAGATTGACTCCCATCTTTCAAAGGACCAATTTAGAGCGTGGCCAAAACTCCCACAGGAGCAGGGTTCAAAGTGAAGCGCCATGTCCGCACCTCCAAGCTGGAAATCAAGTATTAAACTCTTGGAGCCACAGAAATTAGACAACAACTGGAAAAGAACAAAAAGTCGAACGGGTGGAACCAAGTGTGTGCACTCGTGCTACTGGAAATAGCTTCGAGAAGGGTTTGTAATTCTTGGACCTTCAAGGCTGCAAGGGCAAGCAAGTTTGCTGGGGCCCTGCCACCGCGCGGCGACAGGATCAACTTCAAGTTCCGGAAGCAGGCGGGAGCACGGGCGTTCAGTTGCTTTCCAAGTCCCCTCCCAGGATGGACACCTTGGAGTTTTTGTTTGGTTAAAAACCATAAAATAAATGATAATAATATGTGTGTTTTTCCCCCGAGGGTGGAAAGCTGGCAGGAGGCGCGAGGTCAGAAAGCCGGACCAAAAAAGCTGTGCGCACACAGGTCGCGGAGCTCATGGTGCGAGTTTCGGAGTACACCAAGCTGAGTGACCAGGCAACGCAGCCTTTTGCCGCGTTTCGCTGTGCAAGGCCCTCGGAGCCAGGAGTCTCGTTATCCCCAAGCCATTTGGCTATGGGTCAAAATTAGACCAGCAGACCACAGATTTTAGTCCGTGGTTCCATTTTCCAGGGTTCCATTTTGGGCCTTTTGAGTACCCATTTTTCACCCACACCAATTTAAGCCTTCTGTAAGAGAAACACACGTGTTTTTGTTTTTTGCTCGGAGGGGTACGACCTTTCAGCGTACAGCTCTGGATCCTTCAGGCATCACAATGGCTTTCCCAGTTGGCCAGCCTTATTCAAGCCACAGGCTGGTTGGGTGGCCCTTAGGCTCCAAGAAGAACAACGCGACCTGAAGGCTTCCAACAACTCCCCCTGTGGCTCTGAATCAGCATTGACGCTGGGTTAGTCAACTTGGTGGTATGGCTGTATTCAACCCTTCCCGCCGAAAAGTGAAGCTTTGCCTCTGAAATGGGACACCCCTTGTGAATCAACCAGTGGCCCATTAATTAATCCACACTTCTTCCATGCTGGGCGCTGTGTCTTCAGGACTCAGCAGATGCGAAGGAGTATTTGCAATCCCTGGGCGGGTTCGCCAAGAGCATGGGCCACTCGGCTGAGGATCGAGTTGGGGCCCCTGAGCTACTCTTGTCTTGTCTTGTCTTGTCTGTCCGCATGAGTCCGTGAGGTGAACTCCAGTCGGGGCACTGCACATGACGTGCGCGCACACTTGTATCAGTGTGGTTGCGCTAGCCTAGCCATACGAAGACAATTGCTCACGCTGCAGCTAGGCAAGCACTTGAAAGAGAAATAAATGCAAAAGAAGAGCAGCTGCACATGCTGCTCACACGCCTGCTACCCAGCATCAGCTGGGGATTGGCGACGGGGGTGCTCATTCGAGTTCCCCGTGTTCGCGCCACCGGTTAACACATCATGCAAGTATCAGCTCACCAATTCGGGACGGGCGATTTTCCGTTTTGCAATTCAAACGGGACTTGCAATTTCCAGGGGGTTGCAAAAAATGGGAGGGGGTCAAACTGAAGGAAAGGGGGGTCAAACATAAAGGAGTGGGGAGTGGGGAGTCAAAAAGAAGGAATGGGGGGGTCAAAAGCATCATGTCCCCTTTAGAGCTGGTGATGCCGGCATACAGCTGACAAGCGCAGGTGCGTGTCCTTACGTGGGGTGCCCCTGAACACCGTCCAAAAAGCCAGATGATGACGCGTTGGCACTTACTTGCTTTGAGGCTGATTTCAATTTCCTTGGTTGTCCAACGCTGACCGCTTGACCTGTTGGTGTTCCCGTGTTCGCCCAGTCCTACAACGTTCATTTCCTGCTCCTTTGGCAGACTAAGGAGTGGAGTTCCTGCCGTCGGCTGGGCCTTCCTGCGCAGGCGTGAGTTAAATTGAACGGCGCGCCACACACAAGTTTCAACGAAGTGGAGCGAGCTACAACCATTGCTGGGCTTGGTCAAACATATTTAAACGCGCTATTATTTTTGTTGCCCTGGGTGCCCCTTTCATGCGCAACCCTGACCCATATGTGAGCCAGTGTCAGGTCCCGTGAGGTTCACGAACATACGTTGGGTGACTCGAGTTCTAGATGGTGTTCTAAGACCGCATGATCATCCCTTGCAACCACAGGACCTGGATATTGCAGGGTTACGAAAGCACTCAACTTGGACACCAAAATGTTTCAGGGGTCGATTCGCTGACACCAACTGAACATAGCCACAAGCGATGGGAAGGGCCGCTGACAAACCACTCATGTCCAAGCCCCTTTGCCCCTAAACTTGCTCGGTCCTCATGGAGCCTAAAAGCCCTCATTTCGATGCGGTTGAACCCATTGTTGAAGCAAGATCATTCAGTTCTTCCTTCCATCAGCATCTTTCAAGGTGAGCGCAGGCTCCTTAGCTGGAGGGGGGACGCCACTACTGTTTCAGCACCAACTTGGGGTAGGCCCTTGTGGATCCGGACGTCTTCCGTGAGTCATGTTTGCTTTTGCTCACTTCCTGAGTTCCTGGAGTTTAAGCTTTTTGGGAAGATCATTTTGGTGGTAAATGTAAGGTTTGGATTCAAGAGTGAGTTTATGACTGTCAGCCCCCAAGAGTCAGGGGCCCCAAAAAAAGCCTTGGAGCGTGGCCGTTCGTTTTCCGCAAGGCGCGCTGGCCCTGTGGCTCTTTGACAGCAGCCGCCGGGAGCTGCCGGACGGCTATGAGGCCAACGCACCCTGGCAAGCAGGGCTCAGGGACCCTGCGACCGGAGTTGACCGGGTGGATGAAAATCATGCACCGCCAAAAGTGGTCCACAAGGCACCCGGTTGAATTGCTGGTTTCGTTCCGAAGGCTCCGGGCAACCGCACGGAGGCACCATGGCTCTGGATGTTGCCGGGTGGCACGGTTCCGGGCTGGCTTACGTTGTCTCAGGGAACGAGGGGCCCGGGTCCACATGGACACATGGAGCGGCACCCTTTCTGATTTGTTACAAGCACTGCCTTATTTCCTCTCCAAACTTTCAGCGTTTATTCCAGATGTCTTCATCGTTCGTAGGGCAAAACGCATGCAGTTGCTCCTATCTCGGCATCGCGCCTTGTTCAGCTCCCCGTCCCCACGTCCAGCCCACGCGCCAAGGAGCTGTCCCCGAACTGCCCGGTGCGGGATGCGGCTCGAGTGCAAAGTGCCGGCTTGCCAAACGTAGAACTCTGGGTCCCAAATAGCTCATGATTGTCAAGTTTTCCTAAATGTCCCATGCTAAAAAGGGGTTTGGCAACTTCTGATGTTTGAAGTGCTCCATTGCTTAGTGGCACCTTAAGAGGTCTTGCGCCCAGCTTTGCGCGCATGCTTAGGAACATTTTAACGCATTTTGGGCCTGGTTGGTGCGCTGGGAAGGGGACCTCTGCCCAAAGGGAATTCGGCCTTGCAAACTTTGGGGTCTGACCATTTTGAGTTGCTCCCTGAGCTGATGGACTTTACTTGGGAGGATTGTGTTAGTGGCCAGTTTGGACTCTTTCTGAGCAATCCACTTAGGCAGCGAGTTGAGTCAAGGCAACGAGCGGCTATGAGCGACTACATACTTCAAGCTGTTTCGTTACAAGTAGGTGGCCTGTTGCGTCAGGCGAACTTGCAACCTGACGGAAGATGGGGAGGAAAGATTGATTTAGCTAGAAGGCTGTATTTAGGGTGCACTCTATATAATTCTCAGGTGAGTTTATGTGTGGTTTGGGGGGTAGTGGAAATTATCTCTGGCTAGTTGCACCTTGTTCCGTTGTAAAGCTTCAGGGGCCCTTGGGAATCCCAGTGCATCACAGACAGGGCCACTTTTCGCAGCTATAGCAGGAAGCCCAAGCGCTTGTTTCGCGGGGTTCCATGCGTTCTTTGCTTTACAGAAAAACTATGTCTATATGGCCATAATCGTTGTTGCCTCTGACAGAAACCAACCGGGGATGAGAATGTGCCTGTCTTTTACAGAGTTTCGCATCCCGCTTGTTTTTAGGGCGAAGCACAGAAGGTTGTTGGAACTTGAACTAATGGCTGTGGGTCAAAAATAGGTAACCAATGGCTAAACCCTGCGGTGCTTTGGTGGTTAATTTGGCCCCGTACCCAAGAACTTCCGATGCCATTCCTTTCTGGTGGAATCTCATCAGTTTCCTCCTCAAGACCCACAAAACCCAGGTGGCAGCATTCCCGCGCGAGTCGCTTGCAATGCAAAATCGTCCGCCCTCAGTGTCAGACCGGGGGGGTGAGGGCAATCTGTGTTTTGGGACTGGTTTTGTCACCTTTTGGGGCCATGGTTGCTTTTCTTCCCTTGGTTTTGTTTCGCAGGAGGTATGGGATGGTTGCCCATGTTTCGGGGACCAGTTTTATCGAATTTTGGTGGAGTGTGCATGTTTTTGTTGTTCTCTTCGGGGGGGCAAAATGGGAGTCGATCACTTCAAGCGAACATGGGCGGGTTTTGAAAGGAACCCAGCTGAAAGCCAATCAGATGGTAGTTTTTCCCTTGTTGTAGCGTCCTGACTCCTGATTGGGGATGCCGCTCATCTTGAACCACCTTGTTTGGGCATATCTTTCTTTCGAGGTCACCTTGTTTGGCTTTGAATGGACACCACCAAGGGGCACCCTTTTTTGCTCATGTCCTGACTTCCTACACTTTATGCTTTCGGGATGGCCATTTTAGTGGCTAATGCCAAGTTTAAACTTTTGCTGGCTAACCCACTTCCTGGGCAGTTCTTCTGGAAAATCGGATTGGCCCTCCATTTTGAACGGGCCAGACTTAGGAACGTTTCGACTTTGGGGTAGGCCGGTAGGGCGTTTTGGTGATACGTTCGGACCACTTTGAGGTTTGTGCTCCTCTGCCGCATGACGCTGCTCATCCGTGGCCTTGCCATGCGCCTGAACGCCGGGGACTCAGGGAGAAGGCTCCAGGCGATTTGTAGCCAGCCTGCCATACGCAGACCTGATGCTTAGAGTTATGTTTGTAGAATTGAGAGGGATGTCTGTTTTTAAGAGTTTATTGGGGGTTGCCCAGTAAACATATTTTAGAGGGATTACTTTTAAGTGTTGAGAGTTTAAAGGCGGTTACCCACCAAAACTGTAAGTGTTTGCAATTGGGGGGCCAAGTCATGTAGAGGACGACGCCTGCATGTCCGTCAATGACTGTCAACATGTGCAACAGGCTGTGTGGGACAATCAGGGACGAACTTTTGGGGGTTGGCAGTTCATTCTAAGTTTTGGCTGGAGACCCAAACTGCTACCCCAAGACTCCCTTGATGCAACCACGTGGGGCAAAACTTTTAAGCCAGGAATCCCTTGAATTGTGTCCCAGGTGCAACTGGTACCTTCTGGAATTCCCAGCTCATACCCCCTTATGAAATCTCATGTGGCGGCTAGGAACCAGGTGCCAGTTACCAGGATATCATGGCTGCGTCTCAGACAAGCCTTTCACATCTGTTTGTTTGAGTTGGAGCCCGGTTCCAGTTTGGGGCTGTGCAACCTGTTTCGGGGATGCGGATAAGGGAAGGACGGGGAAACCCATCGGCAGGATGGTTTTCTCTCAGTTTGTTTGAACTCCTGTCTTTTTGTTCCCAAGTGAAGCAAGACATGCGCGGGGTGCTTGTTAGATTTGGTTCTTGGTCCAAGAGCTCAACTAATCGGAAGGCACGTCCCTAAAGCATCGGATCCATTTTAAGGAGATCTGCAAGAACAGGGCCCAATACAAAGGAGCACCTGTCAGCCGGATAGAAGACCTCCTTTACTATCTGATTCAGAGGACAATTTTTTGTAGACCTAGTGGTTTGGATGCATTCCTCATGGCACCCTGTTTCTGTGTTTCTTTTTGGATGCCATAGTCTATATCATTTGAGGTTTGCTTTCCCGCTGGATAAGATTTTGTCCAGTCCGCTGGAACCCTAAACTAAATCCACACAAACCTACCCTAACCCCCCCCCCCCCCCTCCCCATAACCCTAAACCCTAAACCAAGCCTAAACCTACCACCCTAAACCGTCCCTAAGCCCGCCTCAATCCAATCTCTTCATTCACCAAAAAACCAAAAAAAAGCAAAGGTCGGACAACATCCTGAGAAAACTTGCTGGAGCTCAGTGGGGAAGGAGGGAATGACCCCTATAAACCATGTCTTCTGGTTTCCTTGAAGTTCATTCCCACCTTCCCGACCTATCGCGCCAGTGGACCAGCAAGACGACGTGCGGAGCCACACCGCTGAGGTGTCCTGGTCCCTGGCGGATGCCTGGCGGAAACCGGCGGAGCGCCTGCTGCAGGGGGAGCTGCCCGGCTGCGAGCCGCCGAAGAAGCCACTTGGACCGCCGGTTGGTCCGGTTGGACCGTTGGACCCCCCACGGAACACGCGGGGGCTGAACAAAAATGGCCAATCCCTTGGCTGCTAGTGGGTTGAGTTTTTTAGACTGCGAAACTTTTTGGGAAGTCAGGGCTTGTTCCCGCTATTTTCCACAAACAGTTGAACTTTTTGCAGAGGCTTCAACAGCGACCAAGATCCCTTCCCCCTAATGTTAGACTCATCCCTATTAACATGTTTTTTAGATAGGGGGGAGGGGACCGAGATTTAACAAAACAGGGCGGGGGGAATGCGATTAACATTTGCATGAGTTTAGGCTTTGGTAGCCCAACCCCTAATATTTAGCCCCTTTATGTTGCCCAGTGCTGCGCTGGCTTCCTTTCGTTGAAGAGGGCGGTTTCCGGTTAGCGCCTGCTCTTTCGGCGGCTCTTAAAAGCCTGCGCTGTGGGGTGGGAAAAATATCTTTCCAAGAGGGGCAAATGGGAACCCCCCCCATGGTGTCACGGTTCCCAGCTGTGGATGTTGAGCCCAGGTCAATTTGGAAACGACTTTCAGCTCTGGTGCGCCGCTGAAGTCAGCCCGTCGCGGTTACTTGGGCTCTTGCTTCGTTCTGGAGAAGCTGGGTTGAACCTTGCCACCCTTCCAGGTTTAAGGTTGGTAACGGATCACTTCCCAGATATGGGAATGAACCTAACCAACAATCCAGCGGTGAAGTGCTGTTTCCCATAGACCCGGCGAAGAACCATCAAGGTTCCGGCCTTTTCGGCGCCAACACGGCGCCCGCGTCACTTTTCCTGCGGGACACCTTGGCCGCTCCGGCCCGCCGTTGGGCGAGACAAAAATCGCGCCGGCGGCCCGTGGCTTTCTGGTTTTGTTCTGTTACTTCCTTCTCCTGTTCTCGGGGAAAAATGAGGAAAAACAAAAACAAGCTGGATTCGGGAACAGGAGCATGGCATGTCAAACAGAAACTGCCCCTACGACCCTACAAGCACACCCCGAGCTGTCTATCTTGACCAGGTGTGTGAGGCGCTGTTGGGGGGGGGGGCAAAAAGATTTGTTTCCCTTTTGGCGTCGCACTTCCGAAGCCCCCGTATAGCTTGGAACATGAACCCGCGGCACCCAACAAGTAGCACTGGTTTGGTTATCTTGTTTTGGAAGGCTCCTCTTGGGATTCTCTTGGCAAGCACGCTCAGAGGTTGCGTGCCCTCCTGAGCCTGAATCGATTCTCTTGAAGCACTTCACGGAAACAAAAACAAGAATCCAACGCCAAGGTCGGCTGCTTCGGGTTTTTGAGCGGCGCGGTGTACAGAATTGGTTTTCCGTTTGCCTGCTCCACATACCCTCCTGGCTATGAAGTTCAACTGGGGGTTTAGCTGGACAAAGCACCTCCCCGTAAAATTGTCCACCATTTGATTGCGTATTTACAATGGAAAGCATGTTTGGTTTTTCAAAAGGAACCCTATGCATCTTGGGCATTGTGCGGGGTATGTGTCTTTTTCATGGCCATCCCCGAAAGGGTTCCATCATCCTCTAATGAATCTGGGGAAATCATTCGGGGGGGTGACGTGTTTGAGGCTCGTGTCCCAATGCTCCCCCAACCTTTAAGGCCTGGGAGGGGAAGCCTCGAATTGCAGCTTTCCTTCACAGCGCCACTCTGGAAGGAACCTTCAAAATGGATGGTCAACCATATGGCTGTGGCTCAAAAAAGTGGTACCAAAATGGCACCTGGGAAAATGGAACCAAAGACTAAAATCTGCGTAACTGTAGCTCTTCAATTTTGAGCCACACCCATATTGTTCCCCCAGATTTTCTGTTCGACTCCCTCATGTCACTGAAAATGGCAAAAGGACAGCCCGGACCCGCGTCTGGGCGTCCAAAGGGACCGCTGCTTGGCACATGATGCGCGAAACTCCGCGGCGAAGCGGATTCAACGGATGGGTCGGAAAAGCGCCGAGATGCGGATGGGGTCCTGGCTGAATGTCCTGTAGAGAAGCGCCAGGGCGCTTGCACCGCATCATCTCTGAAGTGTTTGTGGGCAGAGGGTTTTTTTTTGTCATTTTAGGGCTGTTTGGGACTTCTGGGGTTTTCAATGTCTAGTTGCCCAGACAAGGCACCAATGAGGGACAAACAACATCCAGTCCTTGCGATTCAGCACCCACCTGGGGGGGTTTCTGTTTGAGCGTTTCATCCAACTGCGAGGAGCTACATGGACGGCGGACACAAGCCAACCAAGGCCTGAATCGTGGGCGGTTGGCTGAGACCCAAAAGAAGGCACAACTGGGGGGGAAGGAAGCCACTTTCCAGGTCAGCTATTACTCGGGGTTCATTTAGAAAAGTAGAACTTGATTCCCTGTGTCCTCCAAATTCTCTGGGATTTGCATGCTCATTGAGCATGTGCTGAGCCGAACATGACGTTTCTCGGTTTGACTGCGTCAGGCCGATGCTTCGCAGCTCGCGGGGGCCCGAAGTCAAACCAAGCTGACGCGGTTAGGATCAAAACAGAGGTCGCCTTCTGGTGCCCATGTCACGGGATGTTCCGCAGAGTGTAATGAGGAACACGCCGCAACAGAGATCCAAATTATTCCAAATTGGGCATGGGTTCGCGGGATATGTGTGCTTGTTTGGAAGGGACACGCTAGGGACTACCCAATTGAGAAATTCCCTCGTTTGGAGACAAACCTTGGACAACATTCCAACTTGGCTGTTCAAATCACGTCACTCAAGTTGGTTGGAGCCATGATTGCAAGGGGGCCACCCCCTATTACCCCAGCAATAATCACCGTTATAAACGACTTGGTTGTGGGTTGAGACTGCCTGCCCGCCCCCCTCTCCCCACCCACACACACAGACACGCACCCCTCCTGCCGACACAACCTGAACGGGAGAACGGTGTTTTCAACTGTATATGGGTATGAATTTTAATTAGGGACCCTTTGGACATGATTTAGGTGGGGACTAATGTCCGCCAACCAGGGGCTTCCCCATGAACATTAGTAGCCATATTGGTTGCACCCCTTTGGGGCACTCAGCTTGGCCGACCCACAGAGATCCGAAATTTAGGCGTCGGTGCCCGACAGCGTCCCTGCCACCTTCCCCCACGTGGCGCGGTGGTCCAAGCGACCTGGCCGAAGGGGCCATGGGCATCGTGGCTTTGCCTGACTTCGCTGGTTTTGGCGAGCTTCCGTTTTTTTTTTTTTGGTTTCCACGTTTTGTTTTTGCTTACATATATATATATATTGCGTTGTGTTCGTGTTTGGTAGGGGGGCTGCCCCCAAAAAAATACTTCGCTTCGAGCAATCCCCACACTCCACACTCACGAGCTTACGACCGTGAACACGGTTGTTTGAATTCAAGCATGGTTTTCGAGTGGCTTGGGGCCTATGACTGCTCAACAAGCTTTTTGCATTCAGAGCCTTATCCACCTGTCTGTGTGTCAAACTCCACTTGTCTGCGAGCCGCTCTCGAGAACTCAAACATCGGTTCCGTTAACAAAAGCCAAGCCCCTTCCAAAAACAAACCCGACGGGGGATTAAACGAAGTTGCTTATTCACAACCCAAAGGAACACAAAAGCATCACCCTTTCCGAGCCTCAGGGTGCACTCAGAACACGAAGTCGCCAACATGAAATGTAAACCCAACAGTGCGCCGGGCGGGACATGTAGCAAAACCAGACTGGCGAGCTGCCTGGCGGGATACTGGAGGGATCCAATGGCAAATGCCGGCTCGATACTGGCCGGATACTCGGCAGGAGCCACCGGCAAAGGATGCTCAGCAGGATGCTCGGCGGGATGCTATGGGATACTCAGCAGGATCCACTGGCGAGCCGCTCTGGCGGGATACTCGGCGGGATCCACTGGCGAGCCGCTCTGGCGGGATACTCGGTGGGATCCACTGGCGAGCCGCTCTGGCGGGATACTCGGCGGGATCCACTGGCGAGGTGCTCTGGCGGGATACTGGGTGGGGGCGTGGTGTAGAAGCATCGCAAACGCGGATTCCAACATAAAATCTAACAACCCCTTCCTGGCTGGTGGCGAAAGAACACGTCAGTTTTTTCAAGAAGCCATACCAAGGTTGTGAAGTTGAGGTTTTTACCTGAACAATTTTGGGGACGTGACTTGGTGCTTTTCCGGGCGTGTTCTATCCCGGCATTCCACTTGGCAAAAGATGGCAAACAGTTTGCTGATTCGGCTTGTGGCTTTTTCTTTCGGAGGGGGGGTAGGTCCAAGTCAGTTTAGCTTGGGTTTGCCAAAGCAAACCTCCGCTCAGCACTAGGTAGGGGATCCAAATCTCTAGTGACTTCTCGTGTTCAACCGGTTTGGGGTCATTTTGCCTGCAAAGTCAGCCAAACAAGGGTGTCCTTTCTGTCTTCTCCCACGGCGGTTCGGTGGGGGGCGGGGGCCTTACTCAACAAGTTGGGTCAAACGAAGAGCACCTCGAGCTTTTGGAACGCGAGCTCACCTTTGGGTATTCGTTTCCTGGCGCCTGGAATGCACGGGTTTCTTTGTAACTCCATTGGGTACGGCCTTTTTCCTCAACTCACGTGCGCCCCGAGGCACATCAGCTCCTTCACTCCGGCGCAAAGACAAGCATGGTAGGTTGTCCACGGGGCCACGGGCTTCGTGCCAATGGCCCTGCTGGCGGAATGAGTGGCATGAGTGGCATGTGCGCGAGCGATATGCGTCAGAGGCGCACTTAGCTTAGAGGCAAAGGAGCATGACTTGTACAGTGCTACAGTAAGACGCCGCATGCGTGCGCAAAGATGCGCCAAGGGTATGCCTCCCTGCCATGGTCAAAACACCGGGTTTTAGTATTGGGCACCTGGGTTCCGTTCCTCAAGCTTCCTCGTGTCGATGTTTTGTTGGTTCGGGGACCCACGAATGGTTCCTCTTCCCCTGAAGCTGCCTGGGGATCTCTGGGCTGAACAGCACAAATAGCTGGGGTCTGGAGATCCGGTGTTGCATCAAACACTGCGTTTGCCCCGTTGACTTCCGTCGGTCCCCTGGAACATCTGGGTTTGTCTGAAAATAACGGACCCTCCCCAAAACGTGGTTGGGTTCCTTTTGGCTTCCATTAAGAACTCCACAAAAAAGGGTACACTCAAAAAACGACACGGCCATTTGCCTTTGCCGGTGATTGGCTTGATGCTTCTCGTTGGCTGTGGAGCTTCCGAGGCCGCACGAGCCCGGCACGTGCACGCATGGCAGCATGGAGGATGCAATTGCAGGTGTTCCACGCTGGCGGGTTGCTTCCTTGAAACAACCCACCAAAACGAAACTCGAAGATTGGCAACCGAGAGGTGGTGCTTAAATCAAGCCAAACAGTGAAGCAAAGGCAGCATCATCCAGAAATATTTGGTTGCAACCATCGGCTTACAGCCACATCGGTGTCGCGGCTGTAACAATTCGCCAATAAATTCTTCGCACATACCTGTGGTTTGCTGTTGCTCAGTGGTTCAGTGGCACCCTGTGTCCTTCTTTTTTTGCCCCACTAAACATGGTCTTCCCCGAAAAGGGTTCCCCTTTTTTTTGCAGGGTCACTGAACAACTGAGGTTGGTTTTCCTTCTGCCAACCAACAGCGGCTTGACCCCGAACAAGCCCTGCCATGGGCCCCGCGGGCCTCGAGCGCTGCGATGTGCCGGCGGTGGAGGGCAAAGGTTTGGTGGAGCCATGTTTTCAGACCGTGTAAAAACGGGAAGCGGACAGGAGCTTGGAATTGAAAGTTGCAGATGTTTCAAGGAGCCTGGATTTAGCCCTTTTGCAGGCAAACAGAGAAGCTTGACCAGGTACCACTAAGTGGGGGAAGAGGGTCCTATTCTCTGTTGCCCAGTGGTGCCCTGCTTCCTTTTTGTGGGTAAGGTTTCTCTTGTAAAATTCAACCCACACAACAAGGGTGCCGATTCTTTTTTCCCATGGAAATGTGAAATCCACTGGGCACCTGAGTAAACATGGCAATGCATCCCCTGAAGGTTTGGCCTGGCCCCAGCTCCGGCGCCATGCTGCAGGCGAGGCGGGTCGTCGATCGGATCTGACGAGGTGAGTCGTCGGAGTGTGGGCCAAGAGTGCGCGAGAATTTCTGGACCGGGATAGCAGGAGAGAGAGAGAGAGAAAAGAAAAACAAAGCAAGTTTCGATTATCAGGGTTTTGGTGAGGCCGATTCTAAAGTGGGTTTCCCTTTGTGGGGTGATGTTTGAAGGAGAAATGCGTGTAGACCTGCCAACAAAAGAGGTTCTCAGACCTTCAACGTCCTGTTCTTCCTTGATAGAGAGGCAGTGGAGGCATGGAGGAAGTTCATCCCGGATAGTTCCTTGCGGAGTTGGGGTTAGGAATGTGATCCATTCAGGCTGTCATAGTCTCAAACGTTGTGTTGCTATGGACTTTGCTCTCGGTTTGACCCGGTAAGATCGCACGCGTCACGCGTCCGGAGAAGGTTGCGAGCAGCCAGCCACGAACCATTCACAGCTGCGAAAGTTCGCTGTTCCCATGCTTGTCAGGCGCCCCCCAAGCAGCCGCCCCCCCAAAAAAGGCACTGAAAAGGAAAGGAACTCTGTCAGCCCTTAGGCGCTAGGGCTTTGGGTGCTATTGAGGACTTGACAACCATAGGAACGGTTGTGTATTCATGGCTTTGGTGCGCTCCTTTAGCACTGCAGCCGCAGCTGCTTGTCACTCATTAGGGTGGAACTCCATGCGAAAGGAAAGCAACATCACGCAAGGCATTTGGAGAGTTTTTGATGACACATCCACCTAGAGGCAACATCTAACTGAGAGGTCTTATGAACTGAGCAACTGTCTCCATGTTTGGCTTTACACCCCAGATGCAAGCAGCCAAGGACTTGGTGCATGGGTCCCCCCAATCTTGGGTCCATCAAAGTGGCATGCTGCCCAAGCACCGTCCAGGTGATTCCGAGCAAGGCAACCCCCGTCAATTTGAGAGCCCCGCTTTTAAACAGACCCAGAAATCAAGGTCCCTTGAAAAAAACATGAGAGCCCCGCATTTCAATGGAGAAATCAAGGTCCCTCGGATCGACCCCTGGAAGAGGTGTGGTGCTTACTGGCCTCTTTGCCGAACATGAGCTGCTGCCGTGGAGACGCTCGAATCAGATTCAGGATCAGCAAGGGTCTCCTACCACCTAAGACCAAATGGTCAACTCCATGTGGGGGTTACCCTAATGGCTTGCCAGGGTACCTGGTGGTTTGATTTTGACCCCACTCCTTTTTTGCTTGAAGCCAGGGAGTTCCAACCGATTCTGCATGGTAGAGCTGTTGGGACCGGGCCAGTTGTGCCTCTCACAAAGGCAGGTTTGCCAGGACAAGAGGGTGCTTCCAAAGGACGGGGGGGACAAATATTATGTCTTGCCTTTCGGCTTCGTGAAAACGCCGGCCACCGGCGTGTCCTTCAATATTCCAACCCACTGGGCCGAAAGCAGCCGAGCGTGTTCATCAGCTTTGTACACTTGGCTTGTGGTCGAGCCGGAAGTTCATCATCTGTTGACCTCGGATCCCGTTAGAGGACAGCTATTTTGCAACAGCGGTATGTGCACTTCGTTGGGCAAGTTTATCCAGCTCGTTTAGTTCAGATGGAGTAAATGATAGCCCACTTTGTCCAGGGACCCTACGGCCGCCCAAAGACCCTCTCCCAAGAATCAGGGTCAAGAACCCTTGGGGGCAAATAAGGCCCAGCTGAGGCGTGAACTTGTTTGATTTTTTCTCCGTGGGGGTTGATATGTCGGTCTGGCTGAGGGCTGAGGGAAGGGGTTCGAGGAACCCTTCTTGGATTTTGCAGGGAAAGCACTGCAATCCCCCCCTTCCCCCCCCCCACATTCAAAGACATATCCGGTGGGCCGCCGTGACATCTTCGCATGTGACCATGGCCCTGTGTTTCTCGGCTGCCGGGATCTGCCAAGGACAGGAGGCCGTCCTTGCTCGCCACGGCAACGAGACCTTTTATGCAGACAACACGAGGGGCAACTACGCACACCCCAAACTGGAGGAGCATCTCGGCTCAGAGCGGATCCAGCTGGTCTTTTTCTTTGTCTGTTCGGCCGTAGAGTTGCAAGTGAGTGGGAAAACGCATAGGCGTCCATGCAAAAATGGGGGGGGGGGTTGCTTTAATGGGCAACCACGACAAACACACCAGCAAAAAAGGTGGTTGGTGTCAAGAAGCATCCTTCACGTGAACATTCTGGAATGCTTGAAACATCGCCTTGTTGGCAATTTTGAAAGGGATTGGTTTTACGCAAGGTGACGTTGACATGGGGCATACAGGACCCTACTCAATAATCGTGTTTGCTTTCCGCGGTAGTGTTTCCTTTCCGCGTTCAAGTTCAGGACCTCAGTTATGTTGTTGCGTTTCCTTCAGGTCCAACTCAACATCCCTGTTTCGGGACACTCATCTGGGCAGATGTCCCCGAAAAATCGCCGGGAAATCTCCGGATGTTGGTGTCCCTGAACTTGCGGCAGGTACGTGCGGCGCCAAAACGGGGAGCGCATGATCTTCGTGTCGGACACCCTGCAGGGCGCCTTCGGCGCCGCCTGGCGCTTCGCGTCGGGATCCAAAGGATCCGCGCGGCGGAAGCGCCTGGGCTCCAGAGAGGCGGCCGTTGATCCGGAAATTTCCGGGGACAAAGACCAAAAAGACGCGGAAAAAAAAACGGGTGCCTTAAAGAAAGACCAAAGAAACACGAAAAAGCCGGGTGCCCCTTGAAGGACGCAGCCAAAAGCCCGGGTTCACAAGGGGATCCGAAGATTTCACAGTTCCGATGGTGGTGGCAGGGGCCGGGCACCTACAGGGTTTCTCCTTTAGAGCGGCAGCTTCAATGGGAACCACCAGTAAATTTGAAGGAAATCCACTTTCTCGCCAGGGTCCTTGTGATGGCTCCACATTTCTTGGTGGTTCCAGCCATCCCCTTCGCTTTTTATTGGGTTTAGTGGTGGTTTCAATTAAGCCCACAAAAAGTGCACAACTTTTTTGCAGCGGATCTGAAAATGGACAGCCCGCATCTGGTTGGGTGATTTTCTTTGGTATCACACCTCAGGAAGTCCCCACATGCCCGTCCAGGCACCAGTCTCTGATTCAGATCCAACATGGAGGCAGGATCGTCAAATTCTTGTTGGCAGCGAATTTACGGCCGCTGTTGATCTCCTCACTGATCTCAACTCTGCAATGAACGGCCTCTGGCCTCTGGACACTCCTCCAGGCTATCAAAAACAAAAGAGAGATAAAAACAATGGACCGCCTCGTGTGCTTTATTGGGTTTAGTGGTGGTTTCCATGAAGCCCCCCGCCTGTTTTCGGCCGCCTGTGGCCCAAGGCTTCTGCGGGACTTTGCGGAGCGGCCCATCTTCTCCGTGGGCGTCGCCGGCTCCGGCGTGCCGAGCCACGACGGGCACCCGGAGACCTGGCGCCCCCGAGGAAGAAAACATCGCCGCCGGGGTGGGGGGGTGGGGGGGTGGACCCCGGGTCGGCGGAGTGAACACCCCAGACCGAAAGAAAAGAGGCTTGGATGGATTTTTGTGAGAGGGGCCAAAGAGAAAGAAGACATAGGGGGACCGTTAGAAACAGCTGGCTTGCGTGGGGTCCTTCTTTTGATGGGGATATTGGGATCCTGTTTGCTGCCTTCCTGCTTCGATCAGTGGAGGCCAGCCTGGCACAGAAAACCGTGTGGTCTTCTATACCGTTGTTTTCCCATTCCCCTCAAAGCTTGTTTAAATATGTTGCTCATGGTTGAACTGTGGCGGAATTTGAAGAGGAACTTTCATTCAGTGATTGGTTTCCCCGAATCCGGGGAACCTTTGGCTTTCCCATGAAAGCAACCCAACAAGGGGTACGGTTTCCCGAGAAAAGCAACCCAACAACATGTACCCAAAGACACACCCGAGGCACGCCTTGCTGAGCGGCGTGAAAGCTTGGTGGCTGGGCCCTTCGGGCGCATCCAAGATCCCATCCTTCCGGGGCTGGGAGGACTGGAGTATGGAGGCTGGGATGAACAGATGGGTGGCTCGTTTTGTGTTGAGCTGGCACCCCCTGTTTTGGTGGTTGTGAAGGAGACCAAAAGGAAAAACTAATGTTCGGGGGTCTAAAAAAGACACACCATTATTTGTGGCCAAATCTCGGGTTTCCCTTTTCGATTTTTCTTTCTGGGTAACCCTGTGAAATTGTTTGACCAACCTCTTGCTTCCCCGAAGGGCCGGTTTCTACCGCAGGACCCTTGCGGCGCGGCCTTCGGGACCTTGCAGGGCGATTCTTCAGTGCCGGAGGCAGACTTTTGATTCGGTCTAACCTAAGCTGCTCAAAATCTGCAACCCCAGATCTTGTTTCTTTCTCCAAGCTTTACTGGGGATGGGGGGTCACAGACCATTTTTGAGCCTGTCTAGGTCCCAAAAGGTGAACCTGCCATTGGTACTGACCACGTTGCTCGTGGGTTGAAGCCCCCGCCCCCCTAGATCCTAAAGTAGCAAGCAGTCCTTTTTGGTTATTTTGGTAGAATAGATGGCCCTGGTTTACCTGGTGGTTTCTGCAAACCACAACTCGCATGAACCTGATACTGCGGGAAGTGCCGAGCTTTTGCTGAAGGTAAGCCATGGTGTAACCATGGCCATGTGAGCAGTTTAATCAACACCCTTTGTGAGAGCCACCCCGGTCTTCCCAAACATCAAAGCAACAGGCGCACTTGCCCAGAGGACAGTAGTCTTCCAAAAGGGGCCGGAAAGCACCGAGCGAGCCGTGATTCGACCAGAAATAGGCACCCTTGGTACCAAATCCAGATTGTTCAAACACAAAGAATGTTTTATCCTTATTTCTGCCAGATGGTTTTTTGGCTTCCCTTTCTTCCTTGGTGGTTCCCCTACAACTTTTAGGACAAGGCACCCCTTCCGATTTTCAACCCATGACTCGTCCAGTGCTCGTGGTGCAGGGCGTGAAGCTCTGCATCCAGCGCGCCGGGGAGGTGCTGTACTTCGGGGAAGGCGTGGAGCACAGCACCTGCAGCCTCAGCAACTTCAGCCTCGCCGTGGGTGCCCAGGCCGCGAGGAAATGGATGGAGGGAGTTGCACGGGGGTGGTTTCTAAGATATGAAAGTAGGGACCGGAGGTTGCAGGTGGTTGGTTCGTTCCTATGTGTGTTTCTCAGATAATTTGGGCCTTTCCGGATGGTTGGTTTGGAGTTTCTCATGCAACTGGCAGGAGGTTTCAGGTGAAGGGCTTCCCTTTAAGACCTCAAAACAGTGCCCCATTTTGAGATAGACCCACGCGCCCGGAGACTTGGGAAGGAACCTTTGGAGGCAAAGTGGCCAGATTTCTCGCTGCTGACAACGGGCCCACTCAATGTTTGACAATGGATGCTTCTTTTGGGTTTTCTTTTGCGTGGTTTGTGATGGCTTGGGGAAATCGTTGCTTGGGATTTTGCGAGTGTTTGATGGCTGTCAGTTTTTCAAGCTTGGCTGCTTTGTGCCCACAATGCCGGAAGGCAACTAGGGCCTGACTTGAGAATTTTTGCCCTTGTGAAATGCTGACCCGTTTGCCAGGGTCAATTGGAGACTATCAGTTTTCAGGTTGTTCGTTGCATTGCACCATCCTCAAGGCTACGGTTTATTTAGAAGTGGCAAGTATTGGGCGATTCCTCGGGGTAACCAACCTCAAGGTGTCATACTGTACTCGGGGCTGTTCTGCCAGAAACAGAGTTGCAACTAGTCAACGCACACTTCACGTTTCCAGCCCCCTTTGAAAGTGCTCCAACTGATTTACGTTTGCCGCGAGGGTTGCCACAAATTCCAACCTGTGTCAGACCAAAAAGCCGAATCCAGGGCCACACGGAACATTGGCCCGAGCTGCCGCGGGCCGCCAACCGGGGCGACCTGAAAACCGTGCGGCGCCTACTGAAGCGGTCGCCTGCGGAGCTTGCAGAACGACAGCCCGGGCACCCAGAGGTGTGACCGGGGCGGCCGGATTTTCTTTTGCGCGGGGGGGGTCCTGTATGCCTGTGGGTCAAAACCAATGGGATCCCAATTTTGTTGGTGAGTGCACCACCCATTTTAGAACCTGCTCACTGCAAGGAAGCACGGGGAACGCTTTGTGCAATGCCCCGCTTCAGAGTCGACAGGATACCCTTGCCGAATGGGGCTCCCGCATCGGGCAACTGGGTGGCCAAGCCGTTTTAGCTGGACAAGACAACCAACTTTGATTTTTCCGTGCCAACCTTTCTGACTGTTCATTTGAGGAAAACCTGGTTGGTCGATATAATGTTTGTTGAACTCCAGGTACAAGGATGTGTTGACTATGGCCCATATGCACAATAGTCAGCACACCTGATGTGAGGTTGGTAAGGCTCTTCGTGGTTTTCCATAAAGAGAAAGACAATTTCAGGCATTTCCGTGAAGGCAACCATGCGCTGCAGAAAGAGTTTGAACCATGGTTCAGTGATTTGTCGCAAACCTTGAGGCCCATTTGGGTCGGGATTCGCCTTGGGGAAGCCAAAGGGGAACCATCCAGTTTTGAAGGGCCCTATTGACGCATGTGGGGGCCAATACGTGTGCCTGTTTTGAGAAATTTGACACGTTTAGGGGGGCGTATGAAGAACCTTGCCATATGAGCTCATCATCACCTTGTGCTTTCTCAGGGTTGCCCGCCTTTAAAACCGCAACGACGGACATTTAGTGGCCGCTGTTTGTTCCTTTTCCAGCTGCCGCATTTGGGCGTTTGTTTCCATTTTTTTCGAGGGCACCCCTTTGTAATGGCTAAGGTGGCTAGGGGAAACCAAAGCCCACAGGATTCCTCCCATTTTAAGGGCTCCCCCATTTTGAGACACCCCATGTCTACCCTTACGATCGGGTCAACTCGATCAGGCGCTTGCTGGACGGTACGGCAGGGAGGTACGGCCACTCCGCGCTGCACCGTGCGGCGCTGCACGGCTTTGCGGAGGTGGCGGAGGCAAATGCCGCCAACGTTGAACATCCGGAACACTCAGTTTGGGCCCCCGCGTTCAGCTTGAAGAGGAGCTTTCCCCTCCGGAATGGGGTGCTGCGATGCTTCCCTTTGTTTGGGAAGAATGTCCCCACAAATCCAACATATGACAAACCCGAAATGGGAAACCTCCCCCTGCCTATTGCCCATGCGGAGAGCGAAATCGGCTCGTAAGTCGGGGTTACCTGGGGGGCTACTCGAATATACCCTTGAAACCATGTTTGGCGTCGCACACAATGAGTTCAAGAGATTGTCGCAGAACTCTCCAACATATGCTTACTTGTTGAGTTGGCAAACTTAAAGACTTTAAACATGTTTGTTGGTGTTGGTTTCTCAACGTCTTGGTCAAGGCTGAAAAGAAGTTCAAACCGTGCCTCTTTTTAGGTAGGGCCAGATGTTGATGGGGACTGTGGCGTTTTCCAGGCCGCCTTTGCTGTGGTACTGGCTGGTTCCCGTTTAACGAAGCAAAGTTGGCCAGTTTGAACAAAACACGGTGTTGCATGCAGACGCCCTCAAGCCAGAGAAAGCTTGATGCTTTGAACAGCCGCATTTCGCGTCAACAGACACAGGTTTGAAACACCTACCGCAAACAACACAGCAGTTTGCAGAGGAACAGCAGCACCAGGCCGAATCGGTGACCGTTTGTGGCTTGAGACTTGAACATCGGTTCCTGAAATGGGGGCAGATCCAAATTTCACTTTCCGTCTTTTTGGTTGGTTAGTTGGTCGGTTCTTGGTTGGTTGCTTGGTTGGTTGGTGGGTGGTTTGTTTGTTTGTTTGTTTGCTGGTTTGGTTCTGTCAGGTGCGGTTTGGTTTGTTTTCGCTGGATTTTGTTGCTCGGTCACCCGGCATGTGTGGTAGGCGCTGCTGGCCGCCCGAGCCGACCCAACACTTCGGGACAGCGAGGGCTTGACGCCCAGCTGGAAGCCCAGAGTTCGGCAAAGGAAGTTCGGTGGGTTCTCATGAAATAGCTGTGGGTCAACACCAATGGTACCATTTTGGGGTAGGTGCACCACCCATTTTAGTCAATTTTAGTAGGGATTGGGATGTTCACTGGGGGTACGGGATTTTGACCCATGGCCAAATGGGCATGGGTCAAAATCAGGGAGGCCCCTGAAATCGTTGTCCTTTTGTTCTGAAATAATTACCAACCAAAAGGGGTCCATGTGTAGAACCCCCCGGGGTTTATCATTCCCCACTTCTGTGATATTTTTGGGAAAATACCCCCCTTTTGTATGGGGGGGTTAGTCTTGCGGCTGCCCTTTTTTCACTGACTGGAATTGCAAGCTCAGATCAGTAGGGTTTCGATCAGGATGGTTTCCAACAAATTTGCTCACCAACAACATAGTTATGCAGATCTTTGGTTATTTACCTACGGAACAAAATGCAATAGTATCTTTTCTCAAGTCAGTCATTAACTATCATACAGCAAGTGTCTAGCGTCTTTTACTTTCATAATCATTTGTTATAGGTTGTTTCCGTCAATTGGTGTTGTACTTTAGGTTGGCCGAACGCCATTCCGCTGACTGCTTGTCATTGTGCAGCTACCTATTCCAGCTCACTTTCCAGAACAATTCGGAAGCTACTTTATATAATATGTATATATATATATATATGTGTATATATATATATGTTATATATATGATCAGGGCCTGCAGGCCCCTTTCCCCCCCCCTGTGGGCCTGTGGGTGTTGGCAGGTCTTGAGCTTTAATGGTGGGTGCCCCCTTTCTTCCCGTAGGTGCTGGTGGGCTTCACGTGTTGGTTGCTGCCAGGATCGACGACTCGCTCGCTTGCTCGTGCTTCTGAGGTCATAGCTTAGCCACCAACAAGCAAATAGTGGGCTTCACGTGTTGGTTGCTGCCAGGATCGACGACTCGCTCGCTTGCTCGTGCTTCTGAGGTCATAGCTTAGCCACCAACAAGCTGCAACAATACAACTACCAAGCCAATATAACCAAGCACATTTGGCAGCGTGTGGAAACATGTTAGCAATTCAAAGTCACTAGGCAGTCGGTCGCGCTCGGTCTGCGTAGTTATGGCTTGCCAGCGCCCTGGCATGGACCCGGGTGGCACGCCTGGCTTGCTCGCGGCCCTCTCCTTTCTGCGCTCCTTCCCGGACGCTTCCTCTTTCAACGTGCTGGTCCTCACGGCTGAGAAGCACGCGGTGGCTTCCCGTCCGCAGGCGAGTCCGGACATGGTGTTCCAGAGTCTCCCAACGTGGCTGCAAATGGAGAATGTCCACATCTTCATCAGGCCAAATTTGGGCAACCTTGTCCTGCTGGACGCGGACAGCTACAGCGGTGACATGGGCACTTTGACTAGCCTCCAGCCACAGTGCCTGACGGAAACATCCCCAGGTAACTACCAGGCTTGGCTCACCCTGCCTGGCCACTTGACTTCCAAGTCAGCGCTGCAGGTGACCAAGGACTTGTCGCAAGCCTTGGGCGCAGACATGGCAGCTGCCAAGACCGGGCAAGTCGGCAGGCTGCCCGGGTCCAGGAACATCAAGACAGGCAAGGGCAACCTGGTGGTCCTCCTGCACTCTTGCTTGCAAGACATGAACGAGCGGGTTTACTTGAAGTTGGTTCCAGACCCCAAGCTGTTCGTGCAGAAAGGAGTTTGCCAAGTTGCTCGAGGCGTGGCCGGCGGGAGCGCTTCTTTGCCAGCTGCCAGCTCCACAGGCCAAGCTGTGTCAGCTGACTCGGAGCTCCCAAGATGTGGACCGCATGATCTCCATGGCCCTGCACGCCAACTTTCCTCGAGCTGAACAAGTGTCAAAGAAGTGCGTTGAGTGCCAGGTGGACAAGGCCAGGAACTTGTTTGCCCACAAGCAGTGGCTCAAGAAGACGCCAACGTGCCTGGCTTGCAAGCCAGTGCCCGAGGTGTTACGGGGTCGCGCGCTAGCATCCAAGGCTTGCGCAGAGTGTGGCAAGGAAGTTGAGCGAGGCAGCTTCTCCGATAGCCAGTGGCTTGTGGGGAGCGGGAGCCGGTGCAAATTGTGCGTGCATGCTGCCAGTCTCAAGCAGAGCAAGCGGGCCAAGGTGTGCAAGGACTGCAACGTGGAGAAAGCCAAGGATGACTTCTCCACCACTCAGTGGCAGCTGCCGCTCGCAACTGGGAGCTGCTGCGTGGCATGCTGCCAAAAGCGCCTTGCGACTTCACAGACAGCATTCACGGACTTCCGCAAGAACCAGCTCAACAGCAAGGCCAAGCCACAGCCAATGGCGCAGGCAGCAGACGTCATTTGGCCCGCTGCTGACAAGGCGGGTGCTCACCGGTGGCTGCTGGAGGCGCCGCTTCTGGCGCTGCCCTCTGAGAACCTCCACGGTCTGCGCGGCACTGCTGACTGGACCCAGAAGAGTTTGCGTGCGGATGAGTCCGGCATTCCCGCTAAGCAGAAGCTAGCGCTTCTGACTGCAGCCCACGAGGAGCTGTCCCATATGGGCGGGCGCGATGCCATTGTGAAGGCATTGGCCGCAGAGGGCAAGGTTTGGACAAACGTGGCCTTGGACGCCCAATGGGTTGTGAAGAGGTGTGAGGAGTGCCGAACGAACACCACTCAGGACTACTTCTTTGTGAAGGCCGCGGACGGTTTCCACGAGAAGCTCGAGCCAGTGCGCGAGGCCATGGCCAGCAAGCACCTGCGCCAGGCCATGCAGAAGAACTTGCGCTATGACTCTAAGCGCAAGCAGGCTTGTGAGGCGCCAGTGCTTTCTGGGGACAGGGTCATCGTCAAGAACTCGCAGTACACTTCGAAAACTGGTCACGGCAAGTTCGAGACCAAGGATGGCAAGGTCCGGGAGTACACGGTGCAGTCGGTCTCGCAAGGCTTTGTGGAACTCACGGAGGTTGGCTCTGGCGCAAGCGTGTACAAGCACGAAGCCAGCCTCAAACTGATGCCGCATAAGCTGCCTGCGGATGACGGTCACGTGCCCTCACCGCCACCCAAGGTGGTCCAGGAAGCAGGCTTCAAGGAGTGCGGGCCTTTCTACAAGATTGCGGCGCTTGCTGACGGTGCCTGTCTCTACAGGTGCTTCCACATGGCCACGCAGTACTTGGCAGGCATCGCGCCGCAGGCGCTGGTGGATGATAGTGCTGGCGCGCAAGCAGTTCGTTGCCAGCTGATGACCCACATGCAACTGTGGCTGCGGCACTTGACTGCTGAGGAGAAGAAGGAGACGGTGTGGAAGCTGGCATCCGAGATGGCCGATGACCCGCTGTGGGCTGGCAGCGCTGCTGGAGACTGGGACTGGGACCGGTACTTTGCCTATGCCAGCCAGCCAAGGGTCTATGCCACCTCGGGGCATTCGTCCGCTACCAGGGGCTAACAGTGGAGATCTACCAGGAGGAGGCGGACGGCCTCGAGCTGATTTGGAGCGAGCCGGGCATCGGGGACGGTGGAGCTATGAGGGGGGGGCCGGTGCGCTTACTGCGTGGTGCCGCGGCCCATGAGGCATCGCTTGTGGGGCAAGGGCCCGGCATCCAAGCGCGCGCGCTGTAATTAGGAATTGTTTTTGCATGACTGCCTTGAAGACAATTCGTAATTGAGTCCAAATGAGGCCGCTGCAGGGGGGGGGACGGCATGGGGGGGGGGGGGCTACCGAACCGCAGACCGGGATCATATATATATATATATATATATATATATATTGCATCTGCCTCTTGTGTTGCTCCAGATTGTCCCAACTTTTGAGCATCATCTTCAACCCCAGGTTGACTTAATAAATTTGTTTGACTGCCCGAATCGGACCCACTGTTCTGCAGTGTTGCTGCTTCCTGACCACAAATCCTCGTTTTACTTGAGCAAAGTGAAACCTTTTGAGACGGTTCGATATTTTTTGAGATTGTTTGAGATGTTTGAGATGTTTGAGACTTTTTGAGATAGATTTTCAGGGATCCAACAATTGACCCTGCCTTTAAAGTACTATTGCACTATATTAGTCCCGAAATGTTTTGAGATAAGAATATATTTTTCCAGATAAAAAGGGCAGCATTTGAGACTTTTTGAGATGGATTTTCGGGACTAACCAAATTGCCGCTGCCTTTAACCTGCCTTTAAAGTAGTGTTGTGACATATGCCAAATTGATTGTTTCTACACTGCCATGCTTTCTGATGCACATGCCATGGCTTTTCACTGCCTTCAGACACAATGTGTCATGAGCTGCGCACGCAATCAACCAGCCTCTCACTCACATTGCGCTCGTCAGTGCTGGCATAGATCAAGAAGCTACACTGTGCCAAACCATAGATGCGCAGGAAATAATATTCTTTAAGCAAGTCTACAAATATATTGTGTATTTTGCTAAAAGCAAACTTAAACATGCACAAAATACATTTTTGGGGTTGTGTCAAAAACAATCCTGATTTGGACCCTCCGGATCTGGAGCACTACTTACACTTGGTGATTTTCGTATCACAGAAGTGGTCATTTCCCACAGCCTTGACCGGCCGTGTGTTTCCATTTCCAATTTTGGGGGTACCCTATGTTTGACCCCCGCCCAAATAGGGGTGCCCGAAAAAGGAAGGCCATGGCTTCCAATGTGTTTTCCCTTCGCCAACACGACCGGCAAAAAGACACCTGCAGCATATATGGGGTTCACAACGGGGGTTGATATACGATTCCTGGGCCGAAGATAAAAACATGGTGTACCCTTGGGCCAGGATCGGAAAGAACCTCCTCCCCTCTCCGGCTTCACTTGATCAATTGCTGGGGAGTTGCCGGCACTCGTTCTGGTGCTTTGTCTTTTTCACAACTCCCATATCGCTTCAATATTTTGGGTCATTCATCACATATGTTCACCCTACAACCGGTACTATGGTTTTATTGTGGGTTCCTACGATTAATTTGGTTAAGCCCGGCATTCTGACCCTTAAGCTTTAAAAGATGCTACCCACAAGGTGAACTCAGAAGTGCTTCTTCATGGCTCCTCCAATGGTCAATTTCCCCTTTTTTGGTGGCCAACAAGTTGGACATCGGGTACCCTTTTTTTTGGCCAAAAGTTGGAAATTCTACCCTCCCACCAACCAGCACGGAACCTGAGGTTCGGGGCTCCTGGAAGATCATTTTCCTTTGAAAGGGACCTTGGGTGGGAGGCTACTCGCTGTGTTAAGACCCTCCTGGCCCCGTGCCTAAATTGGGAAGCAGTTCTGAGGTCCGTGTTTGTGTTGCTTACAAGGTTCCATTGATTGCCATTTTGGCTCAAGTCACAAGTGAGGTTCAAGATCTTATGTGAAGCTGCGTTCATACGTGATCGGCAATTGAGAGCGGAAAAACACTTCGCTTGCGCTGCATTTGTCAGGACCACTGTTGTAACTATTATTCCTTCTCCCTTACAACAGTTACACGGGTTCGGCTATAACGGTTTGACCGTATACACCTTTCTACGTGGTTGGTATTTACAGCTGGAGGGTTCGGTGGACAGCGTCCCACGGGACGTCACCTTGCCGTCTCTTGACAGGTTATCAGCCGTAACGACAAGCTCTACACTGGACAGAGAGACAGCTGGTTTATTGCGGGTACAGGGACAATAAAGGAACAATAACCTACACGGTACAATGGCATCTTCAG